TAGAAAACAGTTAACAATTCAAAATGCTTCTCTATCGAGGGTTTCTCATCTATGAAAAACATTTTATTAATCGTGTGATGATCACAATTAGATACTGATGTTAATAGTTGAGAGAACTTTTTGTATTGTTCGGTGTGATGTTGTTTGTATGGATTCATTGAATTGATTTGAAAAGGTGTGACATAAATTTCTACCTGAATTGCCGAATGTATTAGCGTCGAAACGAGACTTTCATCAGTTGGCCAAATCATGACATGATCGCCATTGTTGTGTCCACCGTCAAGCCAAATGAATCGACGGATGCGAGAAATGAAGTGCGAAAGATCGTGGTCAAGGTTCAACGTTCGGAGAGCAGTTAATTCATGGAGAAGTTGGTTCAATACTACACAACCTTTACTGAAACCGACGAGAGTTATATCAGTTGAAGTTCTAAAATAGCGAGTGTAGAGTTACAAATGAAAATGGAAACGAGTACTTAGAAATTTGTTGATCAAGTGCGTGTAGATGACGTAGAGCAACCAGATTCGCAGTATCGTATCTAACCGGGTCACCATATTCGGTCGTTTGAGGTACGAAATTAGAAAATCTATTTATAAATTGCAAATGAAAGACAATGACTACGATATTAATTAGTGAATTCACCGTGCGAAAGTACCATCTTTCATTATATTCGGTCGAATAGCGACTATGAAAGAGTGTGGAAAACGTCGGCAAAGTATCTCTCCTGTTGATATTAAATTCCATCGTTGATACTGTCGATTATCTCGCGATGATTTCATTCGTTCGGGTAAATCCTAAACAAAGTTGTAGGCAATCAATCAGTCATTCATCGTTGATGTTGTAGTTCGAAAGAATTCACTAGGGAATCAATTTTGACGCTATAAGATGAGATTTTTTCAGCTTACAAATTTCTCACTCGAGTATATTATGTATTTGTCACAATCGACGCAGAACAATTTCTTCTGACGTCGCACTATAACTGATGCTGATCATTTACATTTTTAATTCAGTTTAACGAGACAGTTTACGACGTCATTGACATTATGATTAGAAGTTCTCTGATCGTCCGATCTATATAATCTTTATGAATACTGACTACTTAAGATGAGTCTCTTTAATAGCATATTATCATTTCTAATCATAGTGATGTGGACTCGGAAAACAGTCAGAATTACAATTAACTATGACGTTCGTATGTAATGATAGACTTATCGGGTGGAATGTCATATGATTTGACTGAAGTCGCCCAGTATTATTCAGATGACTTCCTCAATCGATCTGATCGGTTTTGTCATTGTTTTATTTATATGATATATCGTAAACACATTCTCTATCGAGAAGATCTTTACTGAAGGCTGGATGTTCTGTTTTCAATCATAAGGCAAAACGACTAATCGATGATGCTTAAGATGTTTTTTTTATCACCATAATACCTTAAGAGATAACACCAGATAATAGCAAGTGGCTGTTTCAAACGAGTATGAATAAGTAGAGATTAACATAAACGGCAAGTTTATTTTTACCTCTCTAAGACGTGTCTTAGTACTTATGTCTTACTTGAATGTCTCCACCGAAATAGTAAACGACTTTATTCGCTGATGATGCTGGACAAGAATTGGAAAAGAAGATCAGATCGTTCTTTCGATTCCCATAGCCCGGAGCCTGCTCTAAGATTTGATATTGACTAGGTGTAGTCGTACTGGTGGCCATCGATGTACTAGATGGTAAACCAAAACAAAGAAACAGTTTAAAAAGTGAACAGCGATAACGTGAGAAGTTCATCTGGTAGACTTCTCTCTAACGAAAACGAAACCTGTCAATTGATATGCAGTCTTAGAAAATACATCAATCTATAATAAACAGATAAATCGGATGTGAGTTTGTTCGTGTAGATTATTCGAGCTGACTCAATCTGTCGAACTGTACTGATATCAACGAAAGATTTTCCATCATCGTTCACTCGCTCGTTGATGTATTCACTTTTAATAATATGATTATGTACATGGGAAAGGAAACTTATTCGGATACAATATTTTTTCTTATGTAATATCTCTCACATGATAAAGAAGAAGAAACAACAACAACAAGAAAGAAAGAACCAAAATAAGTTTTGCTTTGCTACACGCACAGACGCGTTTTACAAACAAACAAATAAACAAACACGGTGAGAAGTATATCTAGTAAGTGCAAGAATAGATTCTGTTTAATATAGACAAAACAAGGGAAAATAATAATCTTAACCATCAAAACCAAAGACATCAAAATCAGGTTTTTCATCTCGAATGACACGCTTTCGTTTGCTTGGCATTTCAACACCTTCGAGTTCATCGAATTTTCTTACAACGCCAATTTGTTTTCGTCCAGCAGATGATATAGATTTAATTGTCGGAATTTGTTCAAAATCATCATCGCCTTCGGCTATATCCTCGACAACAGGTGCCAAATCTTCTTCTTCTTCGCCTATGCCTTGTTCGTCATCGGTCATACCTTCTTCGAATTTCATTTGATTTGCATGCATTTCGTTCTTCACATTGATATTAGTTTTCGGTTTTTCCTCAAGTTCATCATCAGCATAGTCACGAACGTCATCTTCGTCTTCCATTTCATTTGTTTGATAGTCACGATTATCATATGAATCTTGTTTAGGCTCGTGTACAGCATATGTATGTCGATCAAGCAAACGTGCTGAAGTAAACTGTCGGTGGCAGATTGGACAGCGAAAATCGTCTTCTTGTTGTTCATCATCTTCGGCGCCTGATGAAACACCAATATAACGATGTTGTAATGACGCAGCACGTCGTTGTGGTCGACGATTGATTGCTGTTGGAGAGTTCAGTGCTGCTGCTGCTGCTGTCGTGGTTGTCGGTGTCATTGAATTTCGATGCGTACGTGTCACGTGTGCACGTAAATCAGCACGAGCCGCGAACATCAAACCACATTCACTACATTGGAATGGACGCGTACCACGATGTTTATTCATGTGATCGTCGAGTTGTTGACTTGTATTAGCCGAGAACTCACAATGATTACAAGAATGGATTGTTTGACCTTTATGAGTTTTACCATGCATACGGAGTGAATATCTGTAATAAACAAAAAACGATTTGTCTCAGGTCAAGTAATTCAGGTCAACACGTACTTATCAGGAAAATCTTCATCACATTTGTTGCATGATAGTGGTTCAGATTGACGGGCATGCTGTTTACCAATATGATAACGAAGATCCGATTTTCGAGCCATGACTGATGGACAATATGAACATGGAAATGATGGTTTTTCCGCTTGATGTGTTAACATATGAGCTTTCAAGCTAAAATTGAAAAAACAAAACAGTCAGATGTCTGCTCTATTTCATTCCATAAAATATTCTTGAATAATTCGAGTACGATGATGAATCAACTCACCTATTGCTTTGCGTGAAACGAAAATTACAAATATTACATTGATACGGACGTTCACCTAAGAAATAAAAGAATTGTTTTCCCTATTTTTCGAAATGATCGATCGTGCATCGTTACCAGTGTGTACGCGTAAATGTCGTTTGAGTTTAAATGTATCCGGACTACAATAAGAACAATGTGGACATGCATACGGTTTTTCCTAAAGTATGCAAAGTCTTGTTGGGAATGCATAATGATATCTTTACATACTCCAGTATGTGTACGAATATGTCGTCTCAATTTACTCAATTCCACAGTTGCATAACCACATTCATCACATCGATGTGGCTTTTCCAGAGTATGTCTAGAAGAGAAATGGTAAATAAGTTAATAACGAAAAAGTTCTGCTGTACTTGTATCGAACATGTCGAATAAGTTCACCACTTGTTGTAAATGAAAATGAACAGAATTTACACTAAAATAACAAATGAAATGATTTGTTGAAACGAATTCAATTCTTCTCTCATCTTACTTGAAAAGGTTTCACGCCTAAATGTGTATTAACATGATTTGTTAGTTGAATCGTTGTTTTAAATGATCGATCACAATAAGCGCCTACAATACGAACGACAAAAGCAATATTCTACAATCATGTATTCTGAAATCGTATGACTGACATTTATGTGGTCGTTCGGTTGAATGAGATTTAAGATGTCTTTGCAAAAGATACTTTTTTGTTGTTGTGTAATTGCTAGAAGAATCAATTTTCATTTGTTTCGACAATTTTTTTCATCTTACCAATATGAACACATTAGTTTTTCCATTGATTTTCCACTATCACTCACAGCACTATTTCGTTGCGGTGTTGTCGTCGTTGTTTTCGGCCATTTTCGTGCTGTTCCACCCATTTCACTACATAAAAAACGTATTTTGAATGATAAAGAAGGCAACCAGGCGAACATTTACCCGAAATCATAAACAGAATCGATTGTACGATTGACTGGAGCTGTTTTGAATTTCTTTGTTACATCTTCATCAGCATCGCTTTCATCGCCCTCGTCATTGTCGTCGTCATCATTATCGATGTCTTCATTTCTGGCATCCCATTCTTCATCGTCGTCATTTGATGACCGAGTTCGTCGTGGTCGGCCTCGATTCTTCACTTTTTTCGGTTCATCTTTGATAATGGCTGTATCCGACGCATCAAACTCTTGCTCATCATCATCATCGTTAGTTGGATCAACAAATTTCACAGCTTTTGTTGATCGTGTGGATGTCCGAGTTGCCATTCGAAGATATGCACAAAACAAATGGCAAAATGTAAAGTGAAAAAAAAAGAAAGCTCTTTGTTCTTCTGAATAGACTGGTAATCGAATGAACAAATAGAAAAATGCTTTTCGATAGATGGCGGTAGTTTATTTTTATTTCAATTCCTTCATCTAACCCATTGTTGGATTAATGGGAATACCGAGGGCAACAATCATCTCCAAGATATCTTTATTATTCATGACTTCTTGATAGGTAAAGCAGTGATTAATAACGGTGATGAAACCAGCGCAACAGACGAGATTTGAAGCTGGACAAACACGTCCTTGATAGACCATGTATGTTTCTACACCATGTTGCACTTCTGACCAATAATTATCACACCAGCGTGTACATGATGACCAACCGAACAAGCCACAACCACTGTAACCACATTTTGTACGAGCATGTCGTTGAACAGTGTAGGTAGTTTGACGTGTTCGGGCTATAGCTTCTACGCCTGGGTCAATACTACAGCACCAATTGGAATTATCTTGTCGACCTTGATCAGAATTTGCAGAAAGTGATTGCAGTAACTTTTGTTTTTCTGCATCAGTTAAACGATCAATAATCTGTTGAAGAACATTGATATCCTTCTCTGTATTGCAATGAATTCCATTCAGCAATAAGAAAAGAACTACTGTTGAAGAAATAAACGTTAGCCAATGCATGGGTTCTTTTTATTTTATCCGAAATAAAAGATTTTTCGTCTGATCAAATTTCTATTATCTATCCTCACACATGTGCTGTTTTTTCTCATTACTGTAAAAAACGAACTATGCCAAAGGAGTGTTTTTGAAGTTTTCGATGATAATATTCAAAGAATAGAAATGCTCGCCTTAAACAAGAAGACAAATATTTGTATCATCGTTCCTTTTGCTTTCTTTTCGATGTCATTTTATTCCGTTTCAAGAAATAAGTCATACATTTAAACTGAATTAAACTTTTATGTAGTCAAAAAAGGATACATAATCATCTAAGCTTCAGATTATCAATTGATCAGTTTGAGAAAGGGTATTAGTCTTATGCTCCGATAAGTAAATGAAGTAATCGATTGATATTTTTCATGTTAATACGAAAAATTAAAAAGAAACAAGGAAAAATGAATATTAGTTTCAGCATTTACTCGTGATCGGCTTGCTTAAGTTAGTTACTCATTATCTATCATTACCCGTAACGGAAATCGATGGTAACTATCGAATTAGACTGCAATGTGTGTGTATAGCATCGCTCAGTGGAATCGGACGTTTGTTAATTTTATTTGACAAAGTTCCAAATGAGAATTGTTGCCGAGAACTGATTTTAGCAAGCAGCATTTCCAAGTTATATCACTATTTTGTCGCCGTGTACAGTACGTATTTCTAATCAGCGTATAGAGTCACAAATCACTCACACGATGACACCCTTAGAAAGATTCCATCTAGCGTATGCTAAATTTTGTCTTACCAATAACATCGACAGCTTGAAGAGCTGCACGAGTAGCAAACGGTTGTTAACGCTTTGTAAGATATATAGTGTATTCCATGATGGATAATAGTAGTAAACTGATTCTTTCTCAGAGAGTGCTTCAGACTCTAGACAACTCGTTTTTTAGGTGTCTCTTTGGCTTTGCGGATATATTCAGTAACAATGCTTGTGTCTGCAGAAAAGTGCAGAGTATTATTTCACTGAGAGGAGGTCATTAGAACACTGCGCCTTTTGCTGCCAGCCAATTATTCACGAGATTGGTTTCTTGTAGCGTTCTTCTGGATGATCGTTCAATAGCGTTATCTTTTCACTGTCTAACTCTCACAAAAGCATGAGCGTGACATAATTCAAAGTACGTGGATATCAAAATAGTAACATTTCATTGTTGAATCATGCACTGACTATGGGGAACAGTCATCTTTTGAAAATGAGTCACAACTGGTTACTCATTACAACGATATGGATGCAATACATGAAATACCGAGGAGTATTCAAAAGGACATTTATTTTATCGGCGTGCTATACGTAGATTCTGACACACTATCTTTTTCATCAAATTATTCTCTTATCAGTAGGAGTGCGAAAAGGCAAAATAAAATCTTCCGATAAGTTCGACAGGAAAGTTATCGAGATATGTCCAGTATTGTGGAGTCACTGCTGTAACTCTTATCCCGATTGAGAATATATACACGAAAATATCACACCAACGGTTTCGTAGCAGTTTTGCTCGCTTATCAGTATTTGATTACCAATTCAGTGTTATCTCATCTGATAAATTCAAAGAGGCATTGACTAGTGTTTGGTGTGTCATTTGATAAGAAAACAGCTATTCAATATTCTCAGATAGCATTTTCAGATAAACCAAATGCGTAGAGATTTGTTTTGAAGGAAAACTTCTCGGTGCATTTTTACGGAGTAAGAAAAGTGCCTATATCACTTTTGATGTCAATTTATTTCTCAACGAGAAAAAAAATCATTCGTATCATCATTTAATTGCTGTTTTTTGTAGTATAGATGTATCCGTTATCCTAGAAATAAAAAACACCATCAATCGAACAGAAAATAAAGCATTCACTCTGCTTACATCATCTGGGCAGTGAAGAGTATCTAATAAGTTCCAGAGGGTTGTTTTTTGACCAACTTTTTGCATCTAAAGTTCAATGAAAGGAGACAGTTACGGAAATAATCTCGACGAAAGCGAAATGACAAACCATGTTGTTCCAGAGTTCGACAGCAGCAGCTTCATGACCCTTTTTGCTGAAGTGGAAACAATCAGGAGCGAAATATGAAAAATCAGCTAAACCAGCGGCCTACAGTAGAAAACTCGTTTAGAAAATTTCTTCTAGAAAATCCATCGATTTTTGTTACTGTTGAGGGAACTTTCATGTGTTCCATGAATGGTTGACGAACAATGGTGAAATCATCACGACCACTGCAGAAAGTTGGATCATCAATTAAAGCGTTGGTTTGTTTTTGATATTCAAAGTTGGCTACACGAGTGACATTACGTGTTGCGGTATCAATAGCGCATTTGCATAAGAATCTAAGCGATGGACGAATTTAAAAAAGATTGAGAACTGTTCGACAACATACCCTTGCATGCTTTGACAGACAACACCTTCGTGTAAATCTTCAAGTTCAGCGACGTTGAGAACAGTGACAAAGTTGACAAGAGTACGTGGCATGCCATTGTATAATTTTTCAAGTGCGATTTTGATGTTATTACGGTAGTTAGCAGCACTGTAATAAGCCTATACATACACAAAAAAAGAAGCAAATATATCGAAAATGTTGATGATGATTACTTACGTTATCATTGCAGTAGGCACAGAGATCGTTGCCACCAATGAAGAATGTGACTAATTTCCATTCAGTGTTGAATCGTGTGTCACCCAATGCTTTGCGCATTCTTGAGATTAAGAGATCAGCTTGGCCGGGCATATCACTAGGGAGAAGTGAAGATAATTCGATAACTGTCCAACTGCAGTTTAGCATTCTTACGCTGAAACAGCACCAGGCTTAGCAACATTGAAGTTAGCGTTTGAAGCATTTTGGTTACCAGTACCAGTTGAGAAACCGTTGAGATTACTGTTGAACTTACGGAGGATATCTATGATACAAGTAAAAACCTCTTCGATATTGAGGAACAAATAAATCGAAAGAGGGCAAATATACTTGGTAAAGTAACAGTTTTGTCAAGATTGTTGTCACCACCAATACTGAAATAGTCGATAGTGGGTCAGTAGGTGAGCTTGATCGTTATCTTACCTCCATGAGAGACCACGATATTCAACGAGAAGAGCAATAATAGTAACAGCATTAGCACCGTTAGCAGCCTAAAATATACCAAAGACTACACCTCTTTAGTCGAACTTATGAGTAAACATACGGTTAAACTGTCACCCATGGCGGCAATATGTTGAATATCAGCAACACGTAAAGCATGAACTAAACGAGAATACGTCATAAAATGTATGCTATGAGATCGAAATGACAAGGAAATACCTGATGTAGGAACTGTTGGTGAGGGAGTTAATGTTTTGCATGGGAAGTTGATGCGACTATCGGCAAAAGCCAATGGTCCCTAAAACAAACTCTTATTGATAAAGTTCAACTTTGTGGTAATCTTTACCAGAAGTCTCATTCGTTCCGCTGGTGTATGATCCCATCGGGGAACAGCAGAGGCAACAGCTAGTAAAAAAAAACAATCGAATCAAGAGTCAAGAAATACATCAGTTGCACGTACCACAAACTAAGAAAAAGCTGATATATGATAACGACATGTTTGCTGTGATTAGGATTAAGAGATAGCGAGGAGAAAGACCGATGTATTTATATAGAAATCATTTTTATATACGAAGAAATGTATCAGCTTGAACACTTGTGAAATATTCTCATAAGCGCCTGCCAAATCAGTAGGCGTGGATTGATAATATTTCTATTTGCTGTTCTTGATTTATTTTTCTGTTTTACTCTACATACATACAAGACAAAGAAAAAGGACGAAGAGAACACAACATTATTTATGGAACATTCTATCAGTCAAAGCAGTCATCAAGACCAGCAGCCATGGATTGCATGTGCTGTTTGTAGACGCACATATATTTCGCGATAAAAGCTTCGAGATGAAAGATCTCTTTGGAACCTTGTCGAAGACGATGTTCGTATTCTGCAGCTATTTGAGTTATTTGTGATTTCAATAGATCATCACAATTGGCTAATAATTCATCGAGTAAACCCTGCAAATGCAAACACGAACGAATGTGATGTTTCAACAGAGCAGGATTTTACTTTGAATATCACTTCAGCTGGAATACAATGTGCAATAAGTTCATAGAGTCGTTCACGTGCTTCTAAAATTCTGTAGAAGAAAGACAAAAATGATCAAGATGCAAATCGAATGTTTATAAATACCGTTGCGGTGTTTGTTGTTCGCCGATCATTCGAGCTGTGTCACGTAAATAGATTTCCCAATCTGGTTCAACAATTTGTTGATCTTTTGTCAATGGTACTCTAAAAAGTATAGTAAACCAGTCCGGATTCACGTTCAAGAGATTAAGTTCACTTTTGTGTCACACATGTTTGCAGCATTAACAAAGCTCGACGAAGATTTCGATGACTTTTTTCACCAATACGTGTTGCAAGATCAACTGGCAGTTGTACACCTTCAATAGTTGCCACTTTCTTTAGAACACCGCTAATCTACGGAAGTATTTCAAAGGAAAACCTAAACTATATTCGAGAAGCGATTTGTGTACAAACTTCATCAACAGTTGGTGCAGCAACTCGCACAGCTAAACAACGACTTCGAATAGCTGGAATAACACGCGATGTTGAATTACAACAGAGAATCAATCGACATGAACCCACGTATTTCTCCATTGTACGACGGAGGCCATGTTGAGCATCTCGTGTTAATTTATCTACTTCAACGATAACAATGACTAAGAAACGGCGAAAGATAAATCGAGAATATCATCAACTTTTCTTAAAAACCTTTAAATGAACGTTGTTCTGCACTATTAATCTGTTTTGTTTGCGCTATCGTTTTAATTAACTCTTGTATAACCACACGATCGTAAATTCCCACATCACTGAAGAGATAATCTCATTTCTAAATGAATATCTCTCTACTTATATCCTTACCTAGGATTGACTTGCGTATGAAAATTACTTCCAATCGTGGTTATTTCGATTTTCTTTCGCGCTGGTGTTTCATATTCGTGATTTTCAATACGCAACGACTGCACACCGTCACCGTACAAAGCGTGAAGCAAGCATGAGATACGTGTCTTTTTTCCAACACCGCTCGGACCATAGATAAGAAAATGTGGGAAATCGCCGCTAGCGACAATTGTCTTCAACAATGCCGCTTGTTCTAATTGATAATCAAGTTCATCGAATGTTTTCGGACGGTATTTATCGCACCAAAGACTCATCTGAAAGATTAAACAGAAACGCTTCCAACGTCACATTCTTCAGAATAGATGTGTAAACAAAGATATATGTCCAGGCCGTTTATAGACTGTTCGAATGATGTGGACAGAAAGAAAGAATATGATGTATATGAAATGAATCAGTTTAATCTAATCAAATAAAACTACAAAAAGTTAGTTTTAATAAGTTTCTTTTCAAAAATAAAATAGTCTTTCATCGATAGATTAATCCAAATATCGATTAAAAATTGCTTCGTATTTTTCTTGTTCACCCGATGTTTTCGATGGTTCGCCATTTTTCTTAATAAATGCATGCAATTCGTCGAATGTTGCCTTTCCACTCTCGATTTTCTTGCCGATGTCTGTATTCGCATACGATGCATAACGTTGTTGAACTAATGCATCGTACTTCTTCTCTTCGAATAAACGTGCCATTTTACGTAAGGCCAATGCAAAACAATCCATAGCACCAATATGCGCAATGAACATATCTTGAAGATTGGTTGATTCACGACGAACTTTGCAATCGAAGCTATATAGAATGAAGTAAATTTGAGAAAAGAAAGTCAAAGAAAACAGCGTACTTCAAACCGCCAGGAGCAAGTCCACCTTGAGCGATGATTGTTCGCATAAGAAATGCACAATCACGTAAATTCATAGGAAACTGATCAGTATCCCAACCGAGTGATGAATCACCGGTGTTCGAATCGATTGAACCGAGCATTCCGTAACGAGAACACATTTCCACATCATGTTCATATGCGTGACCAGCCATTGTGGTATGGTTTGGTTCAATATTCAACTAAATAAACTATTTTATCAAAAGGAAGTACAATGATTTCATCTCACTTTGAAATCTTTATCTAAGCCGTAGTAATTAAGAAAACCCATGACAGTTTGTGCATCGTAGTCATCTGATAAGAATGACAGACATTAAACTTGTACAGAGATAGCAACAGTTTACATTGATGTTTTGTTGGTTCTTTTGGCTTTGGTTCAATGAGAAGTTGTCCTTTGAAGCCAATCTTTTTCTTATGTTCAACAGCCATTCGTAGAAAAGCAGCAAAATGATCCAATTCTTTTCTCACATCTGTATTCAACAATGTCATATAACCTTCACGGCCACTAAAAATCCGTTCTGAATCGTATTTCACATAGCAATCTTAATCAATGCTTACCCCCAGAAAACATAGTTTTCGCCACCTAATTCATGTGTAACTTCCATTGCCCTTAAAAATGAATACGCCTGGATATTCATTGAATTATAAAAAGTCTGATCTTACTTTTTAACTTGAGCAGCTGCATATGCAAAAACATGCGCATCAGGATTTGTTGCTGCTCCATTCATGTATCTTGGATTTCCGAATAAATTTGCAGTACCCCATAAACATTTAATACCTGTTTCTTTCTGTAATTGTTTAGCCAATTGAACAATTTCATCCAAATTTCGTTCGGTCTCTTCAATCGTTTCACCTTCAGGTGCAATATCTCGATCGTGAAAGGTATAATATTTGATTCCGAGTTTTGAAAAGAATTCAAAAGCAGCTCGTAGACGATCTTTCGCGATCGACATCGGATCGGATTGCTGTTGATCCCACGGGCGATCAAGTGTTGATGCACCAAACATATCAGCACCAAGACCACGGAATGTATGCCAAAAACACACAGCAAATCGAAGCCATTCATGCATTGGTTTGCCCAAAATCACTTCATCTTGATTGTAATGCTTAAACACTAAAACTTCGTCGGCAGCTGCTTGCGGATTGTACTTAATTGGTTTAATGCCGGAAAAAAATTCCTTCGTCGAACCAGACATGTTTTACTATACAAGCAAAAGATAAAATAGTTGTAAATATAGATCCGATTACTGACTGAGTGAGAGGCGTGTTTATTGTAGTAGATAAGATATATACGAAAAGAGAAAAACAAAACTTAAGATAAAACAAGTGAAAAAATCGATTGGTTTATTCGATATTAAAATTCATTAACATACAGATGTCATCTATCTATGATTGAATATCGAGTTTCGCCTAGCAACTGTATGGCTAGTATGGAAAGAAAATATCCGTACACCGCCCAGTGCTTTCTGTTACACACTTCCGCTAACATGGAACTAAGTGAAGCACAGTGTACGGATGTGCTGTGCACATGTACTAGTGTACGATCTTTTGCGAAAATATTGTTCTTTGATTCCATTTTAGGGGCACTTAATGAAGAAAAAAAAACACATCTCTAACACATCAAGTAAGATGTATCAGTAGATGTCACTACTCCACAATGGAGTTACTATTGTATGGCTAACTCTCTATAAAAAAATATATTTTAATTTAACTAATATAGTTTTTCCTGAACTTTAAATTTGATTTGACTTAAAAGTATAATTTTGAATTATTTAACCAAATTCCCATCCAATGATGCTGTATTCTACACGATGGCCATATGACATTCAAATAAAAATGGATGATTGGTTTGGATCGTAATGGATCGTAGTTTCATATACATAGTTTATCATTTGTTTATTAAAACGCATTTCTTTTCTGCTCAGTACTACTGATTCTGTTCTTGATTATTTATGTTTCATTTAGATAGAATAAAGTTTCCCTGTCGAAACAATGACGAAGGGTACACAATCATTCGGTAAACGCAACTGTAAGACCCATACATTATGTCGCCGATGTGGTCGTTCATCATACCATTTACAACGACAACGTTGTGCTGCTTGCGGATTTCCATCAGCCAAAACCCGTAAATATCAATGGAGTGAAAAAGCNTGAAAAGTTATTTACCGAAAGAGAAGCAGTTTCTAGTCACGCGCAATGTTCCGTGTTACAAACGATGTAAGCATATGGAACATAAAGATAACTTAGAGAAGATTGTCGATGAAGAGAATGGCGATGGCGGCTGGGTTGATACACATCATTATGCGGATAGTACAGTAACCGAGTCACGAGAACATGCTGGACAAATTGAGGCATCCGGAAGTAAACAAGCCAAAGTTGCTGTTGAAGATAACGATGAGGACGATGATGATGATGATGCCGCTGACATGGAAGAATTTGAACGGCAAGGAATGGTTAATAACGATCCATTGGAAGCCCCGAGTAAGTTTATTTACTGTCTTCTTCAGTCAATCATTGAAACATTTCAGCAACGACGAAATCTACAGCAAGCGCAACAACAACCGATGATAATACTGTACAAAATACATTACAAACCCGTACATATGAGTAAGACTCTCCTCATAAAAACCTTTCGAATCTTCAATTCGAATTCCTATCTAGTCTTAATATAACATATGACAAATACTATCAAACACCTCGTCTCTGGTTGACCGGTTATGATGAACATCATAAACCATTATCGGTGGAAAAAATGTACGAAGACATCAGTCAAGATCATGCGAAAAAGACTGTCACCATGGAACAACATCCGCATTTACCTGGTACAGGACCGATGCCAAGCATTCATCCATGTCGTCATGCGGATGTGATGAAAAAACTTATACAAATGGTGGCAGAATCCGGCAAAGAACTCGAAGTACATATGTATATCATGATTTTTCTCAAATTTGTACAAGCAGTCATTCCAACGATCGAATATGATTATACACGTCAGTTTAATTTATGAAAAAAAACCGTCAGTCAACTTTCGAACAGTGAAAAATAATCAATTATCTAGTTCATGTTTTCTTTCTTTTCTCGATTTTTGCGATGATTATATTTATTTTTTCTTCTTCCTCATATATTCTGGTACCGTATATTCATTCTTGTCTCTTTCGTTCACTGTTCTCTCTTCTATTTTTATTCAATAAACATCTGTGTATAGCCGTAATATCATCGTAGGCGTTCTCTCAGAGTGTCTGCAGGAGAAGAAGGTAAAGAACAAAAAAAAAGAGAGCCCGATGGGCAAAAGACACGACCGATACTGTCCGTTATCAAAATGAGAGAAAGGAGTGAAATTATACTGACTGAATACAATATTCATTTTGTACTTTCGTTTACATTGTGTAATGAACACGTTGATTGCATCGCTCCTCGTATGTTTTCAACTATCGGCCCAAACTGAAATTGAATATCGACATTTAGGTAAGGAAAGTCGCAGGTTTAGTTCATCTGAACGTGATTTTGTTTGAAGGTCGGCCATGTAAAGTAAATCATTGTGATAATGAACATGTGTGTGTACGACGAAAGGATATTAGTTTACAATATCGCTGTGTTCCGAAGGTTTACTTCAAAGATCAGTAAGATGAAAATTTGATAATCAAAGAAACTGACTCTTTGATTCCTATAGTCCGGAAAAAGTTACTGAATGGAATTTAAGTCCGTCGATCATGGATGAGATATTAAATGCTACAAAGTGTCAATCGTGTTTGGCTGAACCGTTGAATTATGTTTGGTAAAAAAGAGGAGCGGAAAAGAATGTGTATGTTATTTTTTCTGTTTGAATTCAGTGGAACCGATGGACGTATGTACCGATCGGCTTGCTTTATGGAATATTTCAACTGTTTATTGGACACAGATGTTCAAATAGCATGTGATAGAGAATGTCCGTGCAATGATACAAGTATAATACGATACTCCGATTAGAGATCGTCTATAAAAGAGTTTTATTTTAGATTTTGAAGAACTGGTACAATAATGAAACGTTTTGTTTTTAGTTATTTGTATTTGATGTAAATTTTAGGATGCAGATGAGAAAGAGAAACCTGTCAAGTTAGTGAGAAGTTTGTTTTGGAGAGCTTCTCTCGAATAATTGTCTTATATTATAGTGATCCTCTTGCTGATGGTAGTCCCGATGATTCGAGAGGATGTAAGAATAAAATTTTGGTTTGAGTGCTGTGTAAAAAGTTCTTTTATCTGCTCTTCAGACTTCGAACAATGTCCACGATCTGTTCATCGTGAATTACGTAATCGTTTCTTTGATTGGTTCCATCAAATCGAGAAACTTGAACATAAAAGTCAATATTACGGTAGACAACGTTTTTGCCAATTATTCATGTTCGCATAAGACTTTGTCCTAGGATCAATTGGCAATTGTCATCCAATGGTTTCATACATGTTTTATCATTTCGATTTTACAAATGATTCGGAGCTCAATGACGATGAATTGAATAGTATTGAACATCTAAAAGATGAATCTTGCACCGATATATTCTTTCAACGATGTGATCATGATGGTAATCATCGAATATTCCCGTACGAATGGTGCAATTGTTTTAAATACGCGCGTAAATCTAAATAGACGCACGCTTGACATGTTTCTTTAATCAGGATTATTTCTAGTTTTACCTTGTGAGCTGCACAACCAAGATTTGGATACAGCCTACTGGAATCATTCGATGGAAGGAATCTTTCGGCCACGATGCACTTCAAATGGATATTATGCAGCGAGGCAATGTAACACGGAAACACCGAGACAGTGCTGGTGTGTGGATAAACATGGAATTGAAGTTGAGGGCACACGAGACGATGATGATCATATGGCTCAATGTGGTATGAGAAAAAAAGCAATCTTTGATTGAGTCATTCCTTTCTTTTTACTTATAGAAGAAATTGAAGATTCCAGAACTAAGAAATAAAACAATTTCGTTGATTTTCTGTGTCAAATTCGAATAACAAAACATGTAGTTATTAGTATTTCGTAGTGTTGGTTGAAGGGAAAAGCTCAGTAGATGTTCATTCGTTTGTTTTTTGCAAAATACAAAAATTGAAACACGTAACATTCACTTTTCTCTACTATTGCATGAATTGAATTTGCAATGCACACCAGCGCATGCTTAACGAACAATTATTAAAAGAGACTTTCGAGCAGAAGCATTTTACTTCGGTACTTTGACACTTCGTTGAAATGTATTTAAGTTAAAACAGATCGCATGATAGAAAATATGGGCGTATCTACTTATATTATTCTCCGGATCTCAAGCGTTAATCAAGAAATTAAAATGATTGAAGGCATATTAACACGTAATTCAATACATGCGGAAAATATACATTAATGTATTCGTAAAAGAAAATGCTCGAGATATAAACATATTTCATAACAATACAAAGTCTATATCCTTTCTTTTTTCCTAATGGAGTCGTCCGGAGCGTACGTTTTATTAGCTAGAGAATCGCATAAATGATTGAGTTATGAATATCAGATGAGTATTTCAACTAGATGGAGATGTAGTACAAATGCTGCTAGAAAATATCACAGTAGGTGATTAGAAATCCAACTCTTACAAACGATGCATCTTTAGTTTAATGTTGACCAGCCAAAAAGGATTTGAAACAATGCATTGATATAGAAACCGTACACTCTGCTCTGTCCCTCCTACTCGTCTAACATTCTCCGTGACTACCATCAATGTTAATGGGTTTACTTCAGTATTCATCTAGAAACGTTTTGATCGCCAACTAATCATTGGTTTAGTCATCAGCGTACTAGAAACACGTAGGGCTTCGGGAGAGATATCAACATTTATTGATCATCGAAAAATCATATGTTGAGACAGGATGTTCAGAAAATACACGTTCGTTAACTTTAATTATCAGTAGAGAGTGCGATGGAACTCATAGACATGTCAGATGTCTCAAATGGCGGAGAAATAATATTTAAAGAGATTTTTCTTTGTGTTTATTGTAATCATATATGTGTGAGGGAAAAATACCATAAGGACGGTTTGATAGAAGTTAGCCCACATAATTTCAAATGGAATTCTCCAGTTGAAGAATTTTTTCTCCTTATTTCAGTTGATTTCTTCTTCTTCTTGGTTAAGAAAAAAATATTCGTTGAAAAGGACGTCGAATCATCAATTCAAAGTAAGTGATTTGAAAACGATAGCTCACCTGTTGTTGAAATAACAATCATACAGCGAATGAAGAATGTGTTGACGTTGTTTCCTCTTGTCAGATAAAATTGTCTATAATATGATGAAAGTGCGTAACTTGGTTAAATACAGCACAAGTAGGCGTCCGATTTCGACACTTTGTTGACACAATGAAAAGAGAATAACATGTAAATTGCTGTATAAAACGAATGACTAAGAGTCTTTTTCAATGGTTTTTTGACAAAATCTCTTTTTTCATAGCTTTAGAGTTAATGAAAATGAACCATTGTTATCTTTTACAAATTTCTCTCGTATTCATGCTCCTATTTTCAATGTCCTTCGGGCGGATATTACCTGCTCGTCAACTTGATTCCTATGATTACGAAAGTAAGTCATTCAAATCTCGTTTCTCTTCGATATACGATGTTCTCCTTTCTTTCTAGAACAACTGAATTTCGAATCCGATATGTCCGATCTAGCTCATAGTCAACATAGACAGTCAGACAAAGACGTGCATGTTTATCAACGAGCCGTTCTAAGTACATCTCGTGCATCTGCAACTCGTCAGCAAATTATTGATATTCTTCGACAAGCGTACAATCAAGGCTGGAAACCTAATATAAAACACTATATGCCCGGAACAAGATTTGGTCGACATCGTTAATCGATCGGTTATTCATTACAATCGTTTTGTTTGTTTGTTTTTTTTTTTGTATGTATAGAAATAATTAATTTATTCTATTGTGCAAAAAGAGTGATGAAAATATATTTATTGGCGTATGGCTTTCTTTCAATCGTGTTAATGATAAACGCGTCGGGTGATATCGACAATTTCAAATGGCCATTGAAGTTCAGTTTTTGTTACAGTTTTAAAACATTGTAATTTGTATAAATCAATAATAAGACGATCTGACGACGTTGCACTAACTAATTTTCCAACTGCCATAACATAGTCACCTAAGGAGAAATGTACTCATAGTAAATTAGCTAAGTCGAAAACATTCCTACACCAATATTGATTCAAGAAATGAAACCCTTTATGCAGTGACTCAATCGAATTTCGTATAGTCGTTAGATTATATTTTAACAAGACACAAGGGTGGGGGGGGGGAATGTATCGTATATGTCTTAGGTTGTGTTGCATGACTTCGGATCGTGATAGATTACGCACGTAGACTAACGTTGTTTTGTAGAAGTATTTATGAAATAGAATACCTAAATTTGCACGTACAGTCAAGCAAAAACAATTGTATTTTGGATTTATTTTGTGGATAAATCGTGCAAGACAATTGTTATTGTCACATCTGACATCGACGATTTAGCTTCGATTGAACAACCACGGTACTTAGCAACCGAGTGAAACACTACATCATATTAAGATTATAATCATATAAGCGACAAGATCAACTATATTTTAGCAATGAGTTTGCTTTTCGTCATACTAGTCGATGATGATGCAAGATATCGTGTGTTATATGTCAATAAAACGCGTTGTATCGTGAGGCAAATGTGTAAAAATGCGCTTTTACTCCACAGTTGATCAGCATGATGAAGCATTGAGTATGAATACGTGTATTACTCACGGAGTTTTTACAATGTCTTACGTTACAAGACAAAATATTTGCATTAAGGATTATTTTTACCAAGATTTCATAATAGAAGCATATACCTTCGACTGTTGACCATGCATCTTTCACACGCGTTGTGATTTTCAGTTCCGCTTGACCTGTGGCATCTTCGATTACTATAATACCAGCATTTTTATCAACCTAGATATAGAAGATACCAACAATCAATTTTCAACATCAAATCTTTTATTGAGTACACATTTTCAAGGATCAGTTGGTAAATATGTCAACATGACTCATGCTAAGCCCGATAAGATAAGAATTAATTGAAGTGCAGGTCAACATGTTCGTTATCAACGAGTATTGATCTTTAATCCAGGATAAGGACGATCTTGCATGACTTTCTTGACATCCGTAGCTTACCTTAGTACACAAACCTTGTACCCAAACGAATTGAAATTGATACGTCTTGCCATTACGTACAATTGCCCATTGACTGTCATCGTGTGAAGTACTCATTGCCCGGCGTAAATCGCCGATAAATGATTTCCGCCAAACAGTGTCAATGAATTGTCCGACCATGACTTTCAAACGATAATCTATTTTTTAGCTGAGGAAAACAATCAATGAAAATCTGCAGACGAGAAAAAAAAAGATAAAACCAATCAAAATCACAATGATGAAAGTTGTTTCAACATTCTTATCAGAACAAATCATAGAAATAGTCAAGACCTTGACCACCATCCCAAATAGCCACACCAACATTGAGTTTCATTGCTATTTTTAATCGTTCATAGATCGATTTCAATGTTGGATAGAAAACAATCGTTTGAGGCAGTGGTTGTTGGTCTTGTTTAGTCGGACGTGTCTGAACAAACGTGACATGTTCGTGTGCACGTGGATCGAAGATAATGGCAGTTGTCGAGAAGGATTTTTTCAAAAAATCAATATAATCTCGGCCAATGATTGGTTTCATTCCATATTGTTGCTGTTGAGGATCCGCTTTGCCCTTTGCATTAGCACGATCATAACGATAACCATAAAAATTCAGGCCGAGAAAAACTTTCGCTCCACCCTCGACTTCAGGTTTCGAAAACTTCTCCATTGTGCTCTCTACCCATTCTTAAAAAAAGATGATAACTCGAGTATAGAAATGTAATTCAAGTTCATTAACATACCTAACGGAGCAACCGGACCCGGTTCACGATTAGGAAAATCATATGTCATTACACTAAATCCATCCAAATATTCATATAACAAGTCAAAATCATTCTTATCAAATAATTCATCGTAGGGCGGAACAGCTAGAATTACTTCTTTCTTCGTTTCATTACTATTCAATTGATGCACATGTTCAGCAATATCGCTAATGATATGATTTAATGTTGCTTTGGAGGCGCCGCGGAATTGCATAAGTAATTCAAGAACATAACCGTCAAATAAATCTTTATGTTCAGTAAGAAAAGTAGCAAATGTTCCTGCTAACTGCTGTTTTTCTTCTTCTGATTGAAACAACGCATGAGTGTCATCAGCAGACCACTTGTCGAAGATAACACGCGGAACGATACGTATTTTTGGATTGTTTTCTTTCAATGTTTGAATCCATTTCTTATCAATGTCATGTGTGCCTTCCATAACATACTTCTCGGCACTTTTACGCTTAATACTTAACCACACTGGTGAAATATAATCGAACTTTTTCGTAAATGTTTTTGCGATGTCATATCCATGAGCATTCCAAGGTGTTATGTAGACAAGTGTCGGATGAGTGAACTCACGTGTTTCGGTACATGTTGAACAGTAGGATTCGTGATTTTCAAGGATTAATTGCGGATTCAAGTTTTCTGTGACCAGTTGACGTTGTAAGACATTGCTTTTCATCGGTGCAGATGCGCGGATATCTGCCGAAGGGTCTTTCAATTGCGCAGGTGGTACTGGTGTTGAACTGACTTTTTCTGTGGAACGAGCTACGGTTTTACGAGTACCGGGTCCTATTGTTGTCTCAATAGAACATAACAAACACACAAATATGACGACAGATAGACAATGTGTCATCTAAAATATGAAAATTGTCAATCGGTGGTGTGACATTGAAAAATCAAAATCCAGTGAGAATGTCTCAGTTGAAAAAAAGAATCTCTGCGGGCTGTTGTTTCTTCATTTTTTTGCGGTAGTTTCTCTGACGACATGAAAACAACCATTGGTAGCATTACACATGAGAGGAAAAATAAATTTCCTCATTTCAAGCATATATTAATATTGACAAGGGAGAAGTTTACCAAGTGCTTTCTCTCTCTTCATTTGTGCATTCATCGTGCCTATCAATTATATGAAATGAGGTTCAAAAAATACAACGAATAAAATCTATTTGAGTAAAAAAAGAACGAAGTACAGTTATCAAGAATGAATAGATCTATCAGGAAATAATAAAGAAGAATTTTAAAAAAAAGTTATTATCGTAATAAAAAGAAAAAGAAAATAATTCACAAAATAAAGTGTAAATTATGCATTTAGAGACGTTGGTAAAGCAGGATTTTGAATAAAATTCATGCGTTGTTTTTGTGTTCGAGATTCTGTGACCTAAGCAAAGGAATTAGACAAATGAAATTCAATCTAAATTATGGAATTTTACAAGTTTTTGTAATTCAGATAATTCGGCTGCTAATGTTTTGATTGTTTTGTTCGCATCTTCCATTTGAAGTTTCAATAGACGATTATCCTGATCTTCTTTGTTTTTCTCCTCTTGATTATCCAAACTACTCGTTCGCATACGCGGAAACCATTCGAGATTTCTTTGCTAGAAAAAAAAAACACATTCGCTTTTCAATCTTGACTATGAAGAACAAATACGCACTTCGATCATTTCATGAACATAACTCTCCGGACCAGTGTATTCCGTTGAGTCTTTGACATGAATCAAAACCATGAAATAGACGTAATTCCACATATTATGAACTTTATGGACATGATCTTCGAATGTGACATGTTTGTTGTCGAATGATTTACGGTCGAGTCCTACAAAAGAAAACACATTGATTTTGATCATTGTGCAAAGATTCAATCGTACCACAAATGAAACATGTATTACGAAGGACTTCATCATTTCTTTGTTTTTCTGTACGTAAATCAGCAAAATTATCAATGATCACACCAAAAATCAAATTCAAGGTAATAATAATAACAACAAAGAAGAACATCATATCGTAAATAACTCGGAAGAAGTACAATGGTTCCTAGAATAAACATTGTATTGGCATAATGTAGACTCCGTGATCACTCACTTGACTCGAAGGTTGTCGGAGGACATCTCCGATTCCACCGCCATTCCGTAAACCTTTGTTCAGAGTAGTTACAATACACATAAATAACGTATCACAGGCACGTTCGACTTCATCTTCTCCTGCATCTTCAGGTGATAAGATTGGTATTTGAGTGGAATGCCGAAGATGCCCAGTCAATGTGTCATTCGAACAGTTACCTTTCGTACAATATCGATCTTCTATACTATGTGAAACCGTTGTTGCTAAAAAAGAGAGACAGACGTTTAGTTAAGGTTTGTTGGAACGAGGAAATAACGAAGGAGACAATCACGAACAACGACTAGTTTTGACATACGTGTCAAAGTCACTGTTTTAATCAAATGGCTTGATCGTCGGTATCGAAGGAAATTATTTTGTGTTTGAATATTCGTATAGAAATCATCACGGAAAAAGACAAACCCCACAAGAGAAAATAGGTAAATGACTATTAAAGCTAACAGCATAGTTAACATGATTGATTTGCCATTTCGAGTTACAGATTGCATCACGTAGGATAATGTTGAATCTCGAAAAATTATATCGAACAACTGGAAAAATAAAAATTCGTTATACAAAGATTTCCTTACTCTTTGAAAGAAAAAGTATTTAGAGAAGACAAAGCAGCGTGTATAAGCACAGAAAAGACACTTACGAAATCGATCGGTGTAGTTTTTCAATGTCGAATTTATTGTTTGATCTTCAATTGCAAGCGCTTTCGTTTTCACTTCCATGAGGAAATCATCTTGGATAAACAGATATCCACAAATAGCAAAGAGATAGATGATAATAACAGCGAAGACAGCTGTTAAAATAACAGATTTAGCATTGCGAACAACACATTGAATGACATTCCACAACGTATCTTCACGATAAACAACATCGAGTAGCTAAGAAAAACGAATCCACGACATCACACAACACATCAACAGCAAAACTTACCAATAAGCTATAGAAAAATTCATGAACGCATAAGCCAAACACACACAAAGCTAGATAACCCATGTGATAGACCAATTGAAAGTTCGTTAGATTTTCATAGCGTGACCTGGAAAACGTGCCATTATTACCCATAAAACTTACTAAAAACACTCCTTTATTTAAAACCTATAAAAAGAAGAAACGAAATTAAGTCAAATGTGTGAGAGCAGCTTCGTACTTGTATCGCGCCCATGAACCATAGAGTTGGCCCGAGTCCGATGGAATAAATCGATCTTAAAATTCCTGCTACAAAGCACATACGCAATGTTGTTACATTAGGTTTTAATAATGTGGTTATTAGTGTAATTAAAAATACACTCCAGATTGCTGCCGAAGCACGAGAATCGAGATCTGATGAAAAGAAAAGCAAACCCATCGTCGGTGCTGATGATTTTTAGTAGAATATACTTTACCTTTCAAGCCTTTATTAAATGGATAAAACACAGCAACAAGAATGTTGATCAACACTGCGAAATTGAATGAGATATCACTCCAAAGGGACATATGAGATGAGAACCAGTATAAGGTCGGTTGATGACGCAATTTTCTTTGCCATTTCATTTCCTCGAAGATCTCCGGAAATTTTCCAAAGAAATCTCTCACTTTCGATCCCTGTTGATCTTGTTCACAAGTGAGAAAAACTTTCTGTTTCTTTTCGTTTGTCAAAAATTCACATAGTTGTGGAACAGGAAAGACAACTAAACAAAAATATGTTCAATAATAAGTCAATTCGTATTGGACAGGACATACTAGGTTCAATAGATCGATCATGCCGTATGATTTCAATCTCCGCGGTGTGTTTATGATAATATGATAATGCTTCGTCATTTAACGTTCGGATTTTCATCAATGCTTCCAACTCACGATTATGACGCGAAAGCTGAAAGATATTTATCATGGCAAAGTTATTTATTTGAACAAGAAACAAATCGTTTACCTGATAGGCGAGAATATACATGTTATGACCAACAGTTTGAGCAACATTATCCGGATTATCATTAGCTTCTTCCTCGTGTGTTTCTTCAAGATTTTCGACTTCTTTGTGTTCGACTTCTTCTTGTTTACCACGAGCATAAATTTGACAAGCAACATCGATCTAAAATAACCAGATTGAAACATCTCCATCTTATCAAACAAAACTCGAACGTACCAATTGTGAAACAGGATTGATATTTCTAAGAATACGTTCAGCATTGGTACTGTCATCTCGACTTTCCATTACGGCTAAGAGTAACTTCGATGCATTATCCTTAACAAAGAACGAATAACAACATTCGATTAACTCTTCCAGTAGAATACAATTACTTTCAATTCTAATACAAGATCATAATTCTTTTGATTTAATGGTGTGATATCATTCAACACAATAGCAATAATGATATCGATGCCATTGGATTCGTGATTGACAATGGCATCCTGATTATCTCGACATGGTCCTTGGCAGTATTCAGTTAGAGTATTTAATGCTTGATTGATCAGTTCCACATTATCTTCATTAATATAATTTCCTAGAAGACCAAGTAAACCTGTTTGAGAACCACAGATTGCATCGAGAAATTTCAATGTCTCGCAAACAAGATTGTAATTTGTTTTGTTATTATCTTGTAATCGGAGATAGTTCTAAACGAAATAAAAGGAGATTAAATGACAACAGATTATGAAAGTGCATTACCTGAAATTCAGGATTGTGATTTTCACAGAGCAATTGTAAGAATCGTAAGATTGGTTGCATAATTCGAAGTTCAAACGCCAATTTATGACGACGATTCTGCAGACTAAAACAATTAATGTACTAATGAGATTGACTTTCTTGAATATCTTACTGAATATCGAGAGTGTCCACCGAGCCCGGTGTTGAATTTTTCGGTCGATCGATTTGCAGTGGAATGTCATAGGTCGTCAATGTGGGTTGCAATTCTTGTGGTGAATCGATTTCCGCCTCATCTACATCGACACAGAGAGTTGATTTCTGAAAAACATTCATTTTATCGAGCATACTTGACACATCATCTATCGGAGGTTGAAGTGAAACTTCGGATGCTGGATCGATGGTAAACTTCTCATCTAAGGGTGGTGCAAGAGACGGTTGAGGACCACTTATCATTGGAGTTAATATCGACGACATATTGATAGACTTAGGCGTGAAGGTAAAATCATCGTATTCATCAGTGTCTTCGGTAATATCATTACTAACTGATGACATACTCTTCAGTGTTTTTTGTGCGACATACATTTTATCGTAAAAAACTTGAAAGAACTTCTCCGACGCGGTCTCACATCCATGCAAACGACGAAATATACTTGTCTGAAATTTATTCATTGTTTAAAGCGTTGCTTATGTCGAAAGAATCAAATCTTACTTGCACTTCAGTGTTTCCTCCTTCGAGTAGTGCGATCGCTAGATGGATACTTTCTTCGAGAATGTTCATCGATGATTGACTAATGAATAATTCCACGACAAGATCACTTGCACCTTGTCTGTTCAATTCATTTTGTGTTAATCGTAATCGTTCGAGAGCATCTTCTTCTAAATAAAAGAAAATCTTTGCTTTTTAATTCTGTTGGTTAATCAAGATATTTCGCACAACAATTGACTTTTGCCGAAAAGTGGTAATAATCCTTTAGTTTTGCATAGTTTTAAAGGAATCATTCGATTATGAGATACCAATCGAACAATAACGAGACTATGCCAGTGGGTAGATTCGAACGCTATCACATTGCCTTCTAAACAATTCAATCGTACCTTTTAGCGGTTGATGAAGCGATTTCAGATATTGTTTGTCATCCGAAAAGTACCGTCGTAACAATTTTAATCGTAAACTTTGTCCCTGAAAAAGAATTTCACATTGAAATATGTCAAACAGTTTCAGTTTAGATTACCATCGTATCGAACTCGTGATTGCTTTTCACCATCGATTTCAATGCGTGCATAATTCGTAAACATAGATTTTCATTCGTTCGTACAAGTAGATACTTCGCGTGTTGGATAAACCTAAGTGCACATGAAGTAAAGAACATCGGTATACAAAAGCTTACTTATGAATCAATGTTCCAGAGAGAAATTTCGATCGACATTCATTATTTTCGGGAAACAAGGCATTCGGTGCTCGAATGACATCCACAAGTACACTGATCTCTGCTTGAATCAACGGATTAAGTCGAACACTAACATCAGATAGATATTCCTAACGACGAAATAGGATATTTTTCAAAAATTTGCCGATGAACGTCATTTACCACAAATCGATCGATGACACGTTTATGTTCTAAATCTTCGGAATTATCGCACACATCTGCGAGATAATCGCTACTATGCCGCCGGCCGGACACGGTACTGTGGCTAGTACGGCGTGAACGATTGACTGATTCACTGATTGAACTGTGACTTGAACGAAGAAAATGAAGAAGTCCTCGACGATCAGCTAGAAAGATGACGATATTCAATTCTAACTTCACCAAAATAAACAAACAAAAATCTGTACCAATCGATGCAATCACATGAACACATCGTTCAATTCGTTCGCGTTGAACAGACGATAGCCATGGTACACTTAATAGTCGCGTTAAATGACTATGTAACGATACCAAAGTCGTATTTCGATGCTAAATATGCAGAACAATATCAATCAATGAACATAACATCGTCTATATCCCCAACAATATCACACGCAAAGAAAGGAAATCACGCATGCAAAAAAAAAGAAGGAAAGATCATTCCGAGAGCTCGCATAACTTACGTGTGTTCCACTGTTAACTATGATCTGCAACAAGACATCAATATGTATAGAAAACATGCACAAGAAACAGTAGTGTTATGTTTTTTTTTGTATGTTAGTGACATTTCTAATCATTCAGCAAGAGGAACGGTTCTGGTTTTTTTTTAAATATTCTAGTGGAAAGTACCTCCCAAGAAGCAATTATTGATGGCGCGATCTCAGCTGATCGACTATCATCAAGCATATACTGATCCTATGATTAGATGTTATTAATTATGTTTTTTTTATTAAGAAAAATCAATGATTGAAGAATAGTGTTGAGAGATCGTGCTTACTTGTGGCGCCGATGATTGTTCAAAGAATGGTGAGTTGAAAAATTGATTAATCAAATCGATGATAGTTTCTAAAATGTATTTATCCAAATACCGTTGTTCCACTGATCTTGTTATTAACTGAAAATAAACGGCGAGAACATAATCAATCTGAAGATGATCACTTTTTCTTACTTTTTCTATATCTGGACAGAATGATTTTTCGATTAGTGTGTAAATATGTTGACTGTTGTAGATTTCTTTCATTTCCACTTCAGTGTCGATGTAACAATGAGTGAGAAAGGTGATATACGCATTTTTAACCTAGATAAAGCCGGAATGTAACAATAATTGTCAATAAGTATTGAAAAGACAAACTTCAGGAATACAATCTGGATGTGTGACGATGAGAACTAGATCATCGAGACCTATTAGTGAGTGACATTTGATTTCAGTTGATGCATTTTTTCCTTCGGTACACATTGCGAGTAGATGAACAAGTTGTATATGATAATTCAGTAAGGAATTCGGATCTGATCGTTCACTGTCCGATTGCATACGGTCGACCAGATCAGAGAGATTGCCTTTTTCATAAAACATTAAAACTTCGTCCGAAGTAACCAACTAAAACGACAAAATTAGAAGATTTGTACGAGTTCCTTTCGAATATTACTTCCGACATGACGATATCTTGACAATTTTTTATATATTGTCCTTCTGCTTTGATGATTGTTTGGAGAAATTTGATATAAATCACTTTACGACCATGTAGTTCGATTAAATGAACAAAATGTTGAACATGCTTCTCCGTTATTGTTTTACATAGATGAACATTGTTGAGAAATATATAACAACATGTTTCGACTTCTTGTTCCTATGAAAAATCAAAAGAAAGTATGTACAATTCATGACCATTCTTACCTCAGATAATTGCTGATAATCATTGAAGTACAATTCATATAATTTCGCTTGATTCGTTGGATTTTCATAACAAAAATATTGTAGCAGATTATGAGCTAATTTCATTATGCAATTCATTCGAGTATCCTCTACCTGCAAAGATATCCATTCACGTTTTCTCACTGAAAATCTTTCGTTTATCCTTACTTTATCATACGGAATCTTTAATAAATCTAAGACAACAACATGGACATCCATATTTCTCAAAAGACGCTGTTCATTTTCTCGCGCATGCAACGTCCCGTCAACGCCTTCCATCACACATAGTTTGATCATTCGCCGGAGGATCTAAATATGAATTCGCGATGAAATATCTCATTAATATTCAATTATTTCGGTAAATTTCCGACAAAGAAATCATATTCAATCTACACGCGCAAACTATGCAATCAACGAAATGATCCATGCCGATACGTTCTATTGCTTTAAACAAAATTTTCAGTCAATTGATCTTTAAAACAATAGATTGAAGTCAATATGACGAATCATGCATGGCAAAGACAATATATACATAAAGAAAAGAATAGAGCAATGCTAGCACATGTAATAAAGAAGCACTTGAACCCATAGTGAAAAAAAGAACAGAGACGAAGAAGTGCAAGATCTAACGTAGAGATCAAACCCTCTACATATGAAATATCCCATTACCGTGTCAATGAATTTATGTATGCCCTGTGAAATACGACAGAGATAGAGAGAGATAAAGAAAAACAGAATTAGTTCAATAAGTATTTTGTGTATAGGTAAGTTTGAAACATGCTAATGAGACTATTTCTGAAAAGGACAGAGAGAGAGAAGCGATTAGATGAGCGCTACTGACCTGAAATATCGATGTATAGCGATATGCTGAGTCTTCATTGATAATCGGACCGCCAATATCGAATTCTGTATCAGTAAGACCAGACGAAGTAACCAGTTTCTTCAATCAAATAAATAAACGAGATTAAACGTGACAAATTCACTCTGACTAATTCAGTTGAATTTCTTTGTTACTCGACAGGCTTTTCCCATCAGAGAACAGTCTGCATATTTCGCAAGTTCAAATAGCGTCAACCTCTGATTGGACTTTAGTTTCATATGTTCAGGTTTCTAGTGAGTTCATACCTTGATTTCTAATTCATCTTCTTTTCGATCTTCTTGATCGGCTTGTCCATCCGCTCCATTTGCCAACGCTAAACCATCTTTGCCTTTTTTATAAACCCATAATTCCGATTTTTCGACAAATAATCTCAATTGATCTAAGTCTTGCTTGATTTGCTTATAATTTTGAATATCTGTTTCACTAACTAGTAATTGCACTTGATTCAGATGTTGTAGAGTTTCTTTTCGTTGATTAAAATGTCGGAAAAGTAAAGATAAAGCACGAGATACTAAGGGTTGATAATCATGCATGACTAAGTTCAATAGAACTTTCAGGAATGTTTTGCCTTTTGCATCGTCTAGATCGAGATTGGGCTCACTGGAATCGAATATACATTCGATATCAGCTGTTTGAAGTAGATTTGGAATTGAATCTAGACCGAAGAAGAGAGAGACTGAAAATGAATTCGATGTCGAATACTATTTACCAGGATGATCGTATTTTTGTTTGAACATCGAAATCAAACGCGAGATGCGGAAATCGAGACGAATATCGAGGATGAATTCCAATATTGCAATAACATTCATCTTGGTTTCATATGCCAAATCGTCGAGGGTATCATATGTTTGTTCGATGTTGACATCTGCACCTGAATACAAGGTAGGCGCAATGGCTGGTTCGTACTTTGTCGATTTCGATGTTGATACAACGACTGATGAGACTAGATAATGAAAATTTACCGAGTAGTTGAATAAAAAGAACAGCAAACCTGGCTCTAGATGTGGTTTAGATATGGAGACTTTGTTTGTATCAAGGATGCCGAGGAGTGTTTGCGTCAGTTTGAGTAAATCTTCAAAACTGTAGAATCCGAAGAAGATTAGCCGACGAGCGAGATTAACAACCTGAGGAAACGAGTGAGAAACGATGGCTCTTCTGTAGAGAAGATGTTTACTTCATGAGTCAGTTTGTTTTGTTCACCATCTGCGAATGAGTTTGGTTGCTGAACAACCGTCTTGAGATAATCTTCTACGAATTTCATCGTCGATTCAAAATTAATCCGATTTTCCTGCTTTTCCGATGGGTCAAGTGAACCACTGATGGTTTGATCATAACTGTAACACAAACAAATGATACAACATCATTTAGTCATCTTTTCGATACGTACTCATTGAGTGTTATCGTTGGTTTCACTTGATTCCATAGTCGAGCATATTTGATACGGGTAACTTCTTCTTGTGGATCACGATTTACGTGAATATGAATCATTAGACGACAAAATGCAGCCCGAAGATCTGGTGGAAGATTCTCACTCTTTATACATCTAAATTCGAGAAGAACTAATGGAATGCTTGAGTAAGAATAGTTGACACTTACGTTAGAATAAGTTCAATTGGTAATTCCGCGGATAGATTATCAATAGCGAGATATTGTCGATCGAAACACATATGAGAGAACAAATTCAATTGATATCTATGAAAAAAAATGCATTGAAATCTGATTGATCGGTGAAATGAAATAACAACATACCTATAATATTCTAATATATTCTTGAATTCTTCTCGTTTCAGATGTGTTGGGTGATCTCGGATCACTCCGGCCATGTATTCAATTGATTCTGACTTTCCATCCCATGTTAAAACGACTTCCGGCAGGATATTCTGCTGAGAAAATCCAGTCGGTGGACTAACCGTGTCATCTAACACAGTATCTTCAATACAGGTTTTTACTTCCAGTCTACTCAAACAAAAAAAAACATTGATTCACGAGGAAAAACTTTCATTTCAAACTGACTTTGTTCGAATCAATATATCCGAATTCTTCTCTAACACTGATTTACATATCATTTCTTGTGTTCGAGCAATAGCTTGATTACTGGATACGCATAGATCCGATAAATATTCTAAAAACCTTCAACGGAAAACAAATCATTATATCAAACGAACCGAATTCATCGATGACACCCTACTTGCAATCTCGCTTCTCTCTTAATAGTTTAACAAATGTGTCGATTTCTTTTTCAGTGATGTGTTTCTCTAATAATTTTTTGTTGTTATGTAACAATGCAGTGATGGTATCTTCAGCGAGAATATCATAACCAATTTGGGATTGCATAAAAGCAAATTCTTTCGCGATGGTTTCCTTGTAGAAATCAAGACGAATAAATTGAAGAAAAACTCAAACTGAAGGTTATACTTGATTTTTTCGATATTCCTGTTGACAATGCTTGAGTATTCGATAGCAAAGACGACAAATTGTTTTCATTTGGTAAGTTGTAGTTGAATAGCGTATATCAGCATCTTGCTGTTGTTGTTGAGATGAAATATAATGTTCATTAGCGGACGATACAGGTGAATTACTGGCAAAATGTTCTGAGCTTTTCGAATTATTCATATTAGATCGTTCAAGTTCTAGACGGGGTTTCAATACTCGTAGGACGCGAAATAACTGAAAGAACAACAATATTCGAAATCGAATTTTTCCAAGTACGGCTCATACCTGCTTGAGAATATTCTGTTCACGAATCAATTTTTGTCTCTCACGATTAGGTTTCAAGACTTGTACCTCAAAAGGATCACTTCCATTGTTCTCTTGACATGCGAGAAAGTAAACAATATCAGTTAATAATAAAATAACTTGTCTAGAAGAAGAAGATCAACAGCAGACACAATGATTCAACTGAATTTCTTCTTCTCTTGTCTTACTTTCTTTCATTAGCATGAACATTTATGATTCCGATTTTTTCCCATTTCGATACAGTGACATCGAAATGTTGGGCAGCATCATTAGCAAAATCGAGATCTCGGACTTCATCGGGTGAAACATGCACTATTTGAAAAGCTTCTTTATCTTCTTTCAACAGTGCGCAACCAATCTTGAATCGAACATTATCGTCATCTGGGTCCAATTTGATATTCGTCGAATGCACCCATGTGTTTGTGCTTATATGCTGCAAACGTACATATGAGCCCCATGGGACTGGATCCTCGTTACGTGTTATAGTTGTTGGATCAAATTCAAATATCGAAGAAATGTCGTAACCATGAGGGATAGGAACGAGTGCAAAGACAGGTGTACTTGGTGGACCTCGCAATTTCTGTCGTGTGGCATCAAACGTTTGATCGAGGTCGACTTCAGCAGCGAGATATTGTCCGGTAGCGAGATGTTTAAAGCGAAATAATGAACTCCAGTGACCAACACCACCACGACATGGATCTTGTTGAACAACTTCGATTTCCCATAGAGCATTGGACGATGTAGCGGATGTGGCTGATGCACGTCCAGTAGCACGTAGAAAAACAACACTTTTCTTTCGATAATTATCACAGGTGAGAAATTTTTCTTGTTCAGCATGAAATAAACGAACAATATCACCCTAAATCAAATGAATCTGATATATAAGACAGAAAACTAATCGTTGCTTACACTCTTCAACACTTCATTCGTAGCTTCGTGGCACGACACGAATAGAACAATTTTCCAACTTGTTTGAATATGAGAGTTCACCTGCGAAAGAAAAGATAAAAGTAATACACATACAGAAACGTCATGAGTTTTATCATGCACGGTCAAGTTATTCGGTTTAGTTTACAAACTGATTGGTTTTTTTTCTAAATAGATCGTTCGAATGAGAAAGTCTAGATAAAACGAACATGTCTGATCTATTTAGAAATAAACCAAACACAAGAAAAGCGTATTAAAGATGAATACAAAACAATATTGAGATAGGTTGTCAGGGGTAAGAAAGCTATGGATTGACATCAAAACATACGAGATTAAACGAATAACAATTGATCTAAACAATAGACAAATCATTCAATCAATCAATCACATACACATGCATAAGATATTCACTGCAAACGAAAGAAATGAAAAAGATAAATTTTTTCATTTATCTAGGTCGGTATAACAATCAAATGAATACCGTATGAAGATTAATCAAACTGCAACACTAGAAGAGAATGATTCTGCAGGATGTTTTCTCTTGGAATGGATCTGTCTCCTATATACACATAAACATAATTGCTGTACATACTTCTTTTGATCCAGGATGATCTGGTAATTCCAATTCACTGACATGTAATGGTTGTCCGCCACTATACGGCATCAGCACAACTTTATCTCCAACAACAACCTACGAGAAAAACTCGACTTGTTTTATCATTCTTATTTGATTCGACGACATACACGTTCGCCTTTCGCTCGTAGTTTATAATACGGTTCAATTTGAAACCATGAACCTTCAGTGCCACTGACATCCAGCGAAACACGCATGGCATTTTTCTCCAAGAATGCGGGTAGTCGCTTGTTAACAGTGATGTATTTATTGCTTTTGATATGAAGTAATTGGACAATAGTATCACCATATTTGATCACTGTGCCCGTTTGCTTTCGACTTTCTTCTTCGTTTTGACGTTTTTCGGTATCAGCAGCGATTTGTAATTTCTTCAAGTCTCGAACGATGTTCGGACTCTTCAATGCATTCCAATATTGCGTTTGAGCACTGTAGCGATGGCTCGGACATATACGAAATAGGCAATCTTTTGTCAAAGAAAAAGTATTTCGAATATTTTTCATTTATTTTTCATTTCTTCTACCTCGATACTTCTTCGGTGGCTTTTGCAGATCACCAGCATCAGGTTGAACAACGCATCGATCATCAACAAGACTATACACATAAACATACAGACAGTCAAGCAGAACAATGAGTTTCTCTTACCCAAGTGTACTTATAAATCCACAAACAGTTCCTTCGGCATATAAAGCTATTGTATCGCCAATTTTCAGAAAACTGGATGTTAAATTCGACTCCATAATTTGTTTATCTATAATATCAGAAGCGAAATCAACTAATATTTCATCTCTTATCGTACAAACAAAAGATCGTTCTGTTCTATTTCCTCTGGCAAAGTCGATGATAACAAGAAAAATGATTGATTAACAACTCATATCTCAGTAATAACAATAAAAAAAGGTTTATCTCAGCAGAAGAGCGATTAATTCACGTGATATATGTTTGACGTGTCTATTCAATACTCGAATATATCATCTCAATAAAAACAGAGCGAGAAAAATCGATTAAAATCGAATGACATTAGTTAGCCTTCTCACGTTGTTATTCTATTCATTATTCTACCGAAGGATAACACCGAATCAGCTATCTTCATATATATATATATATCAAATAAATATTCGATAGTCTATCGATTAATGCTAAACGTAATTACTATCTCGGGATCACACGCAGTTGATATTAAGACGGACGAGAAAAAGAAAAGAAATAGACTGGCTTGATTAAACTTCCAGAAGGCTCATTTGTTATCTTTGTACAAGCTGAAAAGATTTTCCGATATGTAATCGAGTACATATGTTAATAATCAAGTAGCATTTAGGACATACAATCGGATGAGAAATGAAGAAAAAAAAAATGCGACCTGCTGAGTGTCGATGATGTCTGTACATCTTTATCCTTTCAATAACATCGGTATGTCTGAAGAGAGAAAACATAATAGAATGGGAACGATCTTTTGTTTTTGATCGATAACAACACAGATGTTTTCTTTCGACTTGACTTGACTTTACCTTCAATAGACGGATCGAATATATTGGCTGATAATTGTCATCAGGATACGCACTGGAATGTAAAATGATGGAAATCTGAAAAAATATAGACGAGATTGATTAATTATATCATGTTGCCGTTGCAATTCAAGCAAAATAAAGCAAAGCATTGAGCTTGAATAAGTGCGCGTCGTTCTTCCTGCCAGCATCAAGTCGATTGACAGATGGAGAATTTCTTGTTTTTTCCTCTATGAATGTCTGTAGGGAAAAAGATGTCACCTGACTTCTTTTATTTCTTGTTTGAGAATAACAAACTTATACCAATCTGTTACATTTTGCTTGTGCCATTTACATTTCTTTTTCTGCCAAATTTGTTTGCCTCCAAACATGAGGTTGTACGTCTTTTCTTTTTCGGTCGTATAAATATACTTGGCTTTGATGATGCCTTACTACACGTTAATGGGAGCCTTCAAGTGTTAATGTATTGAAACATATATAGTCATTCAGCGGAGTTCGGTTTTTTTTTGGTTATATTGTTAAGAGAATCACGAGAGAAGAATTTCTCTTTCACGCATATTATATAAACATATCTGAATATATTCAAGCATTAGTATTATGTGCAAGTACACGTATACAGGTAAGAAAATATAAACATATACATATATCTGACACGATTCACATCAGAATAACAAAAAAAGAAAGAAAATGAACGAATACAAAGGAAGAAAATAGAGACATGTATCTGACACCAGTTTTTTTCTTCTTCTTTCAATCAAGAAAAATGATCACTTCTTAATAGATAAATAAACGATTTGAGTGTGTGTATTTCTTGAACAACTGACGTCCGTCATCAGTTGGTGCCGAAAATGCCAAGTCAGCACGTTTTATAACAATACCGAAGAAAAAATTTGTGCTAAGAAAAAGAAAGACTATCAATTTCTTCTTGCAAAAAAAAAATTCATGCGAAAGAACAACCCGACAAAAAGAAACTGATCTCTTCTCGTGAAACTAAGCGTGAAAGCGATATTTACCGAACACAATCGAGTAATTTCGTTGCAATACGAGCTCGACGATGATCAGGATGTACCCATATCCGAGCGATTCCACAAAGCATTTTATTCATTTCAGTTTCAGTATCAATATTTGATTCATCAGTTAAGTCAAGAACATGAACCTTGAAAAGATAGAATGCATATAACAGGAAGAAGAAACATTGGTGCTTACCCGATGAACAATGTGGGCGAGACAGTAACCAAGAACAATATCACTACAATCTTCAATGTAAAAGTACGCCTAGTGAAAAGAAAATAGAGAAATTTAATTAAAGACGCATTTCTTTTACTTTGGTTTCACTCCATAAACAATTAAATGGTGTAGTGATTCCTAATTCATTATCAACTAATTCCCTGACATGTTCAGCCTTTTTCTGCTCGGACGCCGGCGACGTGCAACCAATCATATAAATACTTCCGTCAAGAAATTGCTGTAACACATATTGATGTTTAAAATTCTTAACAAAGTACGAGTAAAAGACGTTATCTTCTGTTTTTGTCAAGTATGATTAGAAAATTATTTACTCGTAATCGTATTGCAGATGTCGTGAAATTATGATACTTTGCATGAGCAGCTTTATCTTCGGCTGAATTAGGAAAATATGCCATACCACAACGCTTACAAATAGTTGCGTCGACCGTTTTTTGTCCGGCATCCTAATTAAATGACATTGTTTGAATTATATCGATATTAATTCCATCATAGTTACAAGAAGTGTTTGCTTAAGTTTCGGTTCATTGTTGTTCTTCGCTCTTAAGGCCATCGACATGATTTTTTTTTCTTCTACAAAGAATCCTACGTCGTTTATTTCCCAGTAAACAAGAGACAATTGTTTCTTTCGTCTGTCAGCAACCTATGAGAGTGTCATTTTTCATGCTTATTATCGATCGATCCTTCTCGCTACCAAAAACTTATGAATAATCTAAAAAAGAAAGCAACAGTAGTGGACATTTGTTTATACTGGGTCAAGATAATGAATCATCTGTGTGGGGAGCTAAAATATCAATGACTATATATTGTAATGTTGACGGAAACACACAAAACATTGAGAAGAGAAAAATCAGTTCCGAAGGACTATGCTGTTGCTTTGCCAGCCTTGTTTTTCGATGCGAAATAGGTACGCATGGCGTTGAGTGCAGAGCCAGCTTTGAACCATTCGATTTGTGGCTCATTCAGAGTATGGAGAAGTTTAATTGTTTCGGTTTTACCATTTGAATGCTTAATGTGACATTCAACCGGCTAAAAATCAGTCGAATGTTAACGAGAAGGTATAGTGAAAATTCAAACAAACTTCATTCGGTGCCAACTTGTTGAGGCCAACTAACGATATTCGGTCGTCTGGTTTGATTTTATCGTAATCACTTGGATTATCGAATGTTAAAGCAAGTAAACCTTGTTTCTTCAAGTTGGTCTCTATAACAACATTAAAGAACATAATTTAACGGTTCGAGAATACATGAATGTTATATACCATGAATACGAGCGAAGCTTTTAACGATGATAGCGCGTCCACCAAGATGACGTGGTTCAAGTGCAGCATGTTCCCGACTGCTACCTTCACCATAGTTTTCATCACCAACCACAACCCATGGAGTATTTTTACTCTTTAGAAATTTAAACAAAAGATCACTTAAAGAACAAAGATCCTTGTTCAACTTACCTTGTAGTAACGTGCAACATCTGGAACTTTACCCCATTCATTTGTTAAACGGTTCTTGACGTTGTTTGCTTCGTTATTTTCTTCATTGACAGCACTGAAAAAAAGAAGGTTTGTATCGAATTTCAAACATTTTCTAATGAAACAAAAATCCTCCGGCAGGAAAATATTTTCAATAGGTATCGAAGGTAACAGTAATGGCAAAGATTACTCCTACAACTGACTCCCTGTATAACAAGCACTATATTTAGCACCACTTTGCACGAGAATCTTATGCTGAAGTAGCAAAGCGAAGTCAAGTACATACGCGATGAACATATTATTCGAGATGTTATCTAAATGACCACGATATTTCAACCATGGACCAGCAGCACTGATGTGATCGGTAGTACATTTGCCTTTGATTTTAATAAGAATTGGAAAATCGATAAAGTCTTTTCCATCCCATGGTTTGAATGGTTCAAGTAATTGAAGACGTGCACTCTTTGGATCAACATCGACTTTGAGGGAGGTACCATCTTTAGGTGGTTCTTGATAAGTATCTACGCCTGGATCAAATCCGCGTGCTGGTAAGTTATCACCTGTGGGTGGTTGCAATTTGAATTTACTGCCGTCAGCAGCTGTTAATGAATCAGTCAAGGGATTGAAACGAAGATCACCACTTAAGATCATGGCTGTAACAAGGTCTGGTGATGTAACGAACGCATGTGTTTGAGGATTAGCATCGTTACGTCCAGTAAAGTTACGATTGTATGAGGAAACAATCGTGTTTTTTTCGCCTTTTTTAATATCTTTACGATCCCATTGACCAATACATGGACCGCAGGCATTAGCTAACACAATACCACCAATAGCACGAAGTTTTTCAGCCTAGAAAGGAAAGTTCTGTCAACTGTAATCATAGAATCTGGTGCACTTACAATTCCATCACGTTCGATTGTAGCTCGTACTTGTTCCGAACCTGGTGTAACGGTAAACATCGATTTGGCTTTGATACCTTTCTCGATAGCTTGTTGGGCAATGCTTGCTGATCGAGTCATATCCTCATAAGAACTGTTGGTGCAGCTACCGATGAGACCTTTTGAATGAATAGACGAACGTAATAATTGATTTAGAGTGTGTGTTCATCGTAAACTCACCAACACGAATATCTGTTGGCCATTTGTTTTTTTCTGCGGCTTTGGCGAGTTTATCGATCGGATGGGCAAGATCAGGTGTGAATGGACCATTCACATGCGGCTCAAGCTAAAATGATTCAAATTAAACCGAATTATCCCTCTTATCGTGAGAAAACATCGTCGATTTTTTACTTCGGATAAATTGATGTCAATGACTCGATCGTATTTGGCACCTTCATCAGCTGTCAATAAGACATCTTTATATTCATTAGCAAGACTAGCAATTCCTAATTTGAAGAAAAAAGACAACCAAACCAACCATGAATGTAAATTTCACAACATATGCATAACGAAAAGCGTTACCTTCACGTTTTGTTGCCTTCAAGTATTCACTCATACGTTCATTATATGGAAATACTGATGTTGTAGCTCCAATTTCTGCACCCATATTACAGATAGTTCCCATACCTTAACACAAGGGAATACGCTGACATTTTGCTTTTCGATGTAGAAAAAAAAACAATCCGTTTACCTGTGCATGAAATTGATTGCACACCAGGTCCAAAATATTCAATGATTGCCCCTGTACCGCCTTTTACTGTCAAAATACCGGCTAGTTTGAGAATAACATCTTTCGGTGCTGTCCAGCCGCTTAATTGACCACTTAATCGAACACCAATAACCTTAAAATAGATTATTCAATGATATATCGAATGATCGTTATGAAATCTTACTTTTGGACATTTCAATTCCCATGGCATATTAGCCATGACATCGACAGCATCAGCACCACCGACACCAATGCACAATCCGCCCAAACCACCACCGTTTGGTGTATGACTGTCAGTACCGATAAGTAATAAACCAGGATAAGCATAGTTTTCCAGAATAATCTACATAAAATATCGAACAAGGCTTTTATTTTGATCTTTTTCCTAATCCAATCATCTAATTACATACTTGATGAATAATACCGCTGCCTGGTTTCCAAAATCCGATATCATATTTTGCACTTGCCGTAGCCAAGAAGTTGTACACTTCTTTGTTAATATCCTGAAACAAATCGGTTTTTCATTCTTCTCATCATCATCATCATCAATCGCTAAATATCCTTGCAAAACTTTGTTTCGATGATATAACTGTGCTCATTTTGTATTATTTACGACAATCAGAAAGAAATATTATCGATAAAACATAATGCGCATTCACCTGTACAAAAAAAAAACACATCTCAATAGCAATCGTGCGTGACAGCTATGCGCCTTCCTTATCGTAGGTGAGAATAAACGAATTATCTCGAAAAACCTGGAGAATAGGCGAAGAAAAAGAAAAGATTGTCTATACCTTCGCTCGTTTTAAGTCTTGTTCGCCTCCAAGTTGTGCTTCAATTAAGTGATCACAATGAATTGTTGTTGGACACAAGACATTGGGAAGGCCAGATGAAATGAATTGAAGAACAGCCATTTGGGCAGTAGCATCCTGCATAGCTACACGATCAGGACGTAAGCGAAGATAAGATTTACCACGTTCAAATTTCTATAAAAGGCAACACCACAGAAAACAAATAAAGTTTATTGTTTGCTATTGAGCGCTTGTCGTTACTTGATTTTTTGGATCATCGGCATGCGAGTAGAGAATTTTCTCCGATAATGTTAATGGTTGATTAAGTCTAAAAATCGATGGAGTTATTTAGATATGGAATTTTGCACGGAAACCAACCGTTTTTTCACGATTTCCAAAGTCGCTGCTTGTTTTTCATAATTGACGTATTTGTTCGGTTCAAAACGTGATAAAGGTACCTGAAATGACGACAAGATGAATTCTAAATCGAAAAAACAGTGCATTTCACGAACATCTTTGGTTTTCGTTGATGCATAAACCGTTCGGCTTAAGCAAAGATGTCGAACAGACGAAATCGTCTGTGTAGCAGATGCGAACTAAAATGAACCTTTCGAAATGATTGACAGATGATCTTCTCTGATTTCGTACCTTTTCAACGCTAGAAATCAATGAACAGCTACTTCGAGCCAACATTGTTGTTTCTATAAAACGAGAGAGATGAAATGAGGAGATTCAGAATAATAAACAAACATCCATACTGGATAGAGGTCACTAGTGCTACTCGCGATTAAACTGAGCATAAGGAAAACATGCGATTTAATTTATTTTCTCGAAAATGATATAGAATTTTCAGAAAATAATCAAGTTCATTTGTTGTACGATCGAAATTCGATTGGTGCATGCGCAGTTACCAATCAAATACTTCCGCAGGTATTCTTATAATACTTTTGGCAGATTGCAAATTGAAACTGGATTTTCATTTTCGAAATCGAATATCTCTCAAAGAAAATTGTTCAATTTTAATCCTTTCTGCACTAAAAACAAACAAAATTGTATACCAAAAAAGAGAATATTCTAGTGCAAGTGTTAATAGATTTGCGCCAAAACTTGTTTTATGAAATGATGATGCATATCACATAATAACAAGACAATCTTTACGACTAAATAAAGCTTATCATTGAAAGTATGACGCATGTAGCAATATCAATAAAAATATCTTGCTTCGTTTACTTTTCCTTTCTTTCTTTCGTTTGTTCTACATGCTAGAATCTTTACTTTACTATTCATCATCATTTTTCTCTATAGATAAGAATGAATAAAGATGCATACACCTGTTCCTTGTCTCGTTATTTCTCTTCATCTTTTCTTCTAGATGTCCGGTGTGAAATAAAACTACTCGAAGTTATATTTCTTTGTTTTTCAACATTCCGATCGTGTCATATTAATTATGGACGTAGCTGTATCAATTCCTCCTCCTCCACCTCCACCACCTCCATCATTTTTTACTGCAACAAATATCTCACAAATCCCACCACCCCCTCCACCGCCGCCATCTTTTTTCACGGAAACAACTACGTCACCAATACCGCCACCACCTCCTGCCCCACCGCTTCCACAATCAGTTGCAACTGAAACAGTAACGACGACTACAGCCGTCACAACCGACGTACCTAATCCATCTAACAATGAACGTATTTGGCTACATCCATGGACAGTAAATGAAATGCGTGATAATGCATCACATTGGTCCTTAGCAGGCGATGCAGGCGTAAGCAACAGTGTCATTTCTCAATATGAATAACCATTAATAGAGTACTTTCTAGTTATTGTTGTATCTTGAACAATTCTCCGATAAATTAGTTCAACGAGCTGATGCCATTCAACAGCATTTGAATCAAACTGTGAATGCTGTTAAAGTACATCTCATTGTATTTTAATAATTGTATCATGTCATTTTATTGATTTTAGAGTACCCATACTCGTGTACAAAATTGTCTGAACGAATTTACATCGTTAGCGAATACCCAATTTATTGAAAATGTAAAAATGAGATTTGAAAATTTTGATTTTCGTGCAATATTCGTTATCATTTGCGTTCTCTTAGCGTGTCTATGATGAAGATGAAACGGCAAGTGCGACGGACACAAAAAAAGAAGAGCAACCTGCTGTAAGCTTATATCAATTCAGAGTATTTTATACACGCTCTCGTTTGTTAAGGACAAAACAAATGTAAGCAATGCTGAAGCACAAGAAAAGCTTTTACAACGTTTTGTCGAAGCCGTTCAATGTGGTTTAGCCATTCTTGATACACACTTTGAACGTGTTGATACTAAACTAGACGGTCTTCAAAATGCTGGCGCAGCAGATGTCGATGATGAAGAAGATGGCGGAGTTCCTATTGAACCTATTCTTGAACCGAAAGATCAGTATATCTATCGACCATTACCTTATCTTATTGGAACAACGGAATTTATACATGATGATTACGTCGGCTTGGGGTATTTAGTGGAAGTGCCCGATGACGAACCCATTGGTATTGATGAAAAGCCTGGCGGAATTGATTTGGTACATATGATTTCTTAAGTTTTTTTGATATAAATCATCGTGATTATTTTTCTTAAGGCAATATCAACTTCTGATGATGAAAAGAGTGTAGTGAGCAACGATGATGTAAGGGCCTTCTGTTCTTGTTCTTCTTCTTTCATTCTGCAACATTCTCGTATTTATGTAATTTCTATAGCTAGTTGAAACATCCACTGTACCAATCGTTCCGGCTGGTGCTAGTCGACCAGGTTGAATATGAATTTTCCAGTTAATCTGTTGTTCTCTAAATTGAATATTTCCTAGATTATGTGCCTCCATTACAGCCAGCACCAGACAGTTCATCCGGTACCGATGACGACGAAGATCCATTTGCAGAGAAGACAGACCGCAAATTTGAATTTTTCCCTGAGAAGAAACCGGTACAATACCTTATGTTGTATTCTCGCAATGAAAAGACTTTCTTTTCTTTTCAGCCTATCAGTGAACAGTCTAATCATAAACAGGTTCCCACACCGAAAACAAACGGCTTTGATTTCGACGGAGGTTGGCAGAGCCATAATCACTATTATTCAGATGATTCTCTTTTTTTGATATAGATCAAGAGGATGAAGAAGATCCTCTATTTGGCACAGTTCAGAAACCTGCTTTACCTGTTGCTGAGAGCAGACGAGAAGATTTATCTGATAGTGATCCCTCAGAATCGGTTAAATCTGACGAAGCTGAAAGTGAACCAAAGGCACCACCGAGTACTGAACAAAAGCATTACTCCGCACTCGAAGAAGCAGTCTTACGTCGACGAATAGCTATGGGTGACCCCGATGTACCAGAAGACGTTAAAGAAGCATTGCTTAAAAACTCAGCGAAAGCTCCAAATAAACCTTCGTACGTATCGTATCCATTTGATATTTGGTACTACGCTTCGCTTTTGTATTTAGTCCTTTAACTGGAACGAAGGTTACAACAAAGTCTATATCAGCAACGCCACCACCGACTACAGCGTATGTAATCTCTTTTTGAGAAGACGAACCTATGAAGAAGAGCTATTGAACACTAATTTAGTTCTAATGCGCCACAGCAACGTCTAGCGACACCGGGATTATCAATGAATCAGGTACTCAAAAGTTTCACGTGTAATCGATTCGTTGAAGAATATTTTAGACTCCGAACACATCGATTTTTGCAAAATCTACTCGAGAGGATGATGACGACGAGGAGCCAGATATTTTCAGCTCTTCGTCGGCACCAAAATCATTCACGCCTGCTACAACATCATCAGCAGCTAAAACTAAAACGAAACCACCAATAAAAGACGATTTATTCGGTAGTGACGCTTCAGATAACGATCCTGATATATTTCCAGCGAAAAAGAATGACAAACAACCGTCATTGCCAACAAAACAAGTTGATTCTATTATAAAACCACAATCAACCATGCCGCCCACATCGAAGGCAACAATCGAGGAGAGTGACAGTGATGAAGAAGAGCTTTTTGGTGTTAAGAAAAACCTGTCTTTCCCATCCGTCACTACAACATTGGCCACTAAAACTGAAATTAAAAAACCTAAAGAATCAAGTTCTGACGATGATGGTGGACCTTTCGTTCCTTCGATGACTGTCAAATTACCAGTGAATCCGATAAAACCAGCTAATGTAGATCCTCTCTCTTCAACGAAGCTTTCAACACAAGAACAACCTAAGCAACCGGTTGTTTCCCCGCCTGCACCCTCAACTATCGCAACAGCTAGAAAAACTACGCTCGATGATGAAACAGACAGCGAAGATGAACTCTTCGGTTTGAAGAGCTCGAAAGCGAAATCAAAACCAGCATCAACGACTACAAAAATTGTTAAAAAAACTGCTACTGATTCCGAATCCAGTGATGATCAAGAATTGTTAAGTGGACCAAAACTAAATACTAGTGTAGCAGCCGTAAAACCTTCAGAAGTTCCACCATCATCCACAAAATCTGATCAAGCAGATAAGTCACTGAGTTCTTTAAAACCAGCGACAATAGTGGTGCCTAAATCCAAGCCTACACAATCCTCTACCGATAGCGACGATGATGACAAGGAATTGTTTGGTACACCACAATCTAAGCCTAAAGCACCTACAACTACCCCACAAACAGTGAAAGTCGAAAAACCTGCCGATAAGAAAGAACCGTTTGCATCACAACCATCTGTTAAAACCACTATTGATGAAGATCCATTATTAGTTATTCAAAAATCCATCACTGAAACTAAACCGAAATCATCTACTGCTCCCATTGTTTCGGCACCGAAGAAACCTCTTTCTGACAGCGAAGATGAAAATTTGTTCAAAGTAAGTCAACCGAAAGCAGCAGCAGCAGCAGCATTGAGTGAAGATAAAAAGCCAAGCGGTGTTAAAGCTCTTGCAGTAAGATAAGAAACTTTGAAAGGAAAGCATCATATTTTGTTTTTTGTTCCTCAAGGCCAGTTTAAATATAAAACCAAATGCTTTTATGCCAGGTGGTGCGCGCCCAAAGCCATCTGTACCTGTAGAAGAACCATTAGAAAAGTCGGTTGATGATGAACAACCGGTCGCACCTGTTGTGAAGAAATCAGTGAAACTTGATTCGGGCAGTGAAAGTGACAATGATTTGTTTAGTGGCAAAACAAAAGCCACGTCGAGTGTTGAACAAAAGGAGAAAGTAGATGGAGACAGTAAACCCAAAAGTGCTCTGATAAAAGATCTTTCGGTAAGATAAGATATCGTTTCGCTTATTAGAAGCGGATTTTTCCATCAAATTTTGTTATAGTCTCGCATGAAAATACCAATGATGTCTCCGTCTAGTCCTCCAGCTAGACCAGTCTCTAGCGAGAAACCTGATACAAATGAGACAAAAGAAACGATAGCAAACGAAGAACCAGTGGCTGATAAGACGATGTTGGATATTCTAAAGGTAATTAAACGGAAAATTCTCGGATGAAAGTAGTAGTTTGTTTTCTCTCTCAAGGACCGAACGAAAGTAGCTGTTAGAACACGAGCGCCACCAACTAGAAAGTCCCGTTTGGGTGGAGCAACAGCGGCGGCAACAAGTGCTACGAATGTATCTGATGATCTTTTCGGAACATCTAGTTCAACGACTACGTCTATTACCACTACTGTGACATTACCTTCGCCTCCTCCTCCCGCTATAACAAGTCCTGCTGTTCCTGCTGCCGTTCCAGTGAAACCTCCACCAGTACTTGTTACAGGTTTGCCAGATGAGATTGCTCCTATTGCTGCTATATTCGATAAACAGTCTAATATTAAAGAAAAGAAAAAGATTTCGCTTTTTGATTCTGATGATTCCGATATTGATGAATTGCTCTTTGGCTCGAGTAAAAGTATGCTCATCAGAAGAAGATTCTTCTTGAATTAACTATTCTTTTCATTTAGAGACTAAATCACCTGCTGTATCTAAATCCACTACTGTAAGTCGACTCCTGCGGCAATTGAACGTCCATATTCGTTTTTTTTCTCCTAGTCATCAACTACGCCGAAAACAACGCCGAAAACTGCTGCCAGCTTAGCACTCGATGATGACGATGATTTTCTTTCAAAACGTCCCGTAAAGAAAACTCCGAAGCCACTCGATAATGATGACATTTTCGGTGATATTCAAACGAAATCGCAACCGGCCAACAAAGCAAAAAAAGACTGGTCAATCATGAACAAAACAGGTACAGGTACATTGTCTTCCGCTAATTACTTCAATCTATCTTCCTCTCATCTTCCATCTAGATGATATTTTCAATGATATATCTGTGAAGTCTTCTACCACCGCAAAATCAAAATCTACGAGTGTCAAAAGCAAAGGCAATCAGGATATCGATGATATTTTTGACGATCCCTTGAATGTCACATCGAAACGCTGAACTGAATGCATTCGAGTTGAGCAACAAACTTAATTTTTTGCATTTTGATTATTTTCGTTCTATCTGTGCAATATATAAATAAATACAGTTTATTTTTTACTCTTCGTAATTGAATACACAAATCGAATATGAATATGTTACGCACATTTTTCTCATTTACCTCACCATTAAACCATTGAAGCAAGTCGATGAAAGAAGTTATTTATAAATTGTTTTTCGTACAAACGTGTTATTTCAGTAGCTTTGACGTCAATCAATACTGACGTGCGTTGTCCTCAGAAAAACATGGATATTAATGAGTAGAAAAGCTTTGGCGATATGCTTGATTGAATGATTTCAAACCGCATATAAAAGAACAATTGGTTTGCAGGCTTTCAATCAGTTCGAACAAAGTTTTCAAACTTCAATGGGTAATCAACAATATCAAACTTCAATGGGTAATCAGCAATATCAAACACGCCGTACCGAATCTCATTATACTCGATGGGACGGAGCAGGTTTACAACGATTTACTGGATTTGATGCAAGTCGATTGCCACAAATCCATCAACAATTCGTCAAAGCTGCAGGTTCTGACGGTTTGGTTAGTTACAATGAATTCGCTCGCTTATATCGCGAACATAACATTGGACCAACTGATGAGAGAACTATCGAACAAGCCTTTCGTACGTTCGACGCCGATGGATCAGGAAAATTGTCTTTCGACGAATTTCTTTCCGCAGCTATTGCATTGAACAAAAATACAAATGCTCGAGAACGAATTTCCTATTTGATCGACTCAAACAACCCCGGAGGTATCAATACAACAATCATCACACCAGACTACGGTCGTCATATTATTCGTAATATGAATCAATTCTATGGTACTAATGCGGATTTCGATCAGATATGGTCGAAAATCAATGCTAATAATGGGCAAGTTCACCGGGAACAGTTTATATCGTATGTCAGTCAAACCCCGACATTTGTGCAATTCTTTTAAATATCATAATTGTTAATCTAGCAAGAAATTTTCTGTTCATAATGTATATGATCTGAAATAGTGTTTTTTTATAGTGAATTTACAAATAAAAATTTGAAAAAATCACTCGATTAATTGTCTTTACGCAAATCCATAAATACGTAGTGAACTTAAAATCCATTGCCAAAATTGAAGAGATGCCGACGAGTTTTCTGTACTTGATAGTGCGACAATTGTTGGTGATTTCGATATTTGCGAAAAAGAGGTTGTTCGGTATGTTTCATAACGATCGTTCTTTTCAAGGTGAATTTTCTTTGCTCTAAGATATAGTTTTTCGAGAACAGATTTCGATTCATAAAACGCACGGTCAAATTTCATCATAAATTTCGGAAATCTGGAGTATTCATCTCGCATTTGATTCACAAAATCCATATTAATACTTTCACCTGTCTTCGGCGAGTCAATAGCACGATAAAATAAATTTGCCAATTGAACACACTTTGATGAGAATGTTCCGTCGGTTTCTTGATCAGCAACAATAGTATGCATCTCAGCTATAAGTGAATAACATCTGGACGACATCGTATTCAAGTAGTAATCAACAATCTTTTCGGTAGTAATGTGCGGTTCTTTCAATTTCTCAGCAGAAGAATGTGCCAATGGATCAACGGGTTGATTGATTTTCAAATCCTTTCCCCAATAAACCCAATATTGATCTCCATCAAGATCAGATCCACTGATTTCATCACTATGAGGACGAGCTCCTCTCGTCGGAAACACAATGCAATTGCGCATACATTGTCTCAACAGCGGTACATTAACAGCTGTCAGTTTTCGAATATCGCCCGGATACAAACAAGGATTTTTCGTTACGATGACTGTTCCTGTGCCAGAAATTTTATGTACAGAGGAAACAAAAGCGTGTTTTTAATCTACCTTCAAGTACTTTAAATGTTCTTTTGTCTCCGTTTGATTCGACTTCGTACTGTATAAAACATTGTCCGTAATCTAATTTACTAGTAACATCGGCAACGCCAAACATGTTTCGCGCCTCATTAACGGGCAATGGAATCTTGTTTTCTAGCAGATTTTCCTTTCTGAAAGAAAATATTCTGAATGACGTAGTTTCACTACTAGTACTTTTATTCAACTTACACAGTTAAAAAACGTTTCTGTTGACGCTCAACTATTTTTGTCTCAAATGCGTTAAAACAAGCGTCTCCAGATGCGTGCCATAGAGCTGGTTTAGCCATTCGAGATTGTAACGATTCAAACACAGCATATGTATTTCCCAAATCACTAAGTAAACGAATAATTTGATTATTCAAGCTCAGTGGCACTAAATAGAAAAAGAACGAACATATTACTTTATGCACGATTTAAAAGTACTAAACAGGAACCTAATCGAGAATAGTCACATACGTCCGATGTCCAGTCGTTACTAGGAAATTTCACCATACTCTCCCGTACTTTGATGAAATAGTCTGCAGACCGTGATTCTGGGTCGATCACTAACGTTCCTTTGCATCCGGCCATACGGATTTGAAAAATCGAAGGAATATCACTCTGAAATGAAGCAAATAGTCACTCTTGCCGATCAGTATTGATCTCATTTGCAATGCGTACGGGTTGCTTTATTTGTAGACCGATGTTTTCTGCAACTTTTGCAGCCAATCCTAATGAAATCAAACCGCATCCGTCAGTAAAGCAATAACCATTTTCATAAATATCCTTAATAATGAACACAGCATAGTCCTGTGAAAGAGTATCTGTTTTTGTTATGATCTAAAACAGATAGAGAGAAGTAGATTTCATATCATGAAGTCATTTACTGGAATTCGCATCCAAGATCGAAGTTGATTCCACACGTTGTAAAACGGAACGGCTGATTGTGTTTCATTGCATTTTGACATATCCACGTATTTTAGGCGTATCTAAAGTGGAAAACTGTCCTATCGTAACAAAATGTATCGCATATTACATACACCAGTTGGTATTGATGTTGAAAAATATTGACCAATTCTAGCCGCATATGTAGCCAGATTATCAATTTGAGTAAAATTGCCAAATTCTGCCTGTATTTTCTCAATTGTTTCTTGAGAACTTAACGTTGTGAACCAGTAAGAATGATTTTTACTTTGGCTAGTTGAAGAACCAACTAAATAGTAAGTTTGATTCATACATTTGATGCCATCAGTAAGCATTTTTGACTTGAGACGTTGCCGAATGTGGTCAGTTATATTTTCCAATTCCTCACCATCTTCATCACGAATATTAACTCGAATGTATCTATTCGCGCCTCGTAGACGCAATGCTCGATTTCCAATTTCTCGACTAAATGGTTTGAAGATAATACGCATTGGAGTCAACACGGCAGTTCGGATTTCAAACGCTTGCTCGTCCATGTGAGTCATATCAATAATTGTATCCGTAGTCCGCTCAAGATCTAATGTATGCAAACGAACCAAATCAGCAAGAGAACAGCAATGATTACTAATCAATTTCTCGTAAGCAGAAGTGCATAGTTGATAGAACCTATTCGGACACCGGTGAGCTATGTTCAGAAATGATTGTTGAATGTCTTGTTCCATGGTAGTATATTTGTCAGAGAAAACATAACCAAGTGATTGTAACATCTCGAATCCGTATTGGCTTTTCTCGGAAGGGAAAGCCTGCTTTGTGAGAGAAGTGGTTATAAGCCCTTCTTCCACTGTGAATGGAGTAAAATTGATTTGAAAATTGTTATCTTGACGTTGATTCTTATTTGTATGACCAACAAGTGGAAGCGAGAGAAGAAATGGCCATGCGTTGGACGGCGGATCAAACTGAAGTAGCAAATCACAACTTTTGGACACAACGTCAATCAGTAAGCCACATTCGGTACTATATCCCACTCTACAACAAGAATTAATCAGATCATTGATCATATTTAACAAGTAACTGTCTTAGAATCCGATACCAATAGGCACATGTAACAGACTACTCTCGGGTCCATCCTTTTTCTAATCGATTACATCGTACCTAGAAGATGACGATTTGTTCGAATCGGTTTCATAAACTTGTACGGCATTATTCAACATCATTACTATTTGTATCGGTTGACCTTGATGACCTGGGTTTACCACTAATTGTTTTTGAATATAATCAACTGGAATAGTAAACATTCGATTCGAATTTTTCACTTCTAATTTGATTGTCGTTGCACGACATCCTTCTTTCCACACTTTGATCATACCCGTATAACGCAGTTGTTTTGTATGATCATAAAATTTATGAGTGTTACACATAGAACCAAAACTGAATAAGACGTTCATCCATTTTGCTTGACTCGTTTTCTTGTCAGAAAACGTTTCTTGATACAACCTGTGTAAAGGATTAGTGCCGATCGTAAGCCATACATTCGAGTAAGTTGAGGTCAAAATCAGATGTAAATTATCACGTATCTGATTTGCTTCATCGCGAGTGCATTCAAACGAGTATTCATTGATATTATTAGCTAATTTCATCAACGAATCGAAATTAGTCAGATGTAAATAATGAGTTAAATTCCTATGGATAATCTCACATGCCTTGGGATCAGAAAGATGGGTCAATGTACAGGGCACTTTGTCATCCCAACCGTCGGGTTCTGGATTAATAACAATTCTAAAGGTAAAATTCTGCATTAGACACACTCCAATATACAAAACAAAGAAAGGTTTAGAACGAAATTCCAACTTTCGTTGGTGATGTAAAAAAGTATTCAAAAAGACGAGGTGGAGTAGTTTTTACCTTTCCATTGCCTTGATAGCGAATATCGTGAAAGAATTCTTTTCTTTTTTAAAATAAAAATAAGTATTATTTCTCTTTTTTTCCCAGTGAATCATACACCGATGATTGCAACTAAATGGTTGACAGCAATCCTAGGAAACGTCTCCACGTATTGTCAAAATCATAATATTTCTCATTTCGGTTAAAATGGAGATGGCGGAAAAGTGTAACATTTGTCAAATCACCTTTTTAAAGGTTAATCCTTTTTATTTACTCAAACAATCAATGTTCTATGCAATACATTCTGATTGACATTAAAAATTTATAATTATAAAGCCTTCAAAGAGGCACGTGTAAATGAGTTTGATATACATTGATGTGTCAGATAAAGATAGATGTTACTCGCCATGTCATACCAGTTCATAAATAAACTATAGATGTATGTTATACACTGCTGATCCAATTTTCTCACAAATTACCAATTTTTATCTATTTTTTTAAAGTGTTTATAGAAAAACGAATGAAATTCTACTATATCGGATCACTTTGTTTCTTTACGGAAGGGAAATCCATGTAAATCGTGCATAAAAATGGCATCGATTCGAAATCAGCAACACGGAGCAGTCGGCTATTATTATCATCAGAATCGAAGATGTTCCATATTGAACTCTCGTTTTCTAGAAGCTCTTTTGACATTCGTTTGCCATGAAAACAAGACCCTGCGTGTATGTGATCCTTTCTTTTCTTTTCTTTTCATATAGTTTCGTTCCAATTAGATTACATTGTCATATTGGCGGTAGTAATTACCATCTAACATATAATGATATCTTAAGATGAGGTGCTTTGCACCATATCCGCAATTGGTAGGCGAAAATGAAGAGTAATAAAGCATCGTATCTGTTCATATTTTTCTTACTCTAGAACTGTCATTGTCATCTCTGCTCACTGAAACTATTCGCCAGTGTTTTTGATCTTTTATTATAGCACTTGCGAATCAACTAAATTATTCTTTCATCTTCTGCTTTAAGGTGGAAAATAACGCGTGTGCAGGACGATAAAAGCGAACGACCTGTAATTTGCGCCATTCACATTTCAAACAACACACCGTTGCTTACCAGAAATTCAGACATGAGTGCGAATGGCACCTCTCTCCATATCTATTTCCTTAATGTGATCGTAATTGATCTTTTCAAATACGTGCAGCCGATATTCTTTATTATTGGTAACCTGGGTAATCTACTCACTGCATTAGTCTTCTGGAGAAAAACTTGGCGAAAGAATGTCTGCGTCTTCTACTTCAAAATCTATCTTATCTCCACTACCTGCTACATCAACTCGTCACTATTTGGATCTATTTTTACAACGGGTTATGTTATTCGATCTCACGATTCCAATATTATTTTATGTAAACTGTATTTCTACACGGCTTTTCTCTTCGCTATTCATCCGCCGACCATACTCATCTTAGCGTGCATCGATCGTCTCTTGATCTCTTCACGGAATGTTGAAACACGAATGTATAGTTCGAAACGTCTTGCATACTTTTCTGTCACGCTAGGTACAATCTTTTGGGTGGTTTTCAATGTTCACATCTTGATTATGGTTCATATTCAAGAGATCCGTCCTTCGGTTTTCATCTGCTACTATGATCTTTCTTACGGATATCAGAATTTTGTTTATTACTATCTACCCATTGTTAATATTAGTTTTTGTCTGATCATGATTATTCTGTGTTCGGTGTCGTTCAAGAACGTTCGCCATATTCGTCTTGTTTCGCGTCAACGAAGAAATCAAGAGCGAACGATGACAAAGAAAGATTTTCAGTTGCTGCATTGTTTGTTTGCACACGGTGTCACTTATGTCATTTTTCGGATTGGAATCAATATTTCCTATGGATATGATGCAATAACAAGAGGTCAAGCTCGGACAGCAACACAACAAGCAATTGAAACGTTTGTGAATAACTTTCTCGTTCTGTTGTTCAATTCCTGGTATTGTATTAGTATTTTCATCTATGTTGGTATATCAAAAGCATTTCGTTATGAACTAAAAAAAATGCTGTACAAAACGTGTGGCATCGAAGTCCTGCCGTTACGAGAAGAAGAAAACCGACAGGAGAAAATTGGTGCCGATGCGGGTCCTGCTGAAAACGGTACATTCCCATCAAAATGATTATGTATTGAAAAAAGACGAAATCTTATTAAAACTAGTGACTCCCACGGTAGAAATCAGTTGAATAGATACCTTTCTTATTGGCTTAATATTCTGATATGCAGTCATTATTTGAATGAAAGTCAAATATATATATTCGCACGACACGACCTCCTTGTAAGAGACGTATATACCTTTTTTTTCGTTCGTGTAGGAATAAAAACACAAAGATTCATTTCGCTCTTATCTATCTGTGGAATCACTTGGTCATGATAACAATTTGTGTAGCCGAATCAGAGGAAGATGTGTTAGCTATAAAAGCTTTGCAACGCGATAATCTTCGAAGCAACGTATCTATTGAAAAACCGAAGTCGGATGGTTTCGTTACTAATGAATACGACGTTGAATTTCTTTCTCAAATCTGTCGAACAGCACCGAATATCATCGCCAAAGATTCAACATCAAAATTAATCGGTTATGCATTAGCAGTGTTACCTGAAAATGCATCGAATTCACCGGAAATCAACGAACTCGTCTCGTTAATCAATCATACAGAATACAAAGGTAAACCAACGAAAACTTACAAATACTACATAATGGGTCAAGTATGCATTGCTGATGGGTTTCGAGGCAAAAACATTTTTGACCGAATGTACGATAAGCATCGTGAACTGTACGGTAATTCTTACGATTTGGTGATTACAGATGTTACAGAGACGAACGTTCGTTCATTTCGTGCTCATCTTCGAGTGGGATTTGAGGTGTTGCATGCATATAAAGGCCATTTAACAGATGAAACTTGGTACATCATTGCGTGGGATTGGCGAAATTGAAGCTTTTTTTATTGGTACCGAGTAAAGCTTCTTAACGCTTAATAATATAGCCCTTAAGTCGTTTTTACATAAAAATATTAATACTATTCTATGTATGATACTCGTGACAATAAAAGAGATATAGATTCACGATGAAGATGATGTCTACATAATATAACAAAGATCGTTACCATATATGATGACTTAAATTGAATGAACAGCTGACTTTTACACCTTTCTTTTTTACCAAATACACTTAGACATGTGTATATGATGAAAAACTTCAAAGAACATCCATTTTCTCATTTTAATCTTCTCATATTTTAACAAACACCTTGAGTTTTATTTCCATCGTCTACAGCTAAACATATAAATCTGTCTTTTCTCATAGTATAGGCTATAATGGATGTAATTAGTATTCACATGTTCTTAATCAATCCCTGTTAATACCTTCTAATATATAAAACGTGTGCAATCAAAACGTCTTCCAAGTCAATACCTGTCGTATTGGATCAACATATTAGACAAAAATGAACTCATCTATGGACTTGAGCACTGTCAAAACTCTGAATGCTATAATTACGTACGCGTTCAAATACGTACAGCCGATATTCTTTATTATTGGTAACCTGGGTAATCTACTCACTGCATTAGTCTTCTGGAGGAAAGCTTGGCGAAAGAATGTCTGCGTCTTCTACTTCAAAATCTATCTTATCTCCACTACCTGCTACATCAACTCATCGTTCCTTGGAACCTTTTTTGCATTAGGTTATAATATTAATTTTTTAAATTCAAATATTGTTTTATGTAAACTATTCTTTTACACAGCTTTCCTCTTCGCTATTCATCCGCCGACCATACTCATCTTAGCGTGCATCGATCGTCTCTTGATCTCTTCACGGAATGTTGAAACACGAATGTATAGTTCGAAACGTCTTGCATACTTTTCTGTCACGCTAGGTACAATCTTTTGGGTGGTTTTCAATGTTCACATCTTGATTATGGTTCATATTCAAGAGATCCGTCCTTCGGTTTTCATCTGCTACTATGATCTTTCTTACGGATATCAGAATTTTGTTTATTACTACCTACTCATTGTTAATATTAGTTTTTGTCTGATCATGATTTTCCTGTGTTTGCTGTCGTTCAAGAACGTTCACCATATTCGTCTTGTTTCGCGTCAACGAAGAAATCAAGAGCGAACGATGACAAAGAAAGATTTTCAGTTGCTTTGCTGCTTATTTGCGCATAGCGTGACTTATATTATTTGTCGAGCTGGAATTATTATCTCATATACATATAGCGCAATAACAAGAGATCAAGCTCGGACAGAAATACAACAAGCAACTGAAACGTTTGTGAATAATTTTCTCATTCTGTTGTTCAATTCCTGGTATTGTATTAGTATTTTCATCTATGTTGGTATATCAAAAGCATTTCGTCATGAACTAAAAAGAGTGCTGTACAAAACGTGTGGCATCGAAATCGTGCCGTTGCGAGAAGAAGAGAATCGTCAAGAGAAAAACGATGCTGGTGTAGTTGTCGTTATCGAGAACTATGTTGTAACATGAACTTGAATTTATAATGAAAACAACTTTTGTATCCGAACCGATTTTATTTCACCAATAAATATTCTGCACAGATTTTTACATCATATTGCACAGGTTTTATGTACTTATATAGTAGTAAGCATGATCTTTTATAAGTACGCTTGAGGAACTGAACATTTCTTGTTCTATTATTAGGAATGTCCTGCGGCAGAAAATCGTGTCTCATGGGAGATTATGGGTATGCAAAAGAGATAATAAAACTCAAATTAAAATATATTATATAAAAATCTTTCTAAATAGTGAACATTAGTAGAGGAAAGCAAACCACGGAAAAGCAAAGTTGGAGTCAAATAAAATTACTGTATTGTCTAAATAGTATTATGATAGTCAAATTTTGGAATGATCTGTACTGTATAATCTCGTACTTCACCATAACCATCACTGTAACATGGTTTTCGACTTCTTTCGTCTTGTGCAAGTACTATACGCATTCGATGTTGTTCACTTAAATGACTTCTTCCATCAAGTCTTGAAACTGCAATGCTTAAATCATAATGAGCCACGGATTGACCATCTTCATATCGATTTCTTGGACGGATGCGTTCTTGATTTTCATCGAATGCACCATCATTATTTAGATCAATCCATATACCCACGTATTGAGGATGATTGCAAGCGGGATGTTGACCATATGTATCGCGGTCATCGAATTGTGATGAACAGTGTAGTTGAATCCGAAGTGAATAAGTAGCATCCTCCATCAATGTTGCTTGGAGATGAGTTCGATCGTTGTAATTGTTAGCTGAATTACATTGACTGAAATCGTCGCGGATCTGTGTGCCTTGGTCACCATATAAATTGACGAAGGCAATTGTATTATGATCAGGAGAGCAAATCAGATTACCCACTGGACAGTACGATAATCCATAACCTAAAAGACTTGATAGAATCCAAAATTGTTGGATCAAAACAAGAGCATACTTATTGGTGCAATGCTTCTAGGAGGGGGTGCATATTGATATTCCAGCTCTAAATATAACAATCAATGTTAGATGATTGTGTACTACGGAACAAAGCGAGATTTGTAATGTTGCATGTGTTACCTCGATGACCTGTTTTTGATAAGATGGTTATTGTATAATCGCGTGTTTCTCGGTAGTCTGTCTTGCCACATTTTCGTGTGTATTCGTCACTCGGCGTCGCAACAACACGCAGACGATGCGATCCACTTTTAATATTATGTCCATTGACGCCCGGTATTTCGATATCCAAATCGTAAATACCCAACGGCATGGAACTAAGCAATGGCCACCGGTGTGGAATACGACTTTCACTTTCGTCAAATCGATCATCGTTGTTAAAATCGATGAAGACATTGACATCATGTGCAACATTACAACCGGGATCCGGATAACCACCTTTCCAATGTGGGAAACAATCTAATTGAATACGTATTCGGTACATGGTACTTTCGTAAACTGAAACCGCGAGATGGTGTCGATTTTGATCTTCTGGCAAGATATTATTCGTTGCTATATTGTCTCGAATGTGAGTACCTTGTTCACCCGCCATAAGAACAAGAGCAATTTTACCATTCTTTTGAGAGCACACGTTATCACTTAAGACCAAATGAGGGATATTGTCATGCGCTAAAATTATATAGACTCAAATTTTTTCGAAGAACATCGTGTTGTCACGTACTTGTTACACGTGTGTTCGGAACAATGGATACAGTGTACTCTCGTATCTCCTTATAATCATCGTTACCACATTTTTTTCGATATTGATCATTCATTGCTACAGCTAATTGGAGACGATGTGGACCGCGTTTAATTCTCTGTGTGTCAAGTACAGGAACATACAGTTGAAGATCGTAGACACCTTGTGGCGTGTAGCTTGTTAGTGGCCAACGATAAGGAACAGCATTCTCTGATTTATCAAATACGCCATCGTCGTTTAGATCAATCCAAGCATCGACATCATATACAAGACTGCAGCTGTATGCATTGGAATTGCTGACCCATAGTCGACTGCAGTCCAATTGAATACGTAGTAAATAGACGGTATCTTCGAACAAAACGATGGCTTCGCTTTGTCGATAACGATTGTTAGTTGTCAATGAGCTTCTGACTACTGAATCATCTCGAATTTGAGTTCGATGTTCACCAGCCATTACAACCAGAACAATTTTACCAAGATGTGCCGAACAGGCAATGTCTGACAATGGTATGTATGGAGTGGCCGTGTCAGCTGCCGCTAGAATGGCATGAATTGATAATTCTTTCGAAACAAACATCAATTCTTACTTAGGTATCCACCTCTGGAAATGACATTCATAGTATATTCCCGTGTTTCATTATAATCGTTACGACCACATACTCTTCGATAATGATCGGTATGTGTAGCAACAACACGCATTCGATGTTGGCCACTTTTGGCATATCTTTCGTCGATTAAAGGTACTGAAATTTGCATATCGTAGATTCCTTGTGCCATGTAGCTAGTGACCGGCCATCGGTAAGGTGCTCCGATTTCTGTTTGATCAAATCGTCCATCGTCGTTAACATCAATCCAGACATTCACATCTTGGGCAAGATTGCAACCATTTTCAAATAACTCCGTATTCAATTGCCAAGCACAATCCAATTGAATACGAATGAGATAAACTGTGTGTTCATAGAGCGTGACCGCTAAATGATGACGATTGTAATAATCGTTTAGCAACGTATTAGATGGTAGATCATCTCGTATCTCAGATCCGCGTTCTCCAGCCATCAGAACCAATGAGATCTTAGCAGTATTTTGAGAACAGATTGGGTCTGCATATCGAATGTTGGCAGGTGGTGCGCGAACCGCAGCTAAACGAAAGAAGGTTAGATTTTGTCATTAATTGAATGGTGAGCTTTACCGGTATATGTTGACTTTGGAATGACGTTCACTGTGTATTCTCGTGTGCTTTCAAAATCTGCAGTACCACAGGCGCTAAGATATGCTTCAGTTGGGACAGTAGCAATTTGCATTCGATATTGGCCACTTCGGATTGCTCGACCATCGATGCTAGGTATACGTATATCCAAATTATACGAATTTCCCGATACGTAGTTATTGGGTCGTGATCTGGGAGATATTAAAGTTTTCGAACCATACGAGTTATCACCATCGAAATTGATCCATACGTTGACATCTTGTGAAAGTTCACAATTGTTATCTGACGGATATCTACTTCGCGCTTGACTACAGTCAAACTCGATATGTAGGCGATAGTTTGTATCTTCATAGAGTGAAATCGTCGGCTGTTGTTGATATTGGTATCCGTTTGTTCGTAAATCATCTTGAATGGTTGAGCCATGTTCACCGGTGAGTTGAACAAGGAGAATTCGACCAATGCTTTGAGTACATCTCGAATACTTCAATGCAACACGTGGAGTTTCAACATTTGTTGGAACTATAAAATAACGATGAATTTCCCTCTTTTCTGTTGAACATTGTGTAAACTTACAATTTGCTCTGTCGTTTTCAGGTGCCAATGGTGTTAGCGTTGGGTATTTCTTCACCTTTCTTGCTCGTTTCAATGCAAATTCTTGTTGCTCTTATCATGCAAGAAAAGTCGGATTAGCAGCGGTGATTACATTCGATCTTACCTGTTTTTTCTGCAAGACCACATATTTTTATACGAATATTTGCTGAACGATCGTCTTTGAATTCGACATCCATTGGAATGTCTGCTAGAGTATTGAATGCACCTTGTAATTCCTTGATAAATTGACTCTTGCATGTATTCGTTTCTCCAGAGATGCATTGATCAGGATAGAAAGTGACGAAGTTCATTTGGAGAACGTTTCCGGACAGTGGGCTCTCACATGCCATACTTAAACAAATTTCAATAGTAAGTGATGACAATAAGGGAGAGAGTGAGGTGATATTTACTGATGATCGCGTTTCGATATAACATGATTGCGGAAAAAAGCATTGAGAACACGAATATTCCGTCCTTTCAATTTTGCATTCAACTACAAACAAAAAAGAAAAGCATAGACAGAACTATGAGAGAATTCGCCAACGAACTTGATTGGTAATTTCGTCTGTATTTTTTATATTTAACGATAGATTATCATCGTCCGACATGTAATTTGTGCTAAACATTGCTTTCAAAACCACTTTTTCCATGTCTAAAGAAAACTGATCGAATGCATTTACAAAGACAAACATTAAAGACTCACGATCTTTCTTCAGCGGTGCTGCCACAGAGGTTGAAGCATGAGGTATTACTTTCCAAATCGTAACAGCAACCAAGAGCGAAGAAAACACAACCATAACACCAACAATACCAACACGAAGGGGATTACAACTTCGTACATGTCTATTCAAATCGATCGACGTATTTTCGAGAAAATCTTCTGATAAGACTTACGATGGTTTATGTAATTGTTTTCCTTTGACGGTTGTACGATACGTACAGCCGTCATCGCCGAGTACCATCATTTCGCCGTCGGTAAAATCCATCAGAGCGAAATAGAACGTAAAACTCGGTTAGATAGGATCGAAATCGGGTAGAGCTAATTGATTGAAACAAGAAAATCTAAAGAAAAATCATTGAGAATGTATGCATAGACTTATTTATATCAAATAGCTGATTTAATCAGTATCTTTTGAATGTCGTCACGAAACAATGCATAGAAGTAATATAAGTAAAGAATCAAATCATCTTTTCATACTATTAATTGATCAAATTCGATTAATATATACGATTTCATATTTCATCGCAAAATAAAAATCGATTGTGCGCATATAAGATTCTAATATAATAGAGTATGCAGTAAGATGATATAATTTTCGTATAAAATATGAATTTCAGGAGGGGAAAAAAACATATTTCTATTTGTCCAAATATTTTTCTGTGATTAGTAATGTATGTTAAAAGATGGGAATAAATAGAGACACCCATGCAAATATTTCTCCTCCAAAATCTTCTGTCAATTTGAAAAGGGAAAGTTCTCTTGTTGATCGCCACAATTTATTTGGACAAGCAAATAAAACTCCATTACAATGTCGAATTTCTATGACTTAGTTATCTAAATCTAATCCAGTAGATTCTAAAAGCTTGTCATCTATCTCTCTTTCAGACAAATAGTAATATTCTCAATATTTAATGTGTAATGTACCATCGTAACCGTGAAACAGGATAGAAACGTACGATATCTCAAAACATTTAATGTTGATCATTACAAAGCGTCTCATATAGTAGGTCGAATTCCCAGTGTAATTCAATCTCGTTAGTAAATAACGACTTCAGACAAACATTCAAATTCAAGTTACTAACGACGTAATTTAAGCTATGTCGTTTAACCACGGCAAATAAACGTCGGTGGGGAAGGGAGGCGAATATAATATAACTAAAAAATGATTTCAATAATTAATTGCAATATTTAAAATAGTTTGTGTGATGATGAGAAAAGAAGTTGCTTTGCGGTCATCGATATATCTCTATGATTAACTTTAGAAGAAAATGATCTGGTTGACTCGGTTTAGATAGAACTTGCGAACAATTTGTAATGAGAAAAAAAACCGCATTATTTACCCATCTATAACCTTGTGTTCACTCCTAACCGCAAACCGCATTCTTTTTCCGCGAAAAAATATTGTCTTACCGGTATTTGAAGACAAAAAAATAGAGATGTATTTGTACACATTATATGCAGATGCGTTCGATATTGACTAACGAAGAGTGAAGCATCTATTTGCATAAATGTCATGGAACCTTGAAAAATACGGTAGAAACAAGTGAAAACTAAGGATTGAAACGGCATTGGTTCCGTTTTAATTTGGCGTTAATGCTCCGGGATGTCGTCTTATACGCGTGTAGCTTTAAAACTTTTCCTCGTACCTTCTAGGATGAGCGTTCAACAAAGTGATCGACTCGAAAAGATCGTGCGCTTTTTCTCTCTTCGAAAAATTCCGTGTCGAAGATACGACTGAAAAATTTTAATAAGTATTGTTCGTCAAGTGTAAAAGCGAACGAAACAAACAATTGACGATGACTTTTGTAGTCAAAATCAATCACTTTCTTTTCTTCGAATGTCGACCTTGTAATCGTATAATACATTTTTAACATTTATTTTTAGTACTTGTGTCTGTTAACAAAAAAAAATGAAATAAAATAAATATATATAATCTATTCAAACGAAACATTTTCAATCTTGATCGAATAAAAGTTGAAATCGAGATAGAGAAAAGAAAACTGACAACTTATACAACTGTCTACATACAAAGTATACAAAAATTATCCTACATGAGCACTTGTATGGATTGCAGTCAAATAATTCAATAAAATTAGAAATAACACATAAATATCAACAAAATGTAGTCAAATTCGAAGAATACATGTGTGCATTAATTAGTAATTATTGGTATAAGACGAATTGCTTGTCTATTGATGTTTTCGTCTGGAATCTGTAGTATGAGTTGACAGTCAATATATTTATCGGGCGAAAAATAGTAGTAGAAAGAAAAAATATACCTGGACGTTGCAGACGAAACAATGATATTTGCCGAGAAATGTTTATCAAGTAGCCCAATTAACCGACAAACTATGTACCCAAGATTTTATTTCAAAGATCCGATTTATAAAATAAGTTTAGAGAGAAACGGATATGAAACAACAATAGTGATAAGGAGTAAATAAGCGAAGAACACCGTCGAGCAATTAGAAATGAGAGAAAAACGAGCTTTGTTAATTAAAAAAGAAACCTTTGAACGACACGGGGTTTTTGGTACGAAAACGAACGCGACGACATGATGAAGAAGAAAATATTGAAATATGCACACTATATTTTCCGACAAAGAAAAAGAAAAAGATCAGCGCACCTAACATCAAACATCTGATCACATATCACAACTACAAAGCATAGAAGACAAAGAAAACGTGCTAAGTCGCAACTCGAATGTGAGAAAGAAAAACAAGGATTATATAGTATCGAGTGATAGGATAGTTGAGGTTTTCTCTTGAGAATGACTGTTGTGAAATAAAATTTCACATCAAGTTAGCGAATGTCTATATGTATCTTTTCTTTTTCTTTTTACGAGATTCATCATCGCTGCGGATTGTCACTGGTGAATAGGCATGGAACGGGTTAGAATGACCTGGAACATCCACTTGACATTGGAAGTAGAGTTGTTCAGCTTCGGAGTTTTCATTTGGTTCCAATACGATAGTGTTGCCTTCTTGCTATTAAAAGCAAACGAATAGAAATCATTGCGAAAGAAGTACACATGAAATACATACACGAGCATATGCTGGGAGACTGGTGTCATGTGCGTATCGATGCCAAGTTACTTTGTATTGTTGAGCATTCTTTACATGACATGTGATGCGCGCTGTTTCGCCACGTCCGAGAGTGACTTCTGCTGGTTCGACAAAGACTTCCACGGCTTCTGCACGTTGATGAATTTCTCGATCATTTTCTTCACCATGACCATTCCACTCTTCGCCTCCGTTTGAAGAACCTGTAATTCGTAGATCATAGCTACTCTCTTGTGTTTGAATTGACGGCGCATGTGGAAACGTCACTTGACATCTGACGAAGTAATGCTTGAATTCGCACTCGATCACATAACATGTAAAATCCTACCTGTAACGTCCAGCATCACTAGATTGGGCGTTACGAATAAGTAGCAAACCATCTGGATGTACTTCTACGTCTACAAATGAAATCAGTAATGTAAGACTTGTAAACGGATTTTTTTCCTTACTATCCGCTAATGCTTGACCATCTTTGGTATACGCATATTCATATGGACGTTCGACATTTCCATAAACTGCACACTGTAAATTAATGTCTTGACCTAGGTGGTGATTTTGCTCATCACGTGCTTGAAAACGAACACCGACATGACCGTTGTCATGAACATCATTTCCTATAACAATCATTCATAGTTTGTTCGAATGATATCTAGTTCGGTTAATTCAATTAGAATAAAGTATTAAGAGAAAAAAAGTGTTTAGCACACGCAGTTCGAAGAGAATATACTGCGTTCAAAGCAGAGAAGAATTAGAATTAAGAAGCGCACACGCACTCAGAAAACAACAAAGTAACCAATGTTTGGCTCACCATGATTATTTTGTTGATTAGCTAAAAAAGAATGTAAGTTTTTTCTAATCAATAAAAAATTTGATAGATCAGAAGGATTTTACTAAAAGAATTAACTAAAGAAAGTCAACATTTCTCTATCGACTACACTTTTATCTACTTTAGTTATTCGTTAGAAACACCCTTACATGATTCGCGCCATTGAACATAGATCGCCGATGATGTGCGTCCTTGATCAGTAGTTACGTCAAGACTGTACTGTCCAGCAACATCACTGGAATGACCTTCGATGTGAAGGACACCATTATCACGTGAAGATACTCCATTGGGTAAAGCCGATGAACCAACTTTTGTCCAAACTGCTGTCGCACCTCTTCCTCTCTTAATAAAACAGACAAGTACAAGAAAATATTCGTCTTTTTCCACTTACAGCGATAGTTGGTATAATATCAATGGCTTCACCAAGACTGATACTGTATAGATCTTGTGCGAAACGAATTTGCGGTGGACCTTGCACACGAATGCGGCGACGTGGTGCCACTTTAATTTGAATTTCTTGTGTATCTTCGCTATATGCATTGCGTGCAACAACTCGATAGGTACCAGCGGCATCAAGCGTAGCCTTTTGAAGAATCAAATGATTCTGTCCGACTTCAAAGTAAGACGGCATTGGTTCAATACCATCAGCAGTGACTCGATTCCAAACAACGCTGACTGAGTCATGAGACTATGTAAAATGGAACGTCTAGTAGGTTATCTGAGAATGATTTAACATACAGAAACGACGTATTGAACAGTTAAACGTTGACCCTCCTTCAACTGTATGACTTTCGGTCTAATAGTCAATTTGATTGCAGCTCCTGTGATAGAAAAGAAACTTGCACATTTATAGATTTTCTCGCGGCAACATATAACAGCTAACCTGGATGATAATCTAGATGAATGACGATGGATTCAGTGGTACCATCCGAAAGCGTAACGGTGCCAACATAACTTCCAGCTTGATCACCTGATGGATTTCGAAAGATCAGATCATTGTCAATTTGAACGACAGCTGCTGGCAATGCACTGCCATCAGAACGACGCCAAACAACAGTTCGTGGTTGAGCATTCTAATTTTAAAGGGTAAATTGTGAGAAGACATGAAAATAGATCGATGACTTACAATAATTTGAAGACGCACACGTTGTTCTGGTTGACCACCATTCAAAGTAATATGGAATGGTTTAGAGCCTTGTACATTGTATGGCTTTTGATCAATCAAATATGTAGCTCGAATGCTACTTGGGCTTGACGTGTCTAAACGAAGAACGAATTTAGATTTCACTAGTGGTGATAAAAAGCGTCTCCTCACCTATTGACGATCCATCTTTCAGTACGCATTGATTAGTTCGTTCATCGAGCATGTACCCTGATCGGCACCGTTCGCAATGATCACCTTCACTGTTACCTTGACAATTCTTTAATAGGAAAAATCAATAGAAACCGAGTTAATGTCAACTTCAAATGATGGATTGAAAATAAAAACACGTACGAAACATTTGCCAGTATCTTGATCGCATTGATATGCTCGTCCACGGCATAGCGATTGACATGATAAACAATGTCCCAAATAGAAACCGACAATTGGATGTACTCGACCATAACCTTCAGCACATTTCTCACAAGATGTACCGGTATAATTCGAGGGACAATGGCATGTTTCTACTGAAGGTGCATTCTCTGCACGACCTTCGCGACTGGCGACACTCAGCGTGACGCCATGAAGTCTAAAATAAAAAATAATACCCTTACTATGATCACATCGATTCTTACACAGCATTTCGATGTCCACCAATTGGATTAATTTTGATTAGTAATAGATCCAAATCTGCTAGAGCCATAAGTACAATTTCACGAGTAACAGAGCCGCCATCTCTACGAGTGAATGTTCTCTAAATAAAAAAAGAATTCAAGTACAAAATCGATGAGAATTTTCCTATCAGAAAAGTCTATCTCACCTCATTGCATGCAACTGAATAAACATCTCTCGTATTGGCTTTGAATCGTTGTGTCTGTGGAAGTTTATGTACTAGATCGATATTGTTTCCACGTAACCAGATAGCTTCATCATCACTTGGTTCTTCGCGATCATTTCCATCGTTAGTAAAATGGACCTCAATGTTACCATCGTACAATGTTACAAAATTGCCAAGCGATTCAGATGGTGCTTTCCAATAGAGAACTTCCTTGGATGATCGACCTAATGAATCTTGATTGATGGCTAGATCGTGTCCACCGTTGAGTTTTTGAATACCATCATTGACTTGATAGGAATTGCTCTCGAAATCTTTCGGTACGGCATTCCAATTATAGATGTCAAGAGCAATCTATTCGTAACAGAAGCAAGAACGGAAAGTTTGTTGAAAAACATAAATTGAAAGAAGATGCTTACAGGCTTACGTAACCAGTCTATCGATCTACAATCGGCTGATACACCCGAACAGAAACACGAGAAACAACCTTGTGGTGCATCGAGACTGAGGTAGAAATGACTTCGTTTACACCGATCGCACCGTTCACCTTCAACATTGTATTTACATATGCAACGACCACCACGTTCGATTTGTGTCCCCGCAGGATCACAACCTATGGAAGAAAATCATACGACTGTTTTATTCATTCATTTAGAAAACAAATACTAGTTATACGTACGATGTATTGAGCTGGGTACAATAACTTGACAGTCGCATGATGTACCGCCAGCAGCGTTTCCTTGATAACCTGGAGCACATAATTCACAGTGGTAGCCAATTGTATTATGTCGGCAATCCTTGGAGAGAAAGGTACTACTGGATCAAAACAAGATTCTCATATTTCAAGCACTAATTACATACTAGACATCGTCCATTTTCATCACAGCGATCTGAATGGCCGTTACAAAAGCATACGTATGGAATTGGCGGTGGAGCTGGACGCGTGGGTGGCGGTGGGGGCGGGGGTGGACGGGTCGTGCTGGGTGGTGGAGGTGGTGCACCACATGTAATGGCCGAGGACTGCCCAGGTGCTGATATTATTCAAAAGAAAAACGAACGTTATCAATATGATTCTTTCTTCGATGTTAAAAACTACAAACCAACTATGACGCTGACGATGGCGTCGGGAACGGCGAAAGTGAAGCCTTGATTATTGAGTGCCTCGCATGAATATGCGCCACCATCATTTACGTTGACATTGCGAATGGTAAGGATACCAGTGATCACAGATGAATCATTTGGATCTGCTGTTTGTATCATAGTACATCGGTTATACTCCGCGCAATCACGACAAATATGTCCCCAATTGAGACGCCAATTGATGTAAGGTGCCGGTGTACCGCGGACAGTACATTGGAGAGTTAATGTATCACCAAGCTTGATTTCCACTTGACGTTGTGGTGGTGTCAGGATTGTTGGTTTCGCTGAATACATTTCAAACAAATCAAAGATGGTGACTGAGAACTAGTGTGACTTACCACAACCGATTTCATCTGATCGATCAGGGCAATCATTGTAACTATCGCATTGAAATGATCGTGGAATACAGATTGGATTACCATTAGAACCGTTCATACTAGCACATTGATATTCATTCTGTTTACAGTAACGATGACGTGGAAGTACATCTTATTCGAAAGAAGAAAAAACGATCTTAAGCAAATACATTCCGATGGTAACATACCACAATATTGCTGTGCTTCATCACTTCCATCATCGCAATCCCTGAAAAAAATCATCGTGCCAAATTTGAAATCGTCTGATGGGAGACAGTTGTTCTTGTCTTACCGATCACCATCGCATGTCCAAAACTTTTGTACGCATTTTCTTCCTCGAGTTCGATCAATACAACGAATTTCATTCGGTTGACATGCATCACCATCTGATATTTCAAAACAAATTCTTTCAATATTCACGATTGACTAACAAGATTCGTCTACACTTACGGTTACATGTTTCATCGCTATTATCACCGCAATCATTCTTGCCGTCGCATACATAAGAACGTGGAATACAGTTTCCGTTATTACACGTCGCCTCGTCGTATTTACATCCAACAACTGGTGGTCGAGTATAATACGCAGGTATGACTAAGATTTTTTTTTCATAGAGAATTATTTTTGAATTTAGTCTTATTTAGTTATCTTACTTGTCGTTGAACCTGATCCTTAACAGAAAGAAAAATAAGTTGATATTCCTTCGGTTTGTCTCAGCCTATCTAGTTTACCTATGAACGTTAAATCACTAGTAGCATCGGCATATTCACTGTTCGGAATAGAGCAACGATAGTTGCCCAAATTAGATTGTGAAATGGGATTGATGTGAAGAGTTCGACCACGTGGATAGAATGGTTGATCATCGTGAATAATCTATACAAAAATAACTATTATTTTCTCAAACTAAAGAAATTATTGATAACATACTCGATTATTAAAATACCATTGAATACGACTTTCATCCTCCTGTGCCGCTCCTTCGCATTGAATTTGAACTGAATCACCTTCAGCTATATTCGGTACAATAATACGCAAGTGTCCTTTCGCTACGAATGAAATCAAATGTAGGAGTTAAGTTTGAAACTGTTTTCTATCACTAACATGACGGAGACATTGTACCAGGATGAGTTATATATGAACTGTGACCACCATTAGCACCTCCTTCTCGCATAGTTAAAGTAGCTGATGCTGTATGTCCACTACTATCTTGTGCCATACACGAGTATGTTCCGATTTTTGTTGCATCATCTAGTGTAATGCGTGCTCTTAATGTGACCTGTGATGCAGTGATTTCTCTGTCATTCTCTGACTCATGATCGATCTGAGCATGACGCTAAGAAAAACGAATGATGCTTTCAGGTTTAGAAATAAGTTATAAATGATTACTCGTTCAGGCTCTTCCTGTACCCAGAAGACGCTCGTACTGGAATCAGCTCCATAAACAACACATCTTAATTCAACGGTCTGTCCACGTTGAACTTGTATCACGTCTGGTTGAACAACAACTCGCAGTTCACTTTGACTATTAGGTCTAGAATCATCTGGTGCTAAAACAAAACAAAATTTTCATCAATATTTCAAGAAAGCGTCTTTTATCTGCAAATTGTATAAAAATCATTCACACTTGCCTTCGGTCTCAGCTGTCTCCGATGGATCTTCTAAAAAAGCATAGAATAAAGCAGACCAAGCAAATCCGAAAGATGAACAATAGTATTGCACATTGATAAATAGATATGCTCATGAAGGTAAGACGTAATTAGTAGATCAATAATGGATACGTTCATCACATGACTACATGCTATGAAACTATCCATTAAATTTCTTTTTAAAAACGAATGGAAGTTTATACTCTCTCTTCCTCTCGTCATTCGTGAACCGATTTTACATGATTCAATGACACTTATGACTATCATCGTTTGATACGTTTCATTGACAGTTCAGTGGGTATGCTCAGTTTTTAACGGAATGGTGATAATCGTATTTTTAACGGTTACTTGATATGTGTATATTTATTAGTAGAGAATAAGCAAGAAGTACTCGATAGGACGTAGACTATATTTTTCCCTTTTCGATCTTACCATCATCTTCTGCATTTGCATCAGCTACAATGAAAACAAAGAATAGGGTTAATAAATGATTCATCTAATGAAGAGAAAGTATAAGAATATTTATACGAAATAAAACAAAGAAATCTAGGACAAATCGTGCAAATTGACAATACATAATCACGTGTTTCTTAGCACACCTGACGGTTGAATTTTACTATAAAACGTCGAAATTTGTGGAAGAGGAGGATCCGCTGACATATCTATTGTTGTCAAAAGTGTACTTAAACCAACATTTTCCGTTTCAACGCTCGTTGAAACTGTGCTCGTTGCTAAAGATAAACCGACGGCTTGCATCTTGATCATTGTCTGTCAACAGACTTACTGCAATTATGCTCATCCGACCCATCAATACACTCAACGTGTCCATCACAATAAGGTGCACATACACTTTCATCGTCTTTGCAAGGGTTTGTTCCTTCTGGACAATCATCGTCTATTAGTACGAGAAAGCAAGTAGCAAGAGAAGGGCATAGTAATGGTTAAAGATGAAAAGTAGAATTAGTTCAAAAAACATAAGTAGTAGTCGTATTAGTACAAGTAGTTCCATTGACATTGACGTACTTTCATCGTATTGTCGTTTGAATCTTAGCCTTGAATTGAATTTACCAATCGCACTCTAGTAAACGTAATTGATTGAGAAATCTAGTGGAAAGAACTTCGTTACTTCTGACAGAGATACACTGGCGAGGATAAGCCAACACAGGAACACGCCTGTGAGCAATTTTCTGTTCATTCTCGATCAATTAGAGTCAATATGTTTGAATAAGTAAAACAAGAAAGAAAATATTATCTGAAAGAGAGAGAGAATGTTTATTGTCTGATTGTGCGGTTATTAAAGAAACCTTTCTGTTTCGAAAGATTTGACTGATCTATTTCTCGAACGAAAAAATGAATTTGATCGCAAAGATTGCTTCGACAGAAACCATAATTTCCTCTGTATACGTACACACGCATTTCGGCTGAATGACGTTGTAAACCGATGTAAAAGATTGAAATTGAATGTTTATAAAGAGAACTCAAGGTGTTCTATTGATTTAATTTTCTCTTTCAAACCGTTCTTATTTGTATAGTTAACTCATGGATAATGTGTGTGTGAACAAAATATAATGAGAACGTTCAAATAGCGACACGTGTTTTGTTGGCGTAAAACATTATTTATATTTTAATTGATCAAACATAGTCTCTTGTCTAAAGGTAATGAGGAAAAAACATAGTCGAGGACAATCAGATGAACAGTTCGTTCGTGCAACTTACATTCGCTCGAAGATACGCATGTCGTTTTTGGTTGTCACACGCGTGATTAGCTCGAAGTTGATGTATGGCTGGGGAAAGTTGCACGATGAAAATTAATCGAATTGTTTGTTGCTTGAATAATAGAACTGAAAGAAAGAAAAGAAGACTTTTAATAACATTTCATTCAGAGAGAAAAAAAACCTCATTTGTACGACCTTCAATTCTCTTTTCGGGTTTTTTCGTTTGGAGAGGCAAATCAAGGTGATGGAATGGCTGGCATAATAAGTAAATATGAAAATTTTTTTCTATGTATTCTCACTTTACTTGGACATTTGACTAATATTTCAAAACTGATTGAAAAAGAAAATGTTGAATCGATAATTTATTATGAATGCTACTCATATTCACATTTGTAAGTCGATCTGGCGATCGACACGAAGAGAATTGATTCATTTGCAGTTCTGTTCCGAGTTGTTTTACTTCGATTCATTTTCTTTTCGTGCACTTGGCCGGAGGAGTTCGAAGACATTCGCTTCTGTTTTGCTATTGATGTTTTTCAGCTAGATTATTTCAATTCTTTTACTTCTGTTTTCGAATGTGATCGAAAGGTATATTCGAAAAGTCTTTTTAATTGTTGGCTCCATTAAAAAAGTTATTTGATGACTTTTCTCAAGAGATTTAAGTGTTTTGAAATTTTCTTACGAAAAAATCGACACGAGGGAGACCTTAGTTGTTGACTTTATTAGTGATTGATGATACTCGGACATCGCTATATGGTATTAAAAAAAAAAGAAAAAGTGCACGGCTATTTATAGCTTTTTAATTTATCGAGTTCACGATATCTAACATTGATGATGGAGAATGTTACCATACTGAAATGTACTCGGTCAACAAACTGAAGTTTTTTGTGTCAGTGGGAACGGATTTAATGACAAACCCTAGTTTTGAAATGCGAGGTGGACGACATATTGCACCTTTGTAATTCACTTCTAATTTGAGTGCGATTAGATGACTCTAAGAGGAGAAAGGGAAAACTCCCGCTGTGTATGTAAGTAAAATCTAGCTGAGCGTTGTGTAAGTCTATTAGCATATGATTGCCATCAGGTACAATGAGTAATAAAGCGATCATAAATCATCCCCTTAGACAAGCCATATTTCGTGTGTCAAAGGAAATGATTGAAATCTATCATAATGATGATGTGCGCAATTATAATAACAATTCGACAAATGGACGTCGTTAGTATTTCTTTTCTATATAAATTCAAATGATTTCGAGTCGACTAACATTCTTGTGTTGTTTAGTCTTACTTTCTCGAGAAGATCAACATAGGAGTATTTATTACAAAAAGTAAATCTCTGTCATCGATTGTATTTGAATGAAATTCGAAAGTAAAAATAACAATTATTTATCCAGACATCAAACCGGAATATGACAGGAGTCTATAACTAATATATGTATACATACACACATCTATTTTCGATAGATTTTTTCGTCCTTCTTTTTTCTTTCGCAAAGAAAAATGCCTTGTGAGTATGAACGAATGACTACGGTATTTGAGCGACAATATTTTCTATGTACATTGTCAATACGATTACCGTTGATCGTGTGCTTTTACCCACAAACTTACCAGGTCGGTTACAATGTCAATACTGAATTTTCAATACTTATAAAAAAAAAGAACCCTTCTTACGCCGAAGAAATACATCTCATGTCATGCGATATCATTCGTACAATGTCAACGATGGATATACACTTTAGTCTGGACTGCTGCGTATGAAATCGAATACTTGTAGGTTAAGGATCAAAATACATCACGATAAAGAATAATTCTGATTAAATGAAAATATTTTTTCTATAATATTAATGGGAGAATTTTCGTGACATAATCATTTTCTGATAAATAAATACCGAAATATTTTCTTATCAGATTCTATTCCATGTATTTCTGTTGATTCTACTAACAAATCAAGCATGATGAATAAAACCGCACTTATTCTCATGTACTCGTGACCACAAAACCTCACTCAGGACGGAAGCCTAAATTTAACTGTACAACTGATCCGTACAAAAAAAAATCTAGTTCAAGAAGGATTTTTTTCGAGCAAACTCAAGTAAAACAAAAGAATTTCTTTGCTTACCAAAACTTTATCGGATTTTTTTCTTCGGATTGAATATAAATTCACAACGCGTCTGTTGTCATTCTTGTATATTTGACAACAAAGTGTACCTTTGCTAATGAAGTATGCGTCGTCTATTTGCGCAAATACGATCAAACCTTGAAGAATACGGCAGGACAGAGTGAAAGAAAACAGTATTGAAGCCACAAGAAATATGTTTTGCAATGATGATGCTTATGGCAGCTCACCTCTTTGCCGCAAAGTTTTCAAATATTTTTGCTTCTATTTTTCTTTTCTGTGTGTATATATTTAACCATTTTTCTTTTGATAAAATCCATTTTACAGCTTGTGAATCAGCTGCACAATGAAACAGAAATCTGAAAAAAAATACATTTTCATTTCTCCTCTGAATGATTAAATTCCGTTTGTTCCATTCCGCGATTTTCATTCTGAGAACATTAAAAGAAAATTATTATTTCTCACTAATGAATCATACAATAGCAGTGAGAATTGCGAAAATCCGACTTATGTTAATTCATCGTTACGATACAATGACATTGAACAACATCAGTTGTTGTTATTGTCCACGGAAGAAATGGATTTTCTTGAGTTTGAAATTGTTTGTTTGAACATAGTTAAGTACTTTCATCGATGTTGTCAAGTACCTTTTATTTCTGACTGATTTAAACATTAATCGTAAAGATAACGACTCAGTCAACCGACTGGTTGTTTTCATCGAACGTCTCTTAATGAAAGCGAAAGAGAACTTCATCCTACAGAACGAGTATCGAACACGTTGATAGAGATGGGTAAAAAAAACCCTGAATGCCTATTTTTATATTCAATAAGACTGTTCGTCTCAAGTTGTGGAAATCATCAAATTTCAACAATTCTTTTGTTTATTTATAATCTTGTTCGATTATTCTTTGCTTAATCAAATAGTCAGCTTGACAGTGCAGGAGATTGTTTTCTTTCTCTACTGTCTGACGAAGGAAAAACTAACAATGAACAAGACAAAAAATTTGCGTCTTTGGTCAGGACACACTATGAACTGTGTGTGAAAGTCAAACAGAAAAACCTCGTGGGAAAAAACGAATGATAACTGACGATGCTCACTCCGATATCAACACTATCTTGAGCATAGTATGACCTACGCGATCAGATTCCTTATCGATGATAATTGATTAGACTTGGAGAAACTGTCATTTAAGATTACACGCAGATTTTGTGTCGGTATGTGGCGCCATCTATTCTTCTCGATTGAAAATGATATATACATGTCACTGACATAATTCCAGTGAAAGTCAAATAAATTTGTAAATATAAAGAAAATAAATCCATATTCGTTTTTTATATAATCCGTAAACCAATCATGATTGAGAGTATTTCTCTTCTTTTTTTCTGTTTTATCGGTATTGGTTTGGTTTTTTGCTATTTCGCAGTAATTGTGACTAGGCCAATTCGAAAAAGCAAATGGCATCGCTTCTCAAGTACGTGTAAATTCGAAATTAATTGTCAAAGAGCAATCTATATCATCCATTTACTGTAGATTAGCAACAAAATTAGCTATTGTTGGTGGTGCGACAGTGCTTGTTGTTAATCATGAAGTTTTCGGTGCCAACAAATATACTCAACAAATCATCAGTAAAGTCCGCACATCATTACCCGATACAGCTGAAGCATTCGATCAAATGCCAACGAAACAAGAATTGAACAACAGTCTTGTCGAAAGTTGGAATTCAGGTAGATGAATTGCTTCCTTCGCTGAAAATCTTTCGTCTAACTTCGATTTGCATCCATTTCTTTCCATAGGTGTACAAAATTCGTTTAAATGGCTCGCTGATGCTCCCCAACACGCATGCCGTTTATACTCCTTAGCCTTAGATAAAATCAAAGGCTAACAAAATACGAAAAGAACATGATTTGTAGTCAATAACAGTTAGCGTGTGTGTATGTGCTGATTTTATGACCTCCAATACATATATTAGAAGAAATTCTTCAGTCGCGTTTATTTATTTTTTCTTGATGAATGAGAATAGTCGATCGCATCTGCGTTTGTTGATTAAATGTAGAGATGAGGGCGTAGAATATTGTTATTGTATACAATATCATCGGGGGCTACGGGGTCGTTTGTCGAACACAACAGAACAACAACAACATCGATAATATGCTATTCGTTCTAGTGGCTTGTTTCTTCTCTCGTCTTCATCTTATTTTCTTTTTCTTACTCTCTCTCTCTCTCTCTCACGCACAATCACATTCACCCTATCCTCCCATCAAAGCAACAACATTAGCTTCATGGCAACGTTCGTGCAAGAAAGAGCGATTCAAGATAAACAACATTTATACGTGTATACGCGAATGTGATTCCTTTTTTTCCCTTCTTTCTTTTGAAAATTTGATGCATCTGTTGTTTTTTTTCTCGTTCTTCTCGTTCTCCGTCTTCGTCGATGTTTGCTTCGCCAAGCAACATGCATACAAATAACAAACGTTGACCTCTCTCTCTCTTATCCTCACTCTATTGGTTTTTTAGCTGAGAAAGAAAGAAAGAATGAAGGAAAAAAAAACTACGAGGTAAAAAAAAACGAAGAACGGACAAACAAGCAGCATCGATTATCGACCTCGAAGAAACAGCATAGTCGGAAAAACAGCCATCTGTCTATCTTTTCATTGAACGCGTGTAGAGTTTACGCGTCTGTGTGTGTGACTCTAGCAAGAAAGGAAAAGAAAAATAATAACAGGCTTTGATAGAAGGAAAAAAATGTCTCTCATTCACGCTAAAGCATGGGTGAACTCGTCACCGATATTGTTTTTATTTTGTTTTCTAGATTATCGTTGGATGAATATTTCTCCTCGCTTTCTTCAACACCATCTTCTTCTTCTTGCCATAGAATGCGAGTAACAACAAATCGAACATCAAAACTTCAAACAACACCACGAACGAAAGCGTCAACAACAACGATATTGAATGAACAAACAGGTCATCTGCAAAATGGAACAACAATTGTCTCACCCACATCATCAAACAACGTACGAGAATTCATTTTCCTTCAGTTCGATCACCAATTTGTCATCTTTTTCTAGAGCACTCTTCGTCTAATTGATTCAGGTGATTATCTGTCAACAGCCGTATCACCCCAACAGCATCAGCCTGTAACAACATCAACTATGCTCCAATATTTGCAACCCTCACCTACTGCAATACAAAATATGCTTATTCAACAGATATTAACAAGTCCCGAACAGGTATATTAATCATATGATGCAACAGGTCGATCGATATATACATGCGCGTGTATATGACATACATTAACCATCTTTCCCTTTTCATCATCCTCAGGTAGGCAAATATCTACGAAGCCTACAATATCTGTCTTCTTTATGCATAAGCAATGAACATTTGGAGTTTGCTTTCTCATTTTTCTTCTCTCTGTCTCTCTTTCCCTTTTTCCTCGTTATTTCTTTGACGGTTTATTCGTCGAATGACAAACATCGCACAGGACGTTGAATTGTTGTGTTCGCTTGTGAGGACGGCCAAAAAAACAACATACGACACACAGCCACATATACAGAATAAGAACGAACGCGAGGAGAAGAAAAGAAAATTAATAACAGAGTAAAAAAACAAGAGAAAAAGAACACAAGTAACTAACAAAAAACAACAACATCAACAACAACATCTACGTGCTTTTATGTTGTTTCATGTCAGTTATGGCATCTGTGACAACGATAAAAATAATAGCGTTAAGAAAAAAAGTGCGATGACTTACATATATATTGCAACTGAAAATTATCTTCTTAGCGCATATTCTACGTTGTTTTTCTTGCGTCTGTTTAGCAACGACTGCTTGTGGAGAAAATCAATCAGCAATTGAATGAACAAATTCAGCTTAATCTTGTACAACCAACTACGACCACGCAAACAACAAATAATTCTGACGTTATTAAGCAAATTCAAGTAAGAGCGATTAGAAAATTCTATTCGGAAATGATTTATTCTCTGCTAGAACCAACTTGCCAATCAACAATTACTCCTTCAACAAGTTTCTTCAAAACAACAGCAACAATCGATTCCCAGTCTATTTAGCATTACAAATTCGAATAATACGAATCAACCAACTACGGCTACTGTTCAATATTTAACAACATCCACACCTAATAATTCTTCGACTAGTGGTAAGAGAATACTTATCCTACTCTCATTTCTCTCGAAAGATCAAAACTAAATCTCTATGTCTCTAAACAAAAGTTCATATGTGAGTATGTACAGATTCACCATCGATCATTTCAATTTCCACGCGTCCCCTTCAGCAACAAGCAACGACTGTTAATTTAACCGACCTTATAGCAGCAGCTCGAACTAATACTACCGGTTCGTGATGCACATACACATAAAATCGTCTCTCATCGAATGATTCCTACTAGTCTTCTCTGCGTGTCTACGTTTAATTCCGCGCTTTCTATGCATGTCTCTTTCTTTCATTTATAACGAAGAGAATCGTATCCTTCCATTTTTCAAAGTGCAACTTTTCTTCTCTCCTTCCAGGTTTGAATATTCTCGGAAACAATAATACCGAAACTCGAATTGTCATGCCGGCGACGACTATCAATCGGTCATCAACAACTGCACATCAGCAAGCAGATATAAATAATCCACTGTTCCAGCGGAACTATTGCCGATGGCCTAGTTGTGATACACTATGCTCTTCATTAGCTGAATTTCATCGTCATCTCAATGACGAACACGCGCTCGATGATCGTTCAGTTGCTCAAGCACGTGTACAACAACATGTTGTTCAACAACTTGAAGCATTGCTGACGCGTGAACGAGAAATTCTTCAAGCAATGATGAGACATTTACATGGCGGCTCAACGACGACCAATGGTGCAACATCATCGAATTCAACATCCGCACATATTGTCACTCAACCAGCAACACGCACATTGACAGCATCAGGTCCGTATCAAACCTTAACATCCAATACTCGTGCAACACAATTAGCGTCTTTGTCTTCACCAGCTTCGTCATCTTCATCTATCAATAATACATCTTCGTCAGCGGCGGCTCTTCATCATTTGCCCATTGTCAAATTAGAAAATGCATTTTTAACATCAGCCGGTGTTGTGACAACGACGAATTCGCTCGATTCCTATCGCACAGCAACATCTCAAGATCTCTCCTCTGGCACGAATGCAACAACATCAGCTATCCTACGTGCTAGTGCATCAAGTTCTCCACCACCTGTTCATACTGTCGAAGAAGAAGTTGGAGATGATACACAAGACGATGACATGGACGACGATATGGACGATCCCAATGGCGATTTATCATCACATACCAATCCAAATGGAAGTATTTTACCTGTACTAAGCATGAGCAAACATCGACTCAGTCGGAAATCAAAAGATATGTTAGCATTAGGCGGAAAGAAAGCAGGAAAAGGCAAAGGTAATTGAAAGTTTGTTCGTTGGTAAATATACTGAACTTTACTTTTGTTAAGAATTAAAAAACCGTGAATATTATATGACACATGACGTGCGCCCACCGTTTACGTACGCAACATTGATTCGTCAGGTAGATATACAGACAAAGGTGATTTCAATACTTTCATTCGATTTTCTAGGCTATTATTGAATCTCCAGACAACCAATTAACATTGAACGAAGTTTATAAATGGTTCGAGGGTCAATTTCTCTATTTTCGAAAGAATGCGCAAACCTGGAAGGTTGGAGTGTTTTTTTTTGTTATCGACAAGAAAAACAAATTCCGATTGTTATATTCTAGAATGCCGTACGACATAATTTATCCTTACATAAATGCTTTATGCGTGTCGAAAATATCAAAGGCGCCGTATGGACGGTGGATGAAGGTGAATTTTGCAAGAGACGTCTCACACGCGGTGCAGAAAAGGGAAATAACCATCACGAGTCGTCTTCGTATGGGTAAGAACTGTTAAATATGAATAGATAGCTTTTTATTCGAAATTCGAACATTTTTTCAGACACAATACATCTGCTCGTTTGTCCACAGGCGAAGACCAAGCACTTTATTCTTATCCATTCAGTATGGATGATGATTACAAAGATTTCAAAGTATATTTTTCTACTTACATTTCGTCTTTTATCTACATCTTTCCTCTATCTATAGGGTTTATTGAATCCACATGAATTAGCATTGGGCGGTGGACACTCCCATGACCATGACGATGATGATGATGAAGAAGATGGAAATAATTCTGATAGTATCAACGGTAACGGTGGTGATCATCATGATCAATCAACCGATATGAATCATAGTCATTATGATCAAACCGATGATGACGATGGACAAAACGATATGAGGTAATGAGTTTTAATAATCTAGTCATGTGAATGTTTCTCGAACGATCTGAACTATTTAGAAAAATACTAAAGAAAATTCGAAAAAAGGGTTAGTTGTCGTGATGCGCTTGCGGAGGGAAATTGAAAATAAAAACTAACATACACCTTTGTCTACTTTACAAACAAATGTTTAATTGTTTTTCGTTTAGTTTAGCACATGGTGACGACGAACAAATTGATGAATAAGACAAGCGATCAAGTTCTCGTTGTGCAATATATACATATACATATACATACACATAAATTATTTCTTTCGATTTCGTTTTCCAACAGACACTATGTCAGATAATTCGTTTCGTCTCTTCATATCGACACAAGCACATGTATAACAGTAGAACCATCTCTTATTCTCCACTTGTAGATCGTTTCGTTTGTCTTCAGTTCTATATACAATGTATATAGGTTGCGGTTAGTTGAACTTTTCTAAAAAGTTGTTCTCATCAGCACAGAAAAAACGACGACTTGGTAGAAATGTTTTCTTTTTGTCAATGTATCGATATTCGCAGATGAGCACATTGCTCTGACTTCTTTTTTCTGGAAATCTTGTGCCTATGGATGTTTTCCTTGCGTTTCTTTTCTCTTTGTCTACATCGTTGTCTGTAATGTGCGAATGTATTTATCGTTGTTTTCTTTTTCCTTCTGTCATATTGTTTGTATATATATTTTGTGTTTGCTGCTAAACTATTTTCTGTCTTCTCTCTTCCGTCTTTATGGTTCGCGTCTTCTCGTTTCCTTCATCAATTTTACTCATATTGTGTTGTGTTTGTTTTCTTTTTTTCTCTTCTCTTGTTCTATGATGTATAAAAAAAAACGATGGGTTAAAATGGTGATGATGATTATATATATGTATATATATATATATATACATATCGAGAAAACAAACTAAAGGACTTCTTCTTTTTGAACTCATATTCTGTTGTTTGTAATGGAAAAAAGTCAAGATAGGAGAGACGTGGTGGATTTTGTATGACCTTGACTATTGCGAGATAGGAGACCACTGACACGTGATAAAAAAAAACGGCAATGTTATACGACACGTTCTCAGTGAGTGTAAATGCATAAATACTCGAATTGAAAATTTTCCGAAGAAATATTTGATACTAATCATAAAATTCAAGCGATTCTGTCACTATTATTTACCCATGTATGAGACACAAATGACACTTTATCTTTGAATATGGTACGATCTTCTTTCGATAATTCATTTCTTTGTCTATATGGTGTGAGAGTCTGTAGTTCTGTATCAGTCTTATATACATGGCGTGATCTGTTCTTGGTATGCGAATCAGCATATATATATATATATATATATACACGAATAGATATGTCCTCATAATTATGTTTTGTTCTTCAGTCTTAATTTTTTTTTCTTTCTTTCTTACTGATGATATGTACCTGTATTTTCTTATTTACATTTAGCTAGCTCATAATCAAGAGTAGTATCAGTTGAGATTAAACCGCGTTTCGTACACGATCATTTTCACATTAATTACCAAGAAGCGTAGAAGAGACTTGCGTGGTAATGATTGTTTTTCTAGTCGCTTTCGATTAGCTAAAAATAAGACTGAAGGAGAAGCGAATATTTTTCCTTTCACTTGACATTGATATATACATCGCTTTTCTTAATCGATAAAAGTAGAAGCGAAAAACTGATGTATAAAAATGCCCACACGATTTGTCTAACAATCGTACTCTTTTTCTCTTTTGTTCGACTGATTAGTTATGTTATTGGTCAAAGAAATAAAACAAATACAATCATATATGTTTGTCTTTTGTTTTTTTGTGTTGCTGCTATGTGAATGAATCACCGATAAAACGTGACATACTGTATAAAAGACGTTCTATTCATTTATTATTCGTTATAGAAGAAAAAAACGTCGTACAATAATGAATGGGAATGGTTATTCACATCATCCAACATCGATCGGTATTCTTGCCTGTGAACTGTACATACCATCACTTTATGTCGAACAATCAGCTTTAGAAACTTATGATAAAGTTTCTAAAGGTAAATACACCATTGGTTTGGGTCAACAACGCATAGCCATTTGTTCGGACCATGAGGATATCTGCTCGTTGTGTTTAACTGTTCTGTCACGTTTGTTGGAACAAACGGGTGTCCATCCTCAACAAATCGGCCGATTAGATGTCGGAACTGAAACTTTAGTTGATAAAGCAAAGTCGATCAAAACAGTTTTAATGCAACTCTTTACGGAACATGGGAATACGGCGGTGGAAGGTGTGGATAGTATCAACGCATGTTATGGAGGAACAGCGGCGATATTCAATGCTATTCATTGGATCGAATCGAGCTACTGGGACGGTCGATACGTAAGTTGATAAAAACTACGATTTTTCTTAACATCAAATGAATTCAATGTGTATTATCAGGCTGTGGTCGTTATGGGTGATATTGCTGTCTATGCGAAAGGAAATGCACGGCCAACAGGTGGTGCTGGTGCTTGTGCATTACTCATCGGCCCTAACGCGCCCATTGTTTTCGAGCCAGGTAAGTAATTTGAACAATTTGCTACTTGATACAACAGATGATTGATATAGGTTGTCGGTCAACATATATGACAAATGTTTATGACTTTTACAAACCTGATTTAAGTTCGCCATATCCCGTTGTTGATGGTCAGTTAAGTGTACAATGTTACACATCAGCATTGGATACCTGTTACGCACAATATTGTCTCAAAGCAGAAATGAATGGTGAATCTCGTTCGAAAACATCCTCAGCAGCTGCGGATAATATCAATCTATCCACATTTGCTGGCATTGTTTTCCATACACCTTACGTTAAACTCACACAGAAATCATTCTCAAGATTGTATTTCAATGATATTCTACGTGCTTGTTCGTACATACCAAATGCTCTGGTTGAAAAGTATAAGTAAGTCAGACGATGTAAAGAAATATCATACAATGTCGGTGTCTATTCCTAGGGACTTTGATATCCATTCTTCGGCTAATGACAAAGACCTCGAGCGTGACCTTATTGAGCAAAGTCGTGAGCTGTTCGGACAGAAAACCTTGCCAGGGCTCTATTTTTCTCAAAATATGGGAAATATGTATACGCCTTCGCTCTACTACAGTTTATTTTCCTTTCTCAGCAGGTAAATCGACTAATTCGTAAAACAACACTTTCACAAATCATTTTCAGTCAACCTAGCGAGGAGCAATTCTACGGTCAACGTATTCTCCTGTTTTCATATGGTTCTGGCCTAGCATCATCGATGTACAGTATCATTTGTCGTAAAGTGCATGATACTCGTTTCACGCTTGGAGAAATTCAAAAGAGCATTAAACGCGCCCGACAAGAGCTTGATAACGAACGAATCGAATTAGCTCCTGAGCTAATGGATAAACTATTATTAGAACGAGAAAAACACGATCATCAAGGTAAGAAAAACTTCACATAGTTAAGCAGAAAATCATGAATTTTATCTTCATTTTCTAGCGTCATTCATACCTTCACAACCTAGTGAAGTCTTAAAACCTGGAAATATGTATTTGAAATCAGTCGATAAGAACTACAGACGTGTGTATGAAAAATTTCATGGTGACGAAAACTCGAGTACGAATAAAAAAGCGACGGTCCAGCAACTTTATGTAAGAAAAACACCGCTTTCTCTTTCGTTTTTCACTTTTCATCTTTAGAGTGAATACTTCCAAACACGGCAGATCAATGGTGATACACATGGCTAAATGTCCTGTGAAAGAATTTCAAGTCTTTCGTTCTTAGTTTTAGTGCTAGACTTTTTAATAATAATTTTCTTTTCTAATAATCGTATGAATTATCAAAACACGCGTGATTTTGATAAGGATTTATTAATACTAACAAAATATGAGTTGACGTTCCGTTCCGCTGGAAATATCAACTTGTGCCGAACGCTTTCCGTTTTAATTCTGTCAATTATTAATAAATGAATCGATTAAGACAAAATGCACCGGTGTCAACTGAAGCTTTGTTCTTGGAGAAAACGTCGAAAGACTTCTTCGACGTCATCATCAGTATTTACTAAGATGAACTTTTGTTTGACTAAATCGAGAAATTCCTGGCGATGTTTGTTGATCTTCTCTGCGTACAATTTCTTTTCGTTTTGGGAAAAGTCTTGCAAATATTTGGAGAGAAACTTTCGTAATTTTTGATCGAGTTGATACATGAAATTGCGCTGATTAATCTCGGTGGCTATCCGTCGTTGTTCATCATCGATGTTTTCCACTGTGTCTTCTGGTTCTCGACAGGATTTATCAATTCGGTGAAAAATTTCTTGCAAATGTTCACTAGTCAAACCACGCAGAGTCGTATTAATCAGCAATTCTTCAGGAAATAGTTCATATTTTGAATAGATGTTTTCCATTGTCGAAGCGGAAACACGTTTCGAACTCTCTCGTCGTTGATTTCGTTGGTAGGCGACAGAAAAATTGGAATACAGATGAATGATCATGAAGCCAATATGTGCTCGTTGAGCTATCTGACGATACCGGTGTCGCATACTCGAATAATAGAAATTATCCTCAATGAAAAGAATACTTTGCGAATGTAAACACTCGAATGATTGAGAGAGTCGATGGAGAATTGAAGAGGCATGTTTCAAATGTGTTGGCAAGTTGTTCGCCGCTTTGGAAAGAATCACCCTTTCGATCTCGTCAGCGATTAACGTTCGATAAGCTTTCCAATTGGTTTCGTTTTCGATGATATCATTTTCATAACCGAGAAATAATTGATCGAAACAGAGAAAGACGTGTGACGATTGCTGAATTCGACTTTCGAATAGTTTTGCGATGCAATGTGATTGCAAATTAATCAACTGATGGTTTAATATCAACCGAAGTATCTGCACAAGTGTTGTTTTCAAACAGGCAGGTGGTCCACATATTAAAACTATACATTTGATCATAAGTATCTACAAGAATAAGTGTTCTTTCTTTATTTATTTTTCTCTTATTGACACAGCGTTTCTCACCCTTTCTCTACGCTGTCAGAACGAACAGAAAAAAGGTATCGTTGCTTAGAAAACAAAAACGAGTGAGATCTTTGCGTTGTTTTGTCACAAGTTGATTTTAACTTGAAATGGACGACAACGACGATTTCGAAAAACCAGCTGTCGAAGCCAAAGACGATGCAACATTGTATCTCGACTGTGTTCGATTAGTCGAAAGTGGACAAGTGCGACGATTTGAAAGTGCAGTAGCAAAGTTTGACGTTGTCGAGTATGAACTAAACGACGGACCAAGTAAATCACTTCTATTCTACGCCATCGAACGTGGAGATCCGGTTTTAACGAAGATGTTATTAGAAATGGAAGTTCCGCTAGATAAAGAATATACCGTAAGTTTCAACGAGTGAGAGACAACGAATGTGATTTTTCTCACAGTTTAGAAGTATTATATGTTTACTTAGTAAATAGTTTCCAAGGACAATTAAAGAAGCAAAAAGGCAGGAGGAGTTGATGTGTACTAAAATAGTATCTAATTAAAATCGAGAAGAAATTCGATGCTTCTAATTGTTGAAACACAAGAAATGTTTACAAGGTTATTGTTAGTTCCGTTCAAAGAGAAACGAGGATTCGATTTTTTAATTAGATTATGGTACCAACATCATCATCACCAACAGCTGAACTTGTTCAAAAAACATTGAACGCCTATGATTTTGCACGCGAGTTACACCACGATGATCTAGCGGAAATGATACACCGTTATCGAAATCTTCCTCCCTACGACCAACGGTTTTTTCGTATGCTTCAATTGAATGATGTACGTCGTTGCGATACATTTATTCATCGCTTACAAAATGAAAAACGACAGTACGAATTAGCCACCAAAGGTCTATTCCTTGCTGCTCAGTTAGGTTCTGTACGTTTGCTAGATTATTTCTTGTCGCGTTGGAAAATCAATATTGATATTGAGCAACAACAAGAGGATGGATATGCGATATCAGCACTCTTAACAGCGATCACGCATAAACAAAATGAAGCAGCAAAATTTCTCCTATTCCGTGATGCTAGTCCCAACGTTAAAGGTCAATATGGTAATGCATTCGTTACTGCTCTTCATTATGATGCTCAGAATGATCTTTTGGCTTTATTACTCGATAAAAATGTGGATTTAACCGCTCGACATCCCGAGTATCCGAAATTATCTTTGAGAGAATACTGTGTTCTAACCAATCGTGTCAAAGCGAAGACGGAACTTGATGCGTATATCAAACGTTTAGTAATCAATGGAAATTATGCAAGATTGAAATGGCTCGTTGATCATGGATATCACTTCATCAACGTTCAAATCAATCCAAAACGGAATGCGAAACAGTTGGCGAAGGAAAGATATTTTGATAAGATTGTCAAGTTAATCGATGAGGTCGAAACTAACCAAATGAAAGCGAGAATTAAGATGAATTTCTAACATTAGCACATCAGCACTGCGACGTCTTTTTTTTGCTCTTTTCTTCCCTATTGCGGAATAAAGGACGACGGTTTGAAAGTTATTAACGGAAAATACATATGCTCCTTGTCAATTACGACCTCGACGAGAGTGTGAATACTTCTTTACCTACTCGCCTCTTTCCGGAGTGGCTTAGCACATTTTCCGGTAAGGGAGGACGGCTTGCTGTCTTATTATACCAAATGGAGCACTTAAATTCTTATCAATTCTGTCTGTTTCTTTCTTTTGAAAACACAAGAAATCGACTTAACTCAGATTTATTTGTCATAACAGAAAAAAAAACAAGAACAAAAATGAAGATTATTTCGTATTTTTGGCTCGTTTTGATGATCGTTCATCATCATGATAATCTCGTTGCTTTCTCGATGAGGATGCCGACGACGACGACGATGGAAGTGGTGAACGTGATCGTTTTCTCTCCATCGTGGATCGTTGCCGCTGCCGCTTTTCTTGTTCGTTCTTATGAATATTATGTACAGCATTGGAAATTAATGTATTTCGAAGAAACTTGCGATTTGTAACCAAGGTCGGCTTTTGCCAACCAAGTGCACCTTGAGTTTCCGCTCGAATTTTATTTCTCTTGGCTTCCTCTAATAACATTTGACGCGCTAATCGATCCATGTCATCATCTTGTTGATTGGTAGTTGATGATTTGTCATCAAGTTTTTCTTTTGTCGACATCTGAAAAGAAGAAAATGTCAAACAATTCACACAATTGATATTTTCTTGGTAAAGGTTAATGATCGATATTGTCAAAGGTTAAATGAATATTAATAGAGATCAATTTTCAACAGCTGTTTGATTTCCCTTCAATTTTATTATTAGTATTAGTAGTAGTGTTAGTGATATTCTTTATATACAAAAAGAAGAAGAAGAAAAGAACAACGAACAACAATGAAAATTAAACAAATAACTACTGCTTTTCGCCTCGAACGAGATTTTTCAGATAGCCAAATGTTGTATTGCCTGTTCCTGATTGTTCCATGGCCTCGCTTTCAGTTGGATTCGCTGTTGGGGCTTCAGTCGAACGTTTGAGTAATGAAATAGGATTGGTCGGACGTATAGAAAATGAGGATTTCTTTTTAACACGTGCTGAATTGTTCGTCGTGTCGTTCTCTTGATAATAGCTACTCGTATTGGGCACGGTTGCTGAATTAGTTCGCGATCGTTTCGATGTATCGAGGTCGATTGAAGACTTGCGAGGTGTGGGCGTTGTTTCCACCTTTTTGCATGTGGTATTCGTAGATTGATCAGGCGATGTTGGATCTTCTTTTGATGTCTTCTTGTTCGATACCCATGAACGAAATGAACTGACAGGATTCTTCAGAGAAAATCCACTTGTGGTAGTGGAGTTGGCACATTGAGGGGAATGTCGATTGTTAATATTCGATTTGGATGATGGTATCGTTGATTGTTCTTCTGAAGTTTTCTCAAGTTTGATTTCAATATGCTCAAGATCATCATGATCCTGATCACCGAGATTGGGCGTAACTGATGTTGAAAACGAATCCGATTTGCTTTCCGTCGGCAGAGGTTTCACTGTTGTTTGAATACTAAATATTACACAAATGAACCATCGAAACAGATGGGAACAATACAGGTACGTACTTTTCAATACCATTAACAATTTTGTCGTCGTCTTTCTGTATAATAAGAATCGGTGGATGTGTAATTGTATCTCTTTCAGTTGTTATTATTGGTTCGTTATCACTCGCAGTATAGTGTGTAGGGAGATCTTCGTTGCTTGTCGTCGATTGTGTTTGAGCTTTGTTTGCTAAACGTTGTTGTCGTTCAGCGTCGGTCCATGGTGGCATGCGTTCATTGATCTGATCGAAAGTTTTCGCTGTTGAGAATGAGAAGTCCGTGGGCACTTTTCGATGTTCCGATGAATCGCTTCCATCATCATCGACAAGCTCATTGAGATTTGCTGTTGATGTTGAAGGCGACACAGGTGCTAAACCTTTCAAGTTTAAAACATTTTCACTTGCTTCACGTAGTGAGGAGTAGACCTTTGCCATTTTGCCCACTGCACGTATTTTCGAACGAATAGCTTCACGACGAAATTGATTCTCATTATCATTCTGTTGATCAGCTAATAAACTTGTTATAAGTTCTTCTTCACTGCATATATTTAATATATTAATCAACATTTCCGTTACTTTCTCGCCTACGAATGGTAATGACCATGTAAAAACATTCATAAAGTTCGGCAACCAATACGGATGCGGTGATGAGTTAAATTGTCGAATATTCACGATATTCGTATCGTATTTGAGTATAGCTGCTTTATTTTGATAAACATCGAGATAATTCGGGGCAGAGAATATCGTCATTAACGATGGAAAACCACTTTGAGGACATTTACGATACATTCGATATCCAACATCCTGAGCTTCATGTGCGCGTATAACAGTCAGAAGAGAATTTCGTGCAAGAAAATCATTTACAGCTTTGAACGTATAAAAATATGAACAACCACGTGTAGCATTAAATAGATATTTTTCATCGTAAGATTTCTCATGACCGTAATCTTCCACGGGGTCACTCCATAGTAAATCACACATTGGACCGTAAGGCGGAGGTTCTTTGAAACGATCTAGCTTCTTGATATCATCCAACGTATGAATTTCAGGCGACAGACCACCTAAAACATTCTCGTCACGTTGAATGAAACAAACAGTGAGTTAATTTCTTGTTTACATAGCACTTCATGACATCGGCTCAATAGAAATATAATCAAGCCTTTATGTCTATCAAAGGCGGTACAGTCACAAAATCGGATCCTGTCACTAATCAAATTATCTTAAATAACATCCTGTCAGAATATAACTCGCTAGTTATGCTGTCTTTTTTTGTCAGACATTACTTCTAACAAGCTGAGACGTTCGATTTCGGTTGGCTCAGTTTCACAAAGAATCTCAAGCTCTGTCTCATGCTCTTTACTCAATTACGGCAAACAATGTCGTACTTCTAACACTTCTCCTTCCCTCATCAGTACTTAATATATTCGAACATCTGCATGACATGTTACATTCACGCCTATTCTCGTTTTCTTTTCCAATTCAAACTTACCATGAACACAAAAAAATTGCTTGTCAATAAGTGCGGATAATGGTAAACAATCGAATGCACGCATACATGCATCATAAACACGCTCAGTATATTTGATTTTACCTAGAAAAGACAACGGAAATCACTCGTGTTGAAAGCGTGTCTTTCTAGATTTACATTCAGTTTTGAAAGTAAAATATTCAGTCAAATGTCGACACTCGTGATTGCCACGAAGAAGATAGAACGTCGTTGGATAATGAATTTTAAGTGCCCATAGATAAAGAACACATTCGATAGAAAAATAACCGCGATCAACATAATCACCCATAAATAAATAGCGCGTACTTGCTGGCGGACCTTTGAACAAACAAACAAATAAGAAAGTTGGAATTGACGACACTCTCTATCTGTCTATAGACCGAACCTAATGCACGTACACAAGTGAGAGAAAACAAAAAGGAGGAGAAAACGTGCCAAAAATGTCTCTTACATACCGCCAACTTCGATCAATTTCATCAGATCATAAAATTGCCCGTGAATGTCACCACAGACTGAAGAAAACAACGCAACCGATATATTCATAGCAAAACAATTTTTAAGTCTTAAAAGGTTTACCAGTGATCGGAGCTTCTAAGTCAATTAGATTATTTTCTGCTCGTAATAGGGCTTCACCACGTTCAATGATCAACAGAGCAGCGTCTTCTTGAAGACGTCCTTCGGCAAGAAGATGTTCACGCAAACGATCGAGTTTAGGTTTTCCACCACCAGCTTGTGAGTCGAACAAATCTGCAATGGAGAGACGATTGATCGGCGGAGCCGGAACACATCGGGAATAGGAGGTCGTAGATGTTTCAGTTGTCGCCATTATTTGTGAAGCATGTGTATTTGAATTAGAACTGAAATAAAATTAAAGAATGAATGAAAAGAAAATCATTAATTATCATCGGTATCGTTATTCAATGGTCCGATTTGATCCTTCTAATTAAATAGATTTATAGTAGAAAGTTGACATTTATTATAAATAAAAGACTAGGTTTTGTTCTCTGTCTGTCGCTGTCGTTTTCCGAAACTCTACTACATGTCATCAAAGACAAAGAAAGACGATAATTGATGAGAAAAGAATGATCGAGTAGATGTCATTTGCCATCTTCAACATGCTCGAATCGCTTTAGTTTCTAATAAATATTTTGTTTTTTCATCTTCGTTTTATACCTTGCCATTCATTGATTCATTGAAGAAAACAAGTTGTTCTATATGCATCACTATTAATAAATATATATATATATATCGAACTCGACGCAATAGGAAAGAAGAGAGAAAAATATTCTGGCAAATAGAAACTAGACACAATAGAGATATAGACCGAGATACATTTTCTATGGCGAGAGAAGCTAGTAGAAGAGGAAAAACGGTATAGAAATGCGTAGGTACAAATTGCGTATGGACAACGAATCGTACACGCGCCGTACACATATACAGAAAAAAATTTCCTTCGTATGGCCGTTTATATCAGATCAGAATTGATGACGAGGAAAGGATGCTACCATCATAGTTACAGACGACGCATAGGTTTTCCTTTCCATATGTTCGCTCTCTCTCTATCGCGCGCGCGCCCTCATTCTCCTTCGTCTTCTCTTATTCGCTCGTGCGCTTACACATAGCAAAGTTGATCGGCCAAATAAAACATTCATGCGATGGATGCGACCATCACTACAACCATTCTGTAACTCGTATTCGTCGAGATTTTCTCTTGTTTGCGGGAAACCTAGTGCATTTTCTTCCGCTTTTTCTCCTTCTTCTTTTTTCTTCGCTTCTCTTTTTCCTTCTTCTAACGTTGTAGCTTTACCGTCTGTCTTCTGCATTAACAATTAGTGTTAGACGGGAGAAGATTTCTCTCCTTCTTCGCTATTTTTCCTGTCGTTTTTCCGTTTTCTCTCTACTATTACTCTATACAGGGATCTGTGCGTCGTCGTACTGCACATAATTGAGCAAAAGAGAATTATAGCACGACGTGCAAGCGTTCGTTCTGCTTGAGATAGAAAAAAATGTCCGACAACAATCTCTTCTTTCTCTTCGATGTGTTGCTAAAAGTATTTTCAAGTTTAGATTACTCTTTCTCTCGCAGTTTCTGTCTCGAATTGACGAACAGACGGCGACAATTTCAATCATCCTCGTTCGTTTGTCAGCAAGACATATGGGCTCTCTGTTCGCAGCTATTCGATTAGTAAAAGGGATTATGACACTTGAGCAAAACGTGTACTGGTTAATAAAAAAATTCTTCTCACGGATAGATAGATAATGATGGAAACTTCATGTTTTTCTTTTCTCTTTTCGCAAGTTTGCTCGGGGCTAGATTGCTACTCGAAGACAGACTGAAGAGACAAAAGAAGCAGAGTGATGATGATGATGTGTGCTTTTGATCGTAACTAAGATGCAAGCTCAAGCAATTAGACTTGATGTCAACACGCACACATTTCTCAACGAACGATAATCACATTTTCATTCGGTTGAGTTCAATTGGTTTACTAGAGAGAGAGAAACTAATTACCTGAGTTCTTATTGGAAAAATGGCAATTTCTTAATGATAGTCTGCGAACAATATGGTGCATGTCAAAAGACAACGTATTGGTGATAATCTCGCTTTGAGTTTGCATGATGAAATATCTGTTAAAAGAAGAAGAAGAAAATTACTGTGGATTGAACTGCTCTTTAGTTTTTCTTTTTAATGGTTCGTCTTTTCATCCATTCATTAAAATCATTGAGTTCTACCAGAGGTCGCTCGCGTTTGAAAAGTTCGATGAGGAAATCAAAACATACTGTTTCTCATTACAGGCATCTGAGGCCGTTTTTCCTCTCTTGCCATGTGATTGATGTCTTCTACCCATAATTTAACATCCGGTTGTTAGAAGATGTTTTTATCGGATGATTAGATAACTGTTCGCCGTAGAAGCAAATAAGATCAAGACATCAAAACAAAAAACGGATGAAGATTTGCATAGCATCAGAATTGAATCACAAAGGAATTTTCAAGAGACGTTCAGTATTAGTCAATTAGCGAAATTTCTTTCATACATTGTTCTAAAAAGATTCAATCTCCGCCGAGGAAATATTAACAAAATGAGTTTTTTTTTCAAGTTGTAATGGATCAAGCCAATGTGAATCGCATGCTACTTTGTTCAACCATCCTCGTTCTCTTTCATTACAAGTCGCGGTTCAAGAAGGAAACTTGCTGATCTAATTATAAACCTTTCATTTCAAAGTACGAAGATATTCTATATATTCATTTATTTACATATAGTACAATTAGACTCCTTTTTCTGCTTTCACAAACCTTTTCCAGCTTACTTTCTCGCTTGTTTTATTATTAGTTTTCAAATCTATACGAATACACGCAGTTTATTGACTATTTGTAAGGTCGTATAACATCGCATTTCTGTCGAATAATTATCTCCGATTACACATCCGGATCAACATGATATGCTAATACAACTAAATTTCTCATAAACTTCCAAAGCAAACGAACTGCCTGAACACAGTCTCTGGTTATCGGATCGTGTAGAGCTATACCTAAACTCTCTCCTTAAAAGTACATATCTCTGTTCTAGATATTTTCATCAATTGTATTGAAATTTTAGAGTACAATAGCATTGCTATGCGAAATTATACAATGATTCGATGCGAATGATGTTTTGCTAAAGAAAATTTTCAGTTAATATCTACTCACTTGACTTTTTCATATAATGATGAAATTCCTCGATTCGAGTATTCATATCGCCTCTATATAGTCATGAATATTAACTACAAGTGGTAATATTCGCATGGGATTTCTTCGATTCTCACAGGCAACTATAAATTTATACTTGTTGATGGTAATTGTACCATCTAGATACTCTTTGAGAGTGAAATATAAAGAGCAAAATCGATCAATAATAATTAAAAGTTCTATTCAGTGTTATGTACAGTTAACGCCAAGCACGATTTTGTGCTTGATCAGTTAATCATACCATCATTTTCTGTTATTTGCGGACATTTTTCATAGAAAAATTCCACAGCCGTTGAGTTAATTACTATTTTCATAGTTCGCGGAGATTCAATGATTGAATCACGATTAACCATCGTTGATATTCCGTAAAGGGCAGCCAAGGACGGCAAGACAAAGAAGAGCTGCATGTAATATCTATCCATATGGTTCTTCGTTGTTTGTCTAACGTCTTCGAGACCAATTACTAACAATGATCAAGCCTATTCTCTATCTATCAGCTTTCATAACAAGACATTAGTACAAAATATTAATCAAAACTCATCATCGACTATGCGTTCATTTCTTTTTGCATTACTGGCGTTACTTACGCTTTCATATTGGGCTCATCTCTTCGTCACACGTGAATTAAATTCCAGTGACTTAATGACAATTGTCATCGACAAAGGCTTCGTTGGTATATGTGAATGTCAATGTTGTCTTTTACATGGTACAATGTGCGAATCGACGGTGAAACATCGGTTATTTTTTAAAAACGATTTTTCTTGTGATTTGTGTACGAATGAGTTCTGTGTAACGAATGCAAGTGCAACATTAGCATGTCACATGATGTATTCGATGAAAGCCGATTGTTTTCAATACAACCCTCGTGAAAAATCACCCACATTTGTTAATGTTCGACCGATTTTACAGTAAATTGTTTGTTTTAAAGTATACGCATGTTTCTCAATAAAATAAATCGTCTCCATTCGTTACATTAGTTAACAAAACAAAAGGCTTCATTGATGTCATACAATTTCGTAGGTGTCTATCGATTTACCTCTCTAACATCACCACTGAGGAAAGGCGTGGTTTTTCACTAGTTACATTTTCTTTTACTGTAAATATCAATGCAAATAATCGTGACATCACTAGGTTGCTATGTGGACATTCCTCTTGCTTAGTGATTATGAAATGTTCCGTGATTCATCCAGTCGACTTTGCATCATACTACGAAAGGCAAAGGAAAACAGAACAGTGATGAGTCACTGCCAGCATATATACTCTATGAATAGAACTGCCAACGTGGCAATAGAGAAACAGAGCTATACATTGTAGACAGGACACGTCATCATTTGCTGACGACTACTTCATTCGATCGACACTGCTCATTTGAAGCAATTCTCTGTTCTTTGTCATATATAAGGTAAGGCTTTTTACTGAAAATATTCAAGTTAAATTTGATACACTTCTCAAAACTAAATGTCAAGCATGAATCAAATAGTTTTGTCCATGAGAGATTGAAACGAAAAGATAAACTGATGCAAGAATGCATCTCAGTCACCTGCTCTTTATTTACCGACAAGCATGAGTCATATCTCTCTCCACATATATATGCATCTACATGGGCTTTCATTTTAAGGCAAATTCACACGACTCAAAATGATGATGGACGCGGTTTATGACCCATATGATATTCTGTTCGGTGATAATCAAAAATCACCTATTTCTGATAGTATGCTTTTTACGAATGAAGTTATGTTGGGTAATTTCAATACTGAATCGTCATCGATCAGCCCAATAGCGCATAGCACAGAAAATATCGGTAAGAAGAGATGGAATGAATGATAATTTTCGATTCAAACTCTTTTTTGATTAAATAGACACGGATTTTGATCCAGCAGCTTTCGAAAAACTAATCAATGAATTATTATCATCAGACCCGGGAATGATCCCAGAACAATCGATTGATCTCCCATTAACATCACTAGAACCCGAATCATCGACACGAGAGATCGGCACTGATCCCATGGAACCCGCTTCACAACCATTACCGCTGATTATTAACTCAGCTAATCTTAGACAATTAACTAGTGCACCAATTATTTTCATACAAAAATCCGCCGATACTGTAGTGGATAATGTCTCAACTATAACCAACGATTGTTATAATGCGCCGCTCGACAGTTCCTCGTTGGGATCGAATGATTATCCAATGGAAGACGTTTTGCCTCTCACTCCATCAACATCGAGTGATTCCCCTGATGAAGGAAATTCCAACTCACCAGACGTCTGCCAAGATCAAGCTTATTCAAAGCTATTAACAAATTTTGATGTAAGCACCCTTGCGCGAATCTTCTCGTTTAATTCTATTCTTTTTTCAATATTTAGAATCTACCCCGATCAGGTGCGTTGAAATTGACAAATGAGGAAGTGAAATTAATCAAGCAAGAAGGTTATCAAGTTCCAACGAAATTACCATTGAGTAAAGCAGAAGAGAAAATGTTAAAAAAAATTCGTCGAAAAATCAAAAATAAGGTAATTCGAACGATGACGAAAGAAAGTGTTCTTATCAAATGTTCTTTGTTATCTCTCAGATTTCAGCACAAGAGAGTCGTCGAAAGAAAAAGGAATATGTTGATGCTCTCGAAAAACAAATCGCGAAATATGCTGATGAAAACAATACGCTCAAAGAACGAATGGCAGCGATCGAGAAAAACCAAAAGTAAGATTCAGAAAAAGAGATTTTCACATGATGTTCTCATCCGCATCCTTTAGATCGTTGGCCAAAGAACGCGATCTCCTTCGATCCATGCTCAATAAAGCAACACCAGCACCTAGCAGAGCTTTGATGGTGAGTTAGTGTTGAAATTTATGCATCTATCTCATCCATCTCTTTGGTTAGGTCTTTGCGGTCTTCTTCGCCGTTCTTTTCGGTGTCTGGTCGCCAATTGCAAATAAATCGTCTACCGATGACCGGGCTCTCTCGTTAGAAAACGCTTTGATGCCTTCAAACAATCACCAAGCTGCTTACGTATCGAAAAAATCTTTATTTGAACAGCAAGATAACACACATTCCAACTACATAACTAATAGTCATAAATCTCGCGTTCTGTTATCGGTTGACGATCATGATAGTCACCAACAATATGGACCCTATTTACCATCAAATAGCAAACAAAAAAGCATGTTCCAAAAGGAAACAGCAGCACCAAGTTACATGTACTCTGATTCCATCGAAAAGTACATAAATAAAAAGCATCAATCGGAAATAGTTGCTGACACCAATGGAAAAGCCCATATGAAACGATCCTTATCAGATGATTCATCATCGGTAATTTTTACTCAAAAGTCAACACATAAAAAACTTCGATCTAATTATCATATCAATGAAGATATTGTTGTCGTTGAAGACTCAAACAATGACAATAGCGATGGTCCCCTCGAAAACAAATCAGTCAAAATCATCCGCGTCGAACGTGCGGTACCAGCTGTTCGAAACGATACATTAAAACTAGCTCACCGTATGATCAATGAATAACTCACCGAAAACTAGACAATACTTATGTCTATTACACATATATGTAGTTTTTGTCTCTAACTATGTACATTCGTCAATAATATAACCATGAGTTCTATTTTTCTCTTTCAACTAACGTATATACGTCAATAAACATAACTTAATTGTATCTACGAATACATCAATGTTCCAAAAATTAAAAATCGGATTTTCAGGGTGCTAATAATCGGCAATGATCGAAATCAATGATAAGTTTATTTATTTCTCGAATCAAATCTGATCCTCATGTAAGGAAGAAACAGTGACGAAGGAAAACGAAATCTAATGAACAAACACACATATACATAAACAGTCTTTTGTCTGCAAATAATAGATATTATTCATTGAGGAATCTAAGCACGTTCGCCACGGATACGTCGTGCCAATTGAATATCTTTTGGCATGATCTAAAGTAAGATCGCTCGTGAGTAAAAGTCTCGACATGAAATAGTCATTCTTACCGTAACCCGTTTGGCATGAATGGCGCATAAATTTGTGTCTTCGAAGAGTGAGACTAAATAAGCTTCACTTGCTTCTTGAAGGGCACCAATGGCTGCCGATTGAAAACGTAGATCAGTTTTGAAATCTTGGGCAATTTCACGAACAAGTCGTTGAAATGGTAATTTACGAATGAGTAATTCCGTCGATTTTTGATAACGACGGATTTCACGTAGAGCGACTGTACCAGGACGAAAGCGATGTGGTTTTTTAATACCACCTGTCGATGGAGCCGATTTACGTGCTGCCTTGGTAGCTAATTGTTTGCGTGGTGCTTTACCACCAGTCGATTTACGAGCTGTTTGTTTCGTACGAGCCATTAAAGTTATTCAATACTAAAACAAAGAAGCACAATTTCGATTACTTTTTTTTGACCTCATGACCTGTCATCTAGACACCATCGAAGATATTTATTCTATTCTTCTCTCTCTCTCTGTCTCTGATCATCACAATATACATCGATGTCAAACAGTTCTTTGTTCAGTCGAGAAAAAAAAACAAGGAGAATATACATGATGTGACGGTATGTGCCATTCCAATTTCCTTCGTTCAAACACGCCCTCTTTCCAATGCTTCGCAACACGACCTTTTTTTCTCTTTTCTTTCTCTTACCACAAGTGATACTACTTTTTGACATTCTCCATTCTTTTCTTTCATCAACGCACTTTTTTTCTGTTCTATCAAGGCAGCGATGTAAGACTACGCAGAACGAAAGAAAAACGGACGAGTTATGCGCTCTCTCTCTCATTTTATTTCTAGTCGTATGTTTTTTTGTTGTTTATTATATATCTATTTAGATCTTTCTCTTGGTCATATGCATAGAGACTGAAAAAAAAAGTAATTGAGAATTTTCTATGAAACCATCTGTATCAGTATATCAATGTTAATTAGAATATCGATTGATCGATATGCTCATAGACGATGAACATTTCATCAATGAGAAACCTTGAGCGCTTTTTTGTTTAAATTTCACTCGAAATTTACTTTTTGGTCGTCATGAGTTATCTAGGATGATAGCATAGATAACAATATTCACTATCAATCTTTTGTTTACCTTGCTCCTACAAGATTTCGTCAAGAAAGTGACGCCTTTTCTTGTTCTATTACAGGAAGAGAAAAACAAGTTATTCAATTGATTTTTATGGAAACGAAACAGAAAAAACTTTTTTTCTCGTTAAAATTCGACTAGATTACACTTTGACTACCTTAGCTTTGAAAATTTCGAATTTACCTCAACGAACTACTATCTCAATAAATTCAGTTTTACACTTGCGCGGTCGCGTTTGTGCGCACACTTTTTGATTGTCTACTTACTTGATGTTGTGTGTGTGTACGTGGGGCGAGTCGTCGATAGTGTGTGTTGTGCTGCTCGTCAACGAGGATAATGCAATGTGAATGAGCGTTTTGCAGTGGGTATATATAGTGCAGCGGTCGTACAAGCTTGAAGCTCCTCCACCAATGAATGGATGTGTAAGAAGTTTGTGAGGCTCGACTATTGGGTGAATGGTGGATGGTGATAGTTATTTATATATTGTTATTGTCTTCGAACTAGTGGAGGCAAAATAAGAAATACAAAATGAAAGAGAGGTCGCCGGGCGGTTTTTAGGGACGTAGGAGAACAGTCAGACGACCGATTCGACAAGAGAGAAGTGGGCAAACGGAAGAGAGAGAGAGAGAACTGGGCATTGTCACTGTCGTCTTTTTGAGATACGAAAATCTAGGAGGAAGAGAACGAGAAGAAGATCGCGCGCGCTCGCCTGTTTGCGATACCTTTGAACTGAAAGAACGCAATAAAGATTCGTACGATATTACAAGGAGTCTTAAAGCTACAAAAAGTCTTGAAAAATAACATGATATTGATTGTATCCTCGATGATCATGCTCATTCAATAAATGTTAAACAGTGAAAAAGGTAAGAAAAATGCGTAGGAGACGACATAAAACAGAACGGAAAGAGAAAAAAGAGAACAACGGGCGGGCGCGATAGAAGACGGAGGAGAAGAACGAAAGAGTTGTCCGATAGATGTGAAAACGGATTTTGAAGTATTTAAATAAGATAAAAGAACTGGCCTTAATTAAAGGTACACACAATGACGCACTAATTGGGATGACAGAACAGAACGACAACGAGCGCCATCTATGTCATACGATGTGGTGTTTTGAGAAAAAGGAAATATATGACGTGTGTATAGTACATCTATTGCGCGTTTAGTTGGAAAAGGATGCACGCATAGGAAAATTTATTTTTAATTATGAAAGAACTCATAAATATTTCTATGAATGTAGGCATCGTTTTTTCTCTCAAAAGATATGCTCTACATTTCATTCGCGGAACAAAATAAAAAATATCATGTTTTTTTTGTCGGAATTTTCTAAAGAATTTCGTAGGAAGTGAAACTTATTTGCTTTGACTCACGAGGAAATCTGATTTAATAGAAAGCGTAAAACGGTTATACGACACGGAGTGGTATTAATAAAATGATTCATGTCTTGTGAACATTGCGAGAATGTCATCGAATAGTTCCGACGAAGTCAAAAACTCAAATGCACGTCACATCATATTCTCTGAGTTAAAACAATAGCTTAGATGCGTGAGCGTTGTACCATTGTCAATTTCGTGCCGAGTAAAACTTCAATCAGTCTCACCAAATGAAATATATATATATATTTATTTATTTATTCATCATATCGATGCACAATTACATAACCGAGCTTAAGATACAGGGCAAGGTGCTTATCGTTTGCTAACTTTTGTCAAAAGACCGTATTTAGGTCGCATTGTGATTTTGAAATCGGGTACTATCTTCTGTCCTGGAACTAATTCAAAGTTACATCGTTGGACGAACATAGCGAGCATTATCTTCGCTTCAAGCAGCGCAAAATTTTGTCCGATACAGTTACGTGTACCAGAAGCAAACGGAAGAAAGGCGTATGGATGCACTAGTTTTGGTTTTAGGCCAGTTTTAGGATCACGCAACCAGCGCGTATAGTCAAACTTCATTGGATCTTTCCATAAGTCGCTTCGCCGGTGAAGTATATAGTTGTTTATTAGGATAGTCGTTCCTACAGGTATTCGAAGTGGATGTTCAGTACCAATTGTATGCTCGCGAATACAATAACGCGCAACCAAGGGTGCAGGTGGATACAAGCGGAGTGTTTCATTCAGAATTGCTTCACAAATGACTAAATCACTAAGACATTCGTTGTCAGGATCGACACCATTCGGTAAAACACGCTCAACTTCCTCCTGACACGCAGCTAAGACATCGGGATGAGTCATTAGAATATAGAACACCCATGACATGAGATTACCAGTTGTCTCACTACCTGCGAGTACGAATGTCAATGCTTGTTGTTTGATTTGTTGATCAGTAAACGGCTGTCCTTGATCATCAACAGCTGAAAGGAGAAGATCAAGAAGATCAGGGCCGTTGGACATGCTCGTCGAACGTCCTTGTCGGCGGTCTGAAATAATTTGATCAACTAATTCAGCTATCATACGTGCACCATTGTCAACAATATCTTTTTTCCAAAAGGGTAGATTTGCGAGGATAGGTGTTTGATTAACCATACGTAATGAACGATAAACAATTGCATCAAGTACTTTACCAAATGTTTGGATGATCGTATCCTTTGCACTTATGATTGTTTCAAAACCCGATCCGAAGGCACTGGACGAAATTATTGTCAATGTTAGTATATTGAGTTGCACTTGTAAATCAATCGGTTTCGGTTCATTGGTATTCGTTTTCGATGCCGTGAGAATATCGATAATTGCTTTGCCTGTTTGTTCCGTGATAATCGATACCATCGCTTTGAGATTCGTATGATAAAACGCAGGATTGATCATTCGACGTGCTCGTTCATGTTCTTGACCTTCAGCGACCAATAGATTTTCTTTACCAATAATTGGAATAAAAACCGCATTGAATAATGGTGGTTTGATGTAGTTCTGTGCATTTGTTCGACTATAAACATCGGCAAGTAGATCAGGTTCAGTAACGATCAGACGTATTGCTGGACCAAAGCAAAGTAAAAATACATTGCCATGTTTTCGCACTAAGTTTTCTTGATAGGTCATGGTAGCATCCGCTTGCCGATAGCGCCGTATTTCAGGAAGTTGACCAATAATTGGAACGAATGGTTCTCCTGTAATACCTTGTGCACGGAAGATGTCATAGAGACGTTTTGGCGGACGAATTAATTTTGTGTAAACAATAAGAATGAAAAAAGTGACGACAGGTACAAAAATGTAGAGTAAAATTTGTAAAACCATTTGATATGAATCTGTTTGATTACTCGAGTCGTTTTTATATTCTCTTCAACTTGTTGGTTTTTGACAACGTGTCGTATTCTTTGACGAAATGCGCTATCGAACGTTCTTTTCGCACGCGTGCTTAAAAAGAAAGCTTATCTGAAAATGTTGTAATCGTCAACAAATTCTACAATACTTCAATTAAAGGTTGTACACAGAGGCTCAGTAAATTGATAGTATGCGTATGCAGATAAAAACTTTCTGTTCGGCATCATTTCAATTTCCTCTGTCAGGTCGTATGCTAAATAGTTTGAAAAAATTGTAAAACGTTTACATTCTGATGTTAGTATACAATAGGATGAAATCATTGTCGATATAAAAAAAAAATTTTTAAACCGTTATGTGATGAGTCATTCTCGATTATATTTAATATTTGTGATCGGTTTCTTTTGGATTAAAGAGTAAAAGTGTGTAAAATCCAATGAGAATATCAGTGAGAATCATGCAAACGAAGCAACTTGTTAGAGCATTGGTTAGTTTAGAATTTCCATGCTGAATTACTGGAACATAGATTGATTGTGATCATTGATTAACTGTTATTCATGGAATCAGGAAATGCATTGAAATTGTTCATCAACGATTGTTGATCGATACGAGAACGGAAAGTTTGGATGATTATAGCCAGATGATAGAAGTAGAGCATTACCTAAACAAGATCAACCATTGGAAACTTGCGACGAGATTTCAAACTCGATTCACTCATACCAAAATAGTGGACAAAATGCTGAGAACAATCGATACAATGTTCCACCATAGGGCACGACGTGAATAAAGACGCGCTTTATCATGGAAATTCACATCAGCCTTTGCCGAACTTTTGATGGAATAAGCCAGCGCAATGAGTCCTAGAATTCAAATCGATTCGATTGAATGAGCCTAAGGTAGATCTCCCTTTTTTTTTAAACCTGTTACTGGACATAGACAAAGAGCGGAAAACAGCGAGAGCACGAAATAATGACGAATTTTTGCAGGTTGTCGTTGAATCTGAACTGATGAACGATCAAGAAGAATTGCTGATGACGACGGTGCTTCGAACAAGAAGAAAAGGAAATGCTCGCTGTGTAAATTTGACGGTTTCATTTACTCTCATTTAACCATTTTGTTTTGAAAGAATAATCCATCTTTGAGTGGCCTTTGCACTGCGTATGTGTATCGATAAATCTTTACTCATAAAAATGAAAGAAAATATGTATATTTATATGTAGGAGATCGATCACGAGTCAGTGGAAAAGAAACGAAAAAAAACAACCAATTCTACAGACATCTATCAAAAAGACAGTGCTAGATTCGACGATTTGATTGGTTAACATAGTAGACCTTGATTTAGAAGAGATTTTTATCAGTAAACAAGTATTGTTTTGTCGATGATCTTCGATGCAAATGTTTTCGAACATAATTAATTATGACATATGCAGATCATTGAATCGAATTCGACAAGTACAGACATATGAATATTTCATTAGTTCTTTTCCTACGATGAACAGTAATGGAACACATACTTTCTATTTTAGAATGTCTCTAGTATTTCAGTCACTGATTCGTCGAACTCCTTCGACATTTATCGCTAGAATACCTCGTCGTCTATGGTCGTCGAGTGGAAAATTTCCATCTCATCCAATGGGAACGGAAGAATACGAAAATCAACCACGCAAATCAATCACTGAATTACCAGATGAATTAACTGAACGTGGTACTAAACCAGAATTCATTTCCGGATATGAATCAACAAAAGATGGCTGGGATTGGGTAGATAATGTTCTATTCAAATCTGCCATCCCTGAACCACCCAATCATCCAACTCCGTCTGGTTGGGTACCACCCGATCCAAGGCTTGCTCGTCAATGGCCTTATTTCGTTGATAGAGATCGTTTTCATTCCTATGCACTCTATGTTCGTATATTACCTGTTATGCTTGAATATTGGCTTCATGAACAACACCGTTATTATTTGAATATTTTCCGTCGTCGTGTAGAATACGATATTTATGCACAACGAACAAGACGGTTTAGTCTACTGGAATTAATCTCAGGCGATATTTGGGCATTAGATCATGATTTGAAGGCTTATTTGACAAAACGTGTACACTTAACTGATGATAAATCCAAAGAATTACCTATCCTATCTCAGGTTGATGAAATCAAACGACATATTCTTGTTGAAGGCGAATACGAAGAATGGATAGCAGATTTTTTAAAAGAAAAAGGCTTTTGATAGATGAATAAATGTAGCAGACTAAAAGCAATTGAAATTTGTTTCGTTTTGTTTTTCTAGATTCAGAATGCATCTCTCCAAAACTCATACAATGAAATTTTTGACTTCGATATCATCGAATGTCAGTCAAACCTTTGTTCGCACCTTATTCAATCCTTTTGGATCAAAATCAATCGAAGCAGCCAAAGATGCACATTCAAATCTATTGACAAATACCGAAAATGTCTTCGAACTACAACATCACACTGTAAAACCAAGCGCAATGGTAAAAACTTCGAGAGAAAGAATGTCATTTCTGCAAATTGTGAAGAATATATATATATACGTGTACGCTTGTCATCATCGAATTCCTCTATCTGTATAAAGACAACACAGCGAGTGTTGTTATTCACATATCCGTACCTATTTCAAGAAATTTTACAACTTGACATTTTTCTTCGCTGGTAGAAATGTACGAACGTAAAAAACATCATTGTTTTCTTACTGCTTTTCACTTCGAATCGGAAGAGAAAAACAAAACGTCCACTTGAAACTATACCCCCGAAAAAAAAGCAGTCACGATGATGTCAATATTTTCTTGAGAAATACACTTCTCTTTTAATTGACATGTTTCTGGGATATTAATGTAACAAAAGTCTTAGATTCATTCTTCACTTCATCAGAGAACGAGAGTGTGTCTTTTGAGTGCGTACATGTCAAGGACGGGGTATATTCGTCATATTAATCGATACGCACGTTACGCCTTGCTTTCTTTTTCACCGTTAGAATGACTACGAAGCCATCTATTGCGACTACACATCGCAATTGATTAATAAGCATGCTGCTAATGGTCTTGTTCATACCGGTTCATGGAAAGTACACATTGGTAATGTACAAAATCAATATGTACATATCTGGATGTATAAAAATTTTCCTCACTTGGATGAATTTTTGGATGGCAGTGACAAAGACAATTCGATGAATGATAAATTAAATAATCATATCGTTAAACGGTCAAATCAGATTTGTCTTTCATTTTCCTATTTTGGTGCGTACAAACACAAAGAAAACTATTCATTCGTTGTTAATGGATCTACCTTGTAGGTATTCCTCAACCACGCTCAAAATCCGAGGATCAATCGAATCCGAACATTTATGAAATGCGTTCGTATTGGCTCAAGCCTGGTACATTAATCGAATGGGGAAATTTATGGCACAAAGGTGTTCAGTATCGTCCCGATGCCAAAGTTCTCGGTGTTTTCTCCCAGATCGGCGAACTGTATAATGTTCATCATATGTGGTCGTATAAGAACTTTCTACATCGTAAACAAATGCGTACAAATGCATGGGCTAAACCCGGTTGGTCTGAAAAGTAATAAAATGCAAATGTTTGATTTACGATTAGACGAGAAAAAAAACACGCGTTTGTTTATTTCTTGTTTTAGTGTCGAGTATACAGTCCCGTTAATTCGAAAAATGGAATCAAAGATTCTCGTACCAATGAAAAACTCACCGATGCAATGAAACAGTTGATCAATTTGCTTGAAGCGAAAGTCTAGATTAGATTAAAATAATAAACAGTGATGGTTCATTTTCTACCCAGAAACGTATTTTTCTTCTTCTTTTTCTCTTTTACTAACAACAATCATTGCGTACTATTGATTGATTATATATGAATTGGGGTGATGTTGTTTTCTTTTTACGTATTCTTCTTTTATTTTAAGATTAGATAGTTTCTGGTTTATTCACATGGCTCAGAAAGGTAACGAAGTCGTTGAGCGCCCATCGCCTGGTCAACCGGCTGATGAAGAAACACCAGGAGAACTGGAAGCACTCGAAGAGGTAAGTCATGATCATACCGAGAACAACAAAATGTACTTTTTTTCATCAACCAAGTCTCTGTTTTCGGGAATTTTTCTTGAATTTTCCATGGTTACCCGTATTGATATGTTTTGTCTTACTTTCGTAAATATTTTCTTTTCATCTGTATGTGTATTTCATTTCATGAGAATATCATATGAATAGTGATTATGGGCAATGATCCAACTACTATCCTGTCTGACAAACCGATCAATATGGAGATTAAAGAGAATCCTGATGAAATTACTGAGAAACTGAGTGAATCTAGCGGGGATTTAGAGGCATTGATCATAATATTCATTCTTTCGATTGAGTATGTATTGTTCTTTTGACAGAATGATCAATTGGGTGCATTACGCCCACGACTTGCACCGATACCATCCGACTCACCGGGTGCTGCGATGTCTCCATTCAATAAATATCGCGGTTCAATTGCCTGGACGGAAGGTTTTGAGCAGAATCTGCACATCCTCGCCAAGGATCAGTATCCAGAGCGTGCGATGGGTGTCTTCACTAGTGGTGGAGATGCGCAAGGTCTGTACTCATCGGCTGAACTCATTTTTCAAATCCTAATCCTATCTTTACCTAGGAATGAATCCTGCCGTTCGTGCTATTGTTCGTATGGGTATTTATCTTGGCTGTAAGGTGTACTTCATACACGAGGTACGTAAACGATATGGTTATGAACGAAATTCGATTATTTATTATTTCTTCTCGATTGAACTAGGGTTACCAAGGTTTAGTCGATGGTGGTAATAGTATCCGTCAAGCAACATGGGCATCTGTATCTGGTATTCTTGATGATGTAAATATCTTATTAGATGGAGTATTACTTTACAAATATATGTGACCTTTCATTGTAAATTCGATAGGGTGGTACAATCATCGGTAGTGCTCGATGCAAGGAATTTCGCGAGAGACCTGGCCGTTTACGCGCTGCTAAAAATTTAATCGATCATGGTATTAACAATATTGTATGTATTGGAGGTGATGGATCATTGACTGGTGCAAATTTGTTTCGAAAAGAATGGGATAGTCTCTTGAAAGAGCTTGTCGAAACAAGTAATTGATGAGCTGCGATGTTCGGAAAACGTTCATTCGTTGCTGATTTTATCTAGAGGAAATTACACAGGAAAATGCTGATAAATATAAAAATTTAAATATTGTTGGTCTGGTCGGATCGATTGATAATGATTTCTGTGGTACAGATATGACAATTGGCGCTGATTCAGCTTTACATCGTGTTATGGAAGCTATCGATTGTATTACGACAACAGCGTCGAGGTATAATTCAGTAAATAATCTACATTGATTACCTTTTTTCATCTATGTTTAGCCATCAACGTTGTTTCGTCATGGAAGTCATGGGCCGCCATTGTGGTTATTTAGCTTTAGTTGCAGCTCTGGGTTCTGACGCCGACTGGGTCTTTTTACCTGAATCACCTCCAGGACCAGGATGGGAAGAACAATTATGTGCTAAACTGAAGAGTGTAGATGCATAAAATAGCTCTTCGTGCTAATCTTTGTTGTTGTTCGTTTTAATAGACACGAGAAATGGGACAACGTTTGAATATTATCGTGCTTGCTGAAGGTGCAATTGATTCGGAAGGTAAACCAATTACTAGTGAGGCCGTCCGTGAGGTAAGCATCGGTTACTATTTCAGTCGAATCAAACTTTCGATTCTCACTATTTTCAGTTAATTACCAATCGGCTCAAATTCGATACGCGTGTCACTATTCTTGGTCATGTTCAACGAGGCGGCTGTCCATCAGCGTTCGATCGAGTTCTTGTATGTTGATTTTTACGCGAAGAATTGTATTCTGACAGCAATTTTTCGATTAGGGTACACGTATGGGTACAGAAGCTGTATTGGCATTGATGGAAGCAACCCCTACATCTCAACCTGTGGTTATTGCTCTCAGTGGTAATCAGACCGTTCGCGTACCATTGATGCTTTGTGTGGAGAAAACACTGGCGGTTGCTCAAGCCATGAAAGAAAAACGATTCAAAGAAGCCCAAGAATTACGTGGAAGAAGTTTCAAAGGAAACCTTGAAACGTATATTCGTCTCAGTAAACTACGACCAAAACTATTCTCAAATAAACAGGTTAGTTCTACTCTCTTTCGCTTTCGAAATTAAAAAAAAAGAAGTGTTGACATAACCTCCAAAGGATTAAATAAGTGTGATAGTGAGAAGTGGTGATATGTCGCCTAACGTAAAAAGGATCGAATGACAGACATATGTTTCTATCACATTTTAATTACGGACCAACGGATGTATCGTGTTCAGTGTAATGATTGAAGAAATCGAATTGATTAAAAATTTTTCATCAACACAAACGAGTATCACTTTCTGATATTAATTTGATTTCTTTTCTTTGTAGGATAAAACGGTAAACAATGAAATGAATTGAATTGATTCTTCGCATGATTTAGTCTTTATATCACTCCCTTGCTTCTCACGTTCATTCGGCTAGGCCTAGCATGCACTTCGATTTTTTTCTCACATTATTTTATCTTTGGACACTCGCACTCTTCTTCTCTTTGTTCTGTAGCAATCATTCAATTTGGCCGTCGTCAATGTTGGTGCACCTGCTTGTGGGGTAAATGCAGCTGTTCGTTCAATCATTCGCTATGGCCTATGCGAAGGACACAACATGTTTGCTATATTCGACGGATTCGAAGGCTTAGTCAATAATCAAGTAAGATCAATTACATTCGAAAGCTATAACATATGCCATTTTGTAGGTTAAAAGTTTAAATTGGATGTCAGTAAATGGTTGGAGTAGTGTCGGTGGTTCATTGCTTGGTTGTCAAAAGTGAAGAGACGGATAGCATCTTGAATGAAATAATGAACTTTCTCGATCTACTTAGAGCTGGCGCAAGCAAAACTGGATTAGCCAAAGTTGCTGCTAAAATTCGTGAGCATAACTTTCATGCTCTATTAATCATTGGCGGCTATGAAGTAAATTATCGAGTTTTGCATATTCTCCTTATCATGTTCGACTTCCATCTCGTCTAGGCTTATACGTCGGTGCTTCAAATGTATGAAGCGAGAAATAAACATCCAGAGTTTCAAATTCCACTCATTTGTATCCCTGCTACTATTTCGAATAATGTACCCGGTACGGAGTTCAGTATTGGTGCTGATACTGCATTGAATGAGATCGTCAAAGTTCGTATGGAGGACGATAAAAAATAAATCAGACGCATTGCCTTGTTTAGATTTGTGATAAAATCAAACAATCTGCACAAGGTTCGAAACGGCGAGTGTTCGTTATTGAAACAATGGGCGGCTATTGCGGATACTTAGCTACGCTTGCAGCATTGGCTAGTGGTGCTGATCAAGCATACATCTACGAAGAACCATTTACAATTAAAGATCTGATTGATGACGTTGATCATCTCCGAAAGAAAATGGAAGGTCATTTGAAACGTGGCCTCTTGCTTCGAAACGAGATGGCCAATGAACATTATACAACAGACTTCATTACGAAATTACTACAAGAAGAAGGCAAAGGTGTATTCAGCGCACGAAGTAACGTACTCGGCCATATGCAACAGGTAAAACACGAATTAATTGTGCTTACTAAAGAAAAGTCTGTTTCATCAGGGAGGTTTACCGACACCATTCGATCGAGCTTTTGCTACGAAACTGGGATGTAAAGCGGTTACCTACGCTGTATCCTTGATTGAAAAAGTAGCTACAAACGACGGAAATGTCGTTTGTAATACACCTGAAAGCGCTGTAGTCCTAGGTTTACTTAAGCGACAAAGCGAATTTACACCGGTGGAATCTCTCAAAGCCAAAACTGATCTCGAGTAATTGCTACGATTCATTGTATATGTGTCCCTATGTTTTCTTCTTTCTTCGTCTTCTTTAGACATCGTATGCCACTTGAACAATGGTGGCTTAAACTCCGACCATTACTTCGAATCCTAGCTAAACATGAAAGTGTCTACATCGGCGATTTTATCGAATCAGGTGTTGATGAAGTCGACGAGTAAATCAATCCTAGTTATCAACGGTTTTATTCTTCTTACTGTAGTCAACCCGTGAATAATTTTTTTTCAAAATGCATGTTTCAATTCTTTTCAAAATATATATCACTCTTTACTTTTCTCCTTTTCTTCGAAGCGAATACAACCGAAACCAATCTGTCTTTCTGCATCAAATTTTTCTAGTCTAGTTTCCATCATACTCACACGCGTACTGTCTCATCTCTTCAATATGCTTTGTCATATTTTCTATGTGATTGATTTTCTTATTTGAAAGAAAAAACGAATACAAATGACCCATCATGTACCGATTTATGATTTAATTATATATGTTTGTCGTGAAGATGATCATTTGCCGTTGTAGTTGACCAGTCACTGAATAGTAGGACCGATTTGTGACACAACCATATGTAGTGTTTCTCTTTCTCCTTTTTTATGCTTATTATACACTAGACGGTAGAAACATTAGACTTCTCTACACATACATTAACTGATTTCATGCGATTTTCGATCTTGTTCGACGTCGAGTATAATGAAGAAGATGAAAAGAAACTGGTCGAAGATAAATAGAACATGAAATTCTATTCGTTGATATCTTACACCTCACACATCATATTTCGAATGAGTAATTGTGTCTATTGACTAAACATACTGTTTGCAGTTATTTCTAACGATAAAATTCACATTAAGTGTCCTTCGACAAGAGATTTCACACTAATTGCCACGAACAGTATCGATCGAGTCGATATTTCTTAGACAGTCTAGTGATTATTAATACATCATATTCATCCATTTCACTCGATTGGATAAGTAAACGAGCTCCTCTATTTGTACAAGTAGTCATCGTATGTCTAGCTGAGTATATGCATACATATATATATATATATATATATATCTTCGCTATGCCCTCTTCGCCTTACTAAGAAAAGTTCTTTCTCTTTTCTTCTCTCTCGTTTTGGGTACAGCTGTTTCAAGTATACATGTGTTCAACGGCTGGCCAGAGAGCATGATAGAAAGAGAGAATAACGACGTTTCTTTTACCATTATTACAGACATTCAATTACTAGCTCCATACTTCTTCTCTCTTTCTCTCCTTCGTGCATGCCCTATAATCGCGCATTATGCCATTATTCATTGGTCTTTTTTTCTTGTTTCCTCCTTTTTTTTCTTGCTTTTTTTATTTATAGATGATTGATAGGTGTTGTTGTTCTATTTGGCCACTAACACATCTTACTCATTCTTCTCCGCCTTCTTCGTCTATTACTTCATTTCGACTACCGTTCGCATTACACATTTGATCATCAACCTAGATAATCTTTTTCTTTCGTTTTTCGTACTTTTCGCTGAGTCTCCTCTTGCCTCTCCGTCCGTCCACTGCGCTTTTCCTGTGCTTCTTTCAACCGATTAATCGACGATGACAACTACCAATAACGGGGGTGATTTGCAACATTTAAAAGAGAAGAAGACAACATCGTCAAAGGTAAATAACATTATGAACGAGACAAACGAACCATCGACAGTTCCAAATGGTGAGGCAACAGCTGCCGCTACTAATGGCCAGGAAACGACAGCCAAACCGAAATCTTCGGACTCGACTTTAGAGCAAGAATTTTTCTTCGGTCTAACCATCGATGACGCAGTCAATTCAGCAGACAACCTTATGGAGTTATTCTACAATGCATGCAAATACAGTCATTTAGAACTCGTGAAAAGATGTGTCGAACAAAAACATATCGATGTCAATGAACCCATCAACAATGATTATCCTTTATGCATTGCTTGGTAAGTCAATAGACTTCTGCCATCTCTCAAATGAGTTCGTCTCTTTATAGTCACAAAGGTCATATTGAAATCGTACGCTATTTGCTTACTCATGGAGCTGATATCCATATTAAACGCGAAATGAACGTTTCAACAGCACGCGGAAATCAGCGCTTATCGCGCGCCAATGTCAGTCATGGTGACAGCGCGCTGACACTGGCAGTGAAATATGGTTTCGAAGATATCGCCATTTTACTTGTCGAACATGGTGCTGACATATTAAATGAAAATAGCGAGTTCGAGAAATCTCCTTTACAGGATGCCATTCGTCTCAATCGTCATCGTATTTTGAATGTTTTTATGGACAAATTAAAGAATACGCCAGCAACATCAGGTTATGATGAATCGTTATTGTTACAAAAGAAAGGTGACATTCTTCGACAATGTCTTATTAATGATCAAATCGATGCGTTACGCGTATTTGTGCCCAATGTTTGGGAAGAACTTAACAGTGATTTTATGTTGACTGTTTTGAATAATCTCATGTTGAAAAACAAAATTCAATCCGACAAGGCATTTGATGTGTTAGAAACAATTCTCGATGCAATTCCAACACCGAAATTGAAAATGTACGATGTCGGTGACCTATTGAAACGTTTTCTTCATGTTTTACAAGCGCAATTTTTAACAATCAGTGACGATCGTATTCAAATTCTCTATTTACGCACATCGCTTCTTTTTACTATACTCAAATATCATGAAACAGTCGATTTTACAAACTATTTGGATCTACTAGATATCTATTTTCGTGCAATTCACAATAGTGTTGAAAGTACAGGTAAGACTTACTCGAGACGAAAACATTCGCTATCGAAGAATGAAACATTTCTCTTTCTAGGCGAAGGAATCAATCAAATCTATGAATATATTGTTCGTTTCTATGAAAATCTCATTTTAATGGGTCATTTGATTCTTACAAATAATAGTGTTATTTTACGTTTACTCGAATGTGAACATGTTCAACGAATGCAACCTATTGATATGTATCTTTCATGGCGTGCACGTAATCCATTTCTACTCAAAGAACGCTGTCGTCTTATGATTAAAAATATTCTACCAACGTACAAGCGAACGACATTAGAGAAATTGAACTTAAATGAAGACACATTTTTCTATTTGTATTATCAACGATAACTAGTGCGACTTTTTGCAATATAATTTATTTCTTAGTTGTGATATGATCAAAATCGTGTTCAATATATATATATATCTACACATATGTGTGTGTGCGTTTGTTATTCAGATGTCTATGTCAAATGAAGAAAATGAAATAGTGAATAAGAAGGCTATTTACATTTTTTGACAACAGTGTGAATGTGTCGCTCGATTTCTTCTTCTCCTCTTTTCTTTTCATTTCTATTTGTCGTATCTTTTCTTGAAGTTAATAAAATAGAATCATTTCTACTTACCTGATTAAGATAACAACACGAAAAACTTTGTAGATTTATATAGAATTAACTACATGTAATGTCATCGAAATACATTCATGACAAGTTTCGATCATGGATCTCATCCGTGGCTGGAGTGACTACAAACGATGGTTGTCTATCAGGAACATGCTGGATACTGGACCTTCCTCCTGAAATCATTCAAATCATCACAGATTATTTGAACCCACATGATCTGACAGCGTTCAGTCGTGTTTGCCGATCATTCTATGATTTAATCAATCAGGATAGCTTTTGGGCTCATCGCATACATCGACAGTTTCCTCATCCCGTTGCACAACTGTATACATCTGAACTGTATCATTTGCCAAATATGATTCAGACGACGTATGAGAGTCGAACACCGAACTTTCTTCATACTAGACCTGAAAGTGAACTTGATCGATTTGCACTAACCTCGGCTACACGATATAATGACGAAGCAATCGAACGGAGCCATACAAAAATGTACGTTTCAAAAGACGAATTCTTGACAAATCTGCATTATTTTCAGTTTCGCACACCGACGAATCTCTCGACTATTCCATTTATGAAACTAATTTATTTTTATTTAATCGATCGAAAACGACGTGCAGCTGTAAATATGGACGTTGTTCATCTGAACGGAAGTTACCTTGTCAATAGGAGCGATCGAAATAGTTTAACAGGTCATGTAATTCAATTACAAAGTGTTTGTTGGCTTGAAATAACTGGACATTTCGAACAAAAGATCATGCCGGGAAAATATGAAGTTAGCTGGCGTATGAAAAGTCAAGCGGGAAATATCAGTTTACATGGCGAAACTGAGTTTCTCGTCGTTCCATCACATGGGAAAATGCTGATTAAGAGCGTAGCCGACACTGATTTTCGTGATTATGCTATTCAACATAATGATCAATGGTTCACAGTCAACATGGGCGCGATCGTTATCTATGAGCCTTCGGAAGTTTTCATGGCTATACGCAATTGGAACAGTGGATATTGGAAATCGGGCATTTCATGGGATTGTATAGAATTGAAAATAATACCATAGTGTTTTGTATATTTTCTTCCTTATCTTTTTAATCAAATAAATTCATGAGATCTATTTTAAACAAGAGACAAAAGAACGACAGATGGCGTTAGTAATTACGGATAAGTCTGATATGATGGTTATAATCTCAGATTTCTGTTTGGAGTCTGAAGTTTCACCGATTGAAACACTTGTTGAGATGCAAATCAAACAAATTTGATGAAAGTCTTTTACGAAACAAGCTTGTTTCTATGGAAACATTGAAGTATACCAACAACTCTATCGAAAGAATAAATCAATCTTTCACATCACGCAGCACAATATCATCTATGTATTGTGGAACAAAAGAGAATTAACTGTCACACTTTCAATGATAAGAAACAAAAGACTTGCTCCATTCCATGCTTGACGGATCTTATAGAAAACAATGACTGATGATTCCGAAGAATCTCCATCTACTCAACGTCGACCTTCGAGTGTCCCACCACTTTCCTCACTTGCTGAAGAAGAATCCACTCCAACAATCGCAGCACTTCTCAATGCGATCCCAGTGTTAGAACCAGTAACTGCATCTGCAACCGATACCCCGTCGACGAGAAGCCGGCGTCGCAGTAGTGTATCAATACTTCATACACTTGTGACATCAAGTATATTACTTCCAACACACGATGCGCGAAAACGGTAAAAATCAATATTTGCAATGTGTCTTTGCGAAAAAAAGAGATATGAAAAATGCGTTTTTTTTTCAATAGAAACTTTCTCGTTGGGTCGTCAAGACAAATGCCAGACAATGCTGCCAATGATTTATCGGCTTGTTTTCCAAATGGAAGATTATTGACCGTGATGATGGCCACATGGAATACAGGTGAAGCTTCAAACTTATATGAACAAAATTATACACCAGCAGCGAAACAGCAAACGGAAATGAGAGAGCGTATGTTGGAAGATTTACAGGATATTTTGTTACCAACATTCGTTGATTATGTTTCGGATGTCATTATTATGTGTACACAAGAGGTGTCTGTTGCAAAGAAGCCGTATGAAATCGATTGAAAACTAGTGCATCGAAAGACTTTGTTTTCTTTTATAGAATTGATTGGGAAGTGTTACTTCAAGAAGTCATCGGTCCAACTCACGTACTGTTCCATTCCGTTCATTTCGGTACTCTATCTTTGTGTATTTTCTTACGAAGGGATCTGATTTGGTACTGTACCGGTATGTGAAACACACTTGATTGCGTTGCAATGCTTTTGATTTCGTGACTTCTTAGAACCCGAGGATGATATTGTAAAGTTCCGAGCCGTAGGACCGATGCGCACTAAAGCTTCGTTAGCTGTGACCTTCAATCTATTTGGCACCTCATTTATGATTATTAATTCCCATTTCGAAGGTAGGAGTAGTGAAAATACTTTCGAATACGCTGAAATCTATTAATTATTCGTAGCCGGTGAAAATGTTGAAGGTCGAGCGAATCGAAAATTAAATTTTCAGAATACAAAAACAAAAATAACTATTCCACATGAATTTCTCCAACGAACTGGAATATTAAACAAACATCCACTGACTATCAGTCGCGTCGATAGTCTGAAACGCGCTGAATCAAGTTCATCGTTAGATTCCGGCTTATCGCCAAGCGCAGGTAGACTGAATCATTTCTCTCGTCAAATATTTATCGAAGTTTCTATTTGATCAGATATGACCAAAGCATGTGATTTCGTATTCTGGGCCGGTGATTTGAATTTTCGTGTTAATATGCCGCATAAAGACGCTGTGGAACTTTGTAAAGAGAAGAAATATGATGCGCTCTTACTTCACGATGAATTTCTCGATGCTGACCAGAACCATAGTACGTGAATTCTATTGAAACTGCTTCACAGGAATATAGTGTTCATTTAGGCAATGCATTCAATGACTTTCAAGAAGCGAAAATCGAGTTCGCTCCAACATATAAATATGATTTACGTTCTGGCAATGATAGTTATGCGAAGAATCGAACACCATCATATACGGTATTAATAGTTTCTCTTGCTAGCCCAAAAACTATGCTTTGTATAGGATCGTATTTTATATCGTGTGAAACCAACATCCCAAATCGAGTGCACGGAATATCGATCCGTTGAAAATGTCAGACATTCGGATCACAAACCTGTCGTTGCTCACTTTCGCGTGAAACTAAAGCCTGGCCTCCATACGTAAGCTTTGATCAAGAAAACGTACCAGTGATGATCGATCCTATTCTAGTGGAAATCTTTCCTACGGAAAATTTAATCATGAGGTGTATCGACGTGGTATGTGTCTTCAAATTCATGTTGTTTGAAGAGGAGTATTTGCTTTGTTGTACTTAGGTTGTGAACAACGCGCACGACATCATACATTAGGTGTCGGCGTGCGAGGTAACGCCAAACGTCGTACAGGTGCAGCTCGAAGTTCTGTTTGCGTTGTTCAATGAGCTTTGTTTGTCCTCATCGATTGTTTTAATAGTCAATATCGAGCTTATGTATGACCGTAGCTCACGTTACTTGTGTGAATATATTCAAGTTGTTCTATCTAATCATTTTTTAATGGGTAAATGAGCAACATGTTCGCGTGTATGGTAATTCATGAAGGGGGATTACGTGGAACAATGGTGTAGAATGAAATTCTCTTTTATTTTGCTAGATTATTTAATTCTCAACAGAAAAGAACAAATTGAGAATGTTATCAACGTCAAAATCGAAAAGAAAAGAAAAGAAACTGTTAAGTACGCTCGAATATACAATTAATAGAATTATTATTTTGCAAAGGAATGTTGAAAAAATGTATAAAAAGAAGAGACTGATCTTTGTCACTATATAGAAGATTAGAAAGAAAACAGATTCACGAGACATAGAAATATCACCATAGTTTCGAAGGAAAAAATAGATTATTCTTGATTGGCTTTACTGACAGTAGTTGTGCTAGTCGATTCTAATCGAGATAACTCGAGAGCTTTTTGAATTGCCCAAATACTCAGTGCACGCATATACCCACACTAGAAAATATATGAATTCATCAAAATGAACTGCCGTCTGTTGTGTTCTTACCGATCGAAAGTGGCAATCCCTCATGAGAGCTTCCGGTGTTTGAAATGCTAAACCAGCAACATTGAAACAAGTATTATAAATGCCTTCCGAAGTAAGAAAAGCTTCTTTTTGAAAATTCTAGATGAGTTAAAACATGGAATCATCTATGAAGTAAGCATTCAGCATTTACCTCCATGATCATTGTTGACGATAAGCCGTATGTGACGCCAGTCCAAATTTCTTCCGATTGCATACTAACAATTTCCAATTGACCTGACTTTGTCATGCCATTGACAGCACCTAATTTTCCGTTGCCGAATTCCATTACATTCGATTTGAAAATTGTACGCAAAATACTATCTACTCGCTCTTTTTCGAAATCCTGAATAGATCACAATAGGCGAGAATCATAACAATCAATATTTACTTCATATTTATGACCAGATAGACGTAGATACCAAAATCCAGCTAACTGATCAGACATGATACTGTCGTGATGAAGGGATACACTAGAATCATAGTTGTAATATTTACCTAAACGAAAACAAGACTTCAATGAGATCGAACACTGTTCTTAGCAAAGAAAACAAATTACCATTCCATAGTTTCTCTGAATAAGATTTCTTTGCTAAATTCAACCACACTTCGTATTCTTCTGCAGCACTGGTATCATTCATGATTCGAGCCATTTCAATACACGCTCGAAGCGCTGCTATATGTAAACCACCACAATATGCGCTAAAAGATTCCAAATAATGATGTCACCAACTGTAAAACTACTTTCAATACCTTGCTCCAACTACTGTCCATGCATCATAGGTTTGATCTGCAAATCCGCCGTTATCGACTAGACCATCTCCATCTGTATCTTGTTTTTTCAAACGATCTGTAACAAACTATCAGAAGAAAAAGGAAAATTCAGCTTTAGTTTTCTTCTTCTCATCTCACTTTCACAGTTGTCCAAACATCATCAAGGAAATCTTTATCTTTCGTATACATATAATCGCGATAAACTTGTAATAAATATTTCGGACCTAGATCTTTCCAATCCGCTGTATCATGTGCGATATATGCATTGATTAATAACCAGGGTTCTTCATCTATTCTCAAGAGAAAAAACTTGTTTTCATAAAAAATATATCAAATTTTACTTACCAGGATCACCGAGATCATGTGGCACAGAATGCAATGTTTTCCATTGACCTGCTTGACCATGAAATAAATAGACTCGAGATTCAAGTTTCTCATAAATAATTGATCTAGCTACAATGAACATGTCATGTTTTCATACGGATAAGTTTTGCTGTCTTACCAAAGTCAAGTTGAATACTTAGTTCTAATTGTGGCCACAATTGAATTAGAGCAAATGATGCGTAAAAATGAACATCATATGTGTTGACCATACGATATTCATGACCTTAAATACACCGAAAATGCCAAGAAATTAGACAGAAGAAAGAATATTAAAAGATCTTTACCTTCCAAATATCCGTATCGACCCCATTTTCTAACGTGATCAGGTAGTGTTACATCATCACTAACATCCAACCATATGGAACCGCCATCAGCAATAAAATAGGATTCATTAAATAATGCACTTTTGTACCAATCTGGCAACGATCTGAAACCAATGCATAGATTCACAACTTCTCATGTTATTCTCTCGATTGACTCACGGATCATCTAAAACTGGTTGTTGCCATTTAGCGATCGCTTCTTCCCATTTGACTCGATTTTTCAATGTATGTAGACAAAGAACTGATCCGTTCAACGTAGATTTGTCGAACCATTTGGTGTACCATCTCGAAAAGAAAGAAACCACTATATACGGAAAGTGAGTCTCAAATAACAAACTTCGAATAGATTTTTTGTCCTAAGCCGAACTTCACTTCAGGCATGTTCCAAGACAATGCAAATTCAGATGTTTTCATTTGATGTGGTTCAACTGTGGTTGTTATACATACACAACTAGCTGTGTTCAATACTCCTATTTTCGGATATTTTGTATCCTTTTCTGTCAATCGACCATCATCGGATAGATCCAACCAGATGTCTCTTCCATCAGTATCGGAATCTGTATTAAAATTTGTTCGCGTTGTGATGGTATTATCTGACTAGAAAAGAACGATTTCCTATGTTCTACAAAAAATATATACGAACTTCTTGTTTTCCTAATATACAGTATTCAAGTTTCATTTCGCGTAGTTTCTGTCGAATGGATATACCAGCAGCTGAGAGATCTTCATCGGAAACTTTAACAGATTCGTGTGTTATGGCATCGCAGAAGAATTCATCGGAAGCTAAATGAGGAAAGAAAACAGGTAAACGATGATTGATTTCAATGAAGAAAGACATCATACCTGAACCAGCTTGCCATGTAAACATTAAACTGATTTCAGCTGGCTCATCATCGAGATTTTCGATGTACCAAACGAAGGAAGCAACTGGTAGAGAAGAATCCTGATAAGCAAAAATTATTTCATTAGACATTCAAGGAACAAAAGTGTGAGAAATACTTGATAGTCATGCGGTATAAACGGTGAAAGTTGTTTGCATAATAATCGAATCTTTTGCCCGGGTAGATCATACGTCGTCCATGATTGCGGATACAGAGCTTGGTAATGACCATTTTCTTTCGGAAATGCACAATTCCATGTTCGTAATCCTCGTTTCCGCAGTCGATTTGGTGTTAAAACTTGACAGTAAGTTGTTGTATGACGACGACGAACACAAACAGTAAACTAAACAAATCGTTTTAGTATCAAAAGAAGATCGAAAACGAACTGTATTAGCTTCGACAGTCTGGAATTCATAAAGACCAGGTACTAGTTGATATCGACAAAATTCTCCTTTGAAACCACGGCCAATAGTTCCACAACCCAAACCACCCAGTGGAGCACCTATTCATCAAAGAAACATAATCAATCACTTTTCTCATTCATATCTAAGTCTCATTACCATATATTTGCTGTAATGGCACTGGATTAATAAAATCCATATGTGCACGTCGTTTCGCTCGTTTTAGTTTATACCATACACGAAGATATCTAGCAAAAACAAACAACAATATATTCGTTCAGATATCCTCGAAAGACCAACCGCATAAACAATGGTATGTATTCTACTAGTTGTCGAACTCTTGGCCGTGCAAATGGTCTCCATGTTGGATCGAATTGCTTATCGAAATTGACATGCCAACCATGTTTAGTTGCCACTAATCTATCAAGCTGAGACGGTGACATAAATGTAAACTAATCTAAAATACAACAATGAAACGCATATTTCGACTAGATGTCCCATTCGTTTCTCTTCGAGCTTTTTTATTATAATTTTAGATTGTATAACGTCAAAACATCATCACGATAATCTTCTAAGTTTTTCAGTTCATATTCAACACCTTCATCTTGAACACGAGTTATACTCTGACGGTATCTTTCCACAAGCTTCTTATTTTGATCCAGAAGTGATTGTGCATTCACGGATGACGGATCTTTCTATTGAAGGAGAAGAATCATTTATTTGAAAGAGTTTTAATCTAAATACGAGTGAAACTAACTTCAGAGGCTCTCAAGATGTCGAGTAGGCGAGTACGTGAAGGACTTTCGTCCCAAAAGTATCTTTGCCAATCGTACTTTGTTCGTTCTTGTTCCCAACTTTCGGTTTTCTATACAAAAGAAGGCAAAGAAAAGTCATCAAATATCTTCGATTTCCACAATCAACAAACCCATGATTCAAAATATAGAGCAGTTAACAAATACTGAGCATAATCATAATTTTGCTTTCGGTAAGGACATCTAAAAACAAACAAATACGTCTACACTGATTGCACACACGAGTATGAAACTCAAAGAACGGTTCGCACAGCTCACTGCACATTCGAAACAATTTGCGTTGATATATGAATAGTCGTGCATAGTGTTAGAGTACGAATATATTCCTCTCGATCATCCCGAATGCGTATTTTTTCACCTGTACACAATGGATGTTATTCTTACTTGTCAGCTGTTAAGGTTAATTCATCTCTATCTGCATTGTATTTGTCTCCAGCTAGACGAATGAATTTATCGCGCGCATGTTCATCGAATTCTAATTGATCAAGTTTGAACTAAAGAAAGGCAAAGTTTGTTAGAAGGAAGATCTTTCACTCCATTGCAAAGTACACACATTGAATTTCACGACACGTGCACGAGAATCTCGTATGGATGGTGTTGAATTGAGATAATCATATGTAGTAATCTTTATTGGAAGATAGTAATCACATGCTTCATCCGAATCCAATTGTTCAGGCCATGGTGTACAAAATTCTAGGGAATACATATAGATTTGATCCGACTAACTCGAGATGAAATAGTTGTAAGTTACTTTTGATTGCTGCACACTGTTTCTTAATATGATTTGGTGTTAGATGAAAAAAATTGGGAATTTTTATCAGTTCTGTATTGGCATATTTCTCCATAGGTAAACCTTTATTTTCCTTATCGGAAGCGACGTAGCCCTGAGTGATAGGCAATGGTACAACACTATATTTAAATGAAGTAGCCGCAGGCCAAACGTTGGTCCAATCTTGATCGGTTGACATGCGAAGATAACGCGGTGGTAAAACTTCTTTATATTGTGGCTTTGCACGCTTTTTCATTGGACCAGATCGACTGGTTTTTGTTGGATATAGTTGTAATGTTCGGAACTCTCCTTCTTGTGCTAAAAAATCAACATAAATGTTTTTTTTCTCATGAAAATTCCCTTTTACATTTCGGTCCAGTTGATCGTTGTGGTTGCCGAAAAGTTCGAACAAATATCAGCGAATTATTCAACGGTAAGTTCAATCGAAGTTTGAGAAATGCCAATGACATGCTTTTACTCTCTATTCTAATCTAAAAAAAACGTTGATTAAACTACAAATTCCAAAGCCGATGGACGGATAAGATGTATATTATTGTAAAACAAAACGAAAACTTCTGTTTTATTGTATTGCACAACATATAATGCGAGTAGTTGGCGTTCCTGGTTGTAAGCCCGAGACTGTGTTCATCGTCGTACTGGTGAATGCCATACGACGTTGTTCCCTAAGACAAATCAGAGAGTTCGATGAGAAAAGATTTAGCGTGATTGCTTACCAGATTTTCTTTAACCATTGCGATGATTGATAAAAATTTGGATCACTCAAACGATAAGCAGCTCGTTTCATAGCATAATAATGGAAAGCCGAAACTAGAATAAAAGTTCCAATTAGGAATAGAACGATCGTCTAATTTTACAAGTTCGTTGAATGACGTAGAGAATCAAGACTTCTTTTCTAGAGAAAATATTTGGTACACGATGTTTAAGTTGAAAACGTGGTATCTATGAGAAATAATAAAGCATGGCTTTACTTTGCATTCGAGATAAAATAGTACAATATTTACTAAGATCACTGTCTGTATTGCGGCACATAAGGCAAAATAGATGCAAGCAGTAACGATTGAAAATCGAAACATTCGAAGAAGAAGGCACAATAAGCCAGCTTGAGCAACATACGTTGTTAAAACCATCAATATAAGTAATGTGATTGACAGAAGTATGCAGACATCCTGTACACTGAAAATCAGAAAAGCATTCGTCTTCGAAATCTTTGTTCTGATTAGATCATCACATGAAAATAATTAATTGTATATATTCGCTCGTTGCTAGATATTCACTAAACGTATTAATGCCAAGATCGATTGCCAGAAGTATTATACTCAAGTAAAGTAGAATTCGATAACGAAATGGTATCGTTGCTGATCCTTGCAATTGCTGAGTCTGAACTCGCGTCGGTTTTATTGTTTCCATAGGGAAAGATGTATTGGGTCTCATATTCGAATATAGATGTAACAGGATTTTTACATTCGTGAAAGAAGATTAGAAAAGGTTTGTTATGGAAGTTAAGTTACATGAAAATATTCTTCAGAGTAAAAGACCTCAGTGCATTTGGTTGGTTACAGAACGAGAAAAACAGGTCATTGATCGACGTATTTTATCCAATCTATGATAAGCTATTCAAGTTGACGCTACAATACAGAACGGTGAAACACTGCTTGATTAGTTTTGCAATTGAATGTGAAGGGTTTTGATTGAAATCGATGAAAAGCTCGTTTTCGGTCGACTTTTCTTCGTACGTTCGAATGAATTTACACGATGAAAAGATTTTGCACGTTTTAATTCAGGCAATAGGAAATGACTGTCTAAAGTATAAGTCATCACTACTTTCAGAGACCTCTAGCAAAAATCGGTCAGATGTAAATTGTCGAAGTGCAAATATATTAGAAAAAAGAGTGCACACATATGAAAGCATACGAAAATCTATTAGTTCTTTAACTTATCATACCTATAACACTATACAAGAGTGAATAATAGATCGAAATGAAGTAAAAAAAACACACGCGAGAGTGAAGAAGAGGACGAGCAAAAGAGAAGGCAAATATGTATATTTAATACATTCGTATCTATTTTGCTTAACGACGTCTGCTGTGTTCTATTTGATGCATTTGATTAGAGCAAGTACTGTACAATTATTGACTCGTAAACTTATTAGGACAAAGATGGCATTTCATTTTGTAGATTGTGATACGACATGGGCAATGTGAAGAGTATGTCAAACAAAATACAAAGTACAACGGATAATCGAAAACAATCACAACCACATATTGTTGAGCCAGTAAAATTACCGGAAGTTGTTAATGAACAGGAAAAGCAATGGAAAATGTCGGAACGAGACATTGCTTTTCTCTGTTCACAAACAGGTGAAAGCTCATTCTTGATCTTATTATGCTAGACGCACATTTGTGTTGGTCGTTGTAGGTTTTACTCCCGATGAAATTACACGTTGGCACAAGAAATTCTTTCATGACAATCCAGATGGTCGATTGGACCGTAATGAATTTCGCAAATTCTATCCATTACTACGTAATGAAACACCTGAACGATTAAGTGACATCTGCGATCATATATTTCGTGCATTTGATGTTGATGGAAATGGTTATGTAGAATTTGGAGAATTCCTCTTAGGTTTTGCGATATCTTCACGTGGTGATCTTCGTTCTCGTTTAAATTATGCGTTTGAATGCTATGATATTGATTCGAACGGATACTTAACTGAAGACGAAATCGAACCAGTTATTCGAGCGATGTATACATTACTAGGCATTAAACACGTCGAAGACTATCCACCGGAGAAATTTGCTAAGGATCTTATGCAAAAGCTCGACGTGTCACATAATGGACGTGTAACAAAAGATGAATTTATTCATTTTCTCATGAAAGATGGACTCTACAGAAATACAGTGAATCCATTTCAATAGGTCAACCTTTTGATTTCTGTCAGATAAGGCAAAGACGACACGCGTAATAAAAATTATACAAAGCACTTTTTAATCTTGAACATCATCTTTAGTAATTGTGTCACGTAAACGATGAGCAATATCCGTCAGAAGATAATCCATCAGATTCAATCCCTTCCAAGTCGATCGCTGTTGAATTAATGGATCATTTTCGGCTAAGCCGACACCCCAAATAGCATCTGAAGGTGATGCTTCTACAAACAGTGCGTCTTGCTGATTCACCAGAAGATCTTTCAAAGTTGCATCTTGTGTGAACTGAATAAGAGAAACGAAATCTTGGATAAGAAAGAATGGATATTTTCATATTACTTTCAGATAATTGCCTTCGGAAACTATTCGTGTTCGGTTGTTCCACCATATGTCCGCCTTAAAATTCTTTACCCTTCTTCCCAGTCCTCGACACTTGCCGGGAGTCGCTGCGTGTAGGATTGCTTCTGCTATCTCTTCATCTTTGAACAGTTCTTAAACCGAGCGTCAGTGAGAAATACAATACTTAACGCGAATTTATTTACTTGCTTTGTGATACATCATGTATTGCTCGGTAGAATGGAATTCAATTCCATTCTCTGTGATTTTGCTTGGATAAAAGTTACTGTAGGGTGATTAATTCGTGTAGAAGAATAGAAATCGTGTCGGCTCGTTATTGGGAAAGCGAGCATGAACACGATTGATAAGTTCGATTTCGTCAGAACTGTATCGAGTATTGATATGTGATGACATGATTATTAAAATATTCGACCCCTGTTAAAGCATTTTATATTCTCGAGTATTTCATCAGTATTACTCAATACCACGAACGTAAATGATGTCAATATTTCAGCAGTGAATAGAATAAACAACGAAAAAAAAACAGTCAATGCCTTTTTCTTTTATTTGAGAGATTAGAGACATTAGTCAATGATCTTGTCTGTCGTCTGACAAGATTCTTTTGCTATTCCTAACACAAAAGATTCTCATCGGAAAAATCAAATCTCGAAATTCTTGTGGTGTTTTTGTAGACATAATCTTGCCTGATAAGGTAATTACCAGGTCGAAGAATCCGGCACGGAACTACCCGGATCCAGAACCCTATATGCGGTAACCGGTCGGAGACGAGCAGATCCGACAGCAATTTTCCTGACGAACAGAGCCCTAATTTTCTATGAAATTTCCACTCATTCAAGTCCCTTTTCTAATCCCTCGAAACACACCTCGACATCTCCCGGCTACTTGCCTAGGCGTAGAACAAGCACACTACAATGATCTCCGAACTGGATTTTCGCTCCTGATCATAAAAGTCCTCATTCAAGAGTCAAAAGTTTTTGGTCCAGTCATATATGTAGGATTAAGAAGGGTGAGGGTGAGGATGAAAACTTGATCAAACTATACAAGTCGATAGCATAGTCCATACCCTATCCAATGAAATAACGATGAAGAATTTCCAAATGGTTTGTAAAAATAAAATCAATGACATAAAATTAGCAAATATCGATGAGTCAACCTGTAGATGTAATGAAATTATCATAGAAGAAAAGTGCTTCTTTTTCATTAATATATTGTTTATCAAAGTGATGTGTGGTTTCATTTTTATTTCATAAACTTTGAGGAAAATAAACTTCATACAATAAAGCAAAATATACATCTTGTGTTTTTTTCACTATCTGTGTTTAGTCTTTTGTGTTCTATTTAGTTGATCATACTTTGAACAATATTTTAATCATTGGAACTATAAACTCTCTGATATGATCTATTGAATTTATCAAATAATCTCTCTTCCAAGTGATCATCTATATCATTGTTAGTTATGTTGAGTATAGTAAGTGTCTTCGTTGAAATATCATAATAAAAATTGAGAGAAATTTAAAAAAAAGGAAATTTCTTACCGTATTTTGATTCAACGCACGAGCAAAATGTCGTGCACCTGTATTACCAATTCTATTGCGTTCAAGATTAAGATCAGTCAGTGTCTATATATAATATTAGACAGTCGAACGCAAAAAAAAAATCAGTTTCACTTTACCATGTTTATTCGTAATGCTTGTGCTAAACTATAGGCTCCTCTTGATCCGATATTATCATCTTCAAGAGTTAGATTGGTTAATGTCTGTATGTAATCGAACACATAACGAACTGTACAATATATAAGGAAAGGAAAATTTCTCATACCATATTCGTTTTTAATACATTAGCAAGATGTTTCACACCATCTTCACCAATATTTTCATGTGAAAAGTATAGAGTGGTTATTGCCTGTAAATAAATTTTACAGTTTTAGAAGATAAAAGTAACTTTTTCCTACTGTATTTCTTTCTAAGATTATAGCCAAATACTTTGCTCCTTGTGAACCAATTCGATTATGCATAAAACTCATTGAAGTGATTGTCTATATATACATATTAAATGTGTTGTAGTACAAAATATAGTCTCTCCTCTTACTGCATTTGTTCCTAGAAACTTAACCAATTGTTGGAATTTTTGTGCGTCTAGATTCTTCCTTGAAAAGTTGAGTGAAGTCAATGTCTAGATAAATTTTTAAATAAGGAAATTAATAATTAAGTTTAACATTACCTGATATCGAGGATAGACATTGATAATATCATTTAGTCGTTTACAAACATTGTACAGGGATAGTATTAGATCTTCACCACTCATATACTCAATAGGAAAAGAAAAGAAAAGAGTCATGGCAGGAATGTCCTTTGGGAAATGTCCTTTAGAAAATGTCCTCAAAATTTGGTCCTCACAAAAAATGTCCTTTTAAATTTTGTCTTTTAGAAAACGTCCTTTGATAAAATGTCCTTGCAGAAAATGTTTTTTGAGAAATGGTCCGGCAGTTAAAATTGTCCTTTGCATTTGACAAAGAAAATTCCGAATGAAGCATCTCTTAGACATACGTAGATGACGTTGTAGTTTAACGAAAATTCGTAGTATGCTAAGTTATTTAAATAGAGGATTTACTTACATGTGCAGAAAATGAAAGAAAAGAAAATATGGCCATTGTACTCGTATTGATCGTATCGAAACATAATTTATAAGTGATAAAAATCGAAAAATTTCAACATGAAACCGAGTGATTTTGTTATAATTGATGATATGTTGTCATCTTCTTCATCCTCATTCTCGTCTAGTTTAATTTCTCAAATNGTGTCTTCGTTGAAGTGTTAGAATAAAAATTGTGAGAAATTTTTAAAAAAGACAAGAAATTTCTTACCGTATTTTGATTCAACGCACGAGCAAAATGTCGTGCGCCTGTATTACCAATTCTATTGCGTTCGAGATTAAGATCAGTCAGTGTCTATATGTAATAATACTAGACAGTCGAACGCAAAACAAAAATTCAGTTTGACTTTACTCTGTTTATTCGTAATGCTTGTGCTAAATTATATGCTCCTTTTGATCCAATATTATCACTTTCAAGTGTTAGATTGGTTAATGTCTGTATGTAATCGAACACATGAAGAACTGTACAGTGTACCAGAAAAGGAAAATTTCTCATACCGTATTCGATTTTAATACATTAGCAAGATGTTTCGCACCGTCTTCACCAATATTTTCATGTGAAAAGTATAGTTCGGTTATTGCCTGTAAATAGATTTTACAGTTCCAAAAGATAAAAGTAACTTTTTCGTACTGTATTTGTTTCTAAGATTGTAGCCAAATACTTTGCTCCTTCTGAACCAATTCGATTATGCATAAAACTCATCGAAGTGATTGTCTGTATATACATATTAGAAGTGTTGCAGTACGAAATATAGTCTCTACTCTTACTGAATTCGTTTCTAGAAACTTAGCCAATTGTTAAAATTTTTGTGCGTCTAGATTCTTCCTTGAAAAGTTGAGTGAAGTCAATGTCTAGATAAATTTTCAAATAAAGAAATTAATAATCAGGTTTAACATTACCTGATATCGAGGATAGACATTAATAATATCATTTAATCGTTTACAAACGTTGTACAAGGATAGTATTAGATCTTCACCGCTCATATACTCAATAGAAAAAGAAAAGAAAAGAGTAGATACCCATGTCGAAAAGTACGGGCTGGATCCGGAAGGAAGACACCGGAAATCAGTGGAAAGTGGAAGCAGGAATCCTTAGAACGGATCCGGCTCACGTAATTATTCGGTTCTCTCCGGAGCTGGAAGGAACCAGGCAAAAACGGCTGCAGGATCCGGCTAAAGGATTCCTGCTTCCACTTCCCGTTGATTTCCGGTGCCTTCCTGCAGGAACCGTTGGTTTTTCCCGCGGGTTCCTGCTGGAATTACACGGATCCGGATGCCGGAATCATTGCCCTGGGTAGTTAAGTATTTTGAAAAAACTAACTATTTGTCTATTTCTCGAATCGAAGAAAATACTCAACTCAAACTCGAAAAAAATTATTAATTAAAAGATTTTTTGTTGTTTTTGTTGTGATTTATTGACTAGTTTCTGTCAAGTTATTACCTGACGTCATCAGAAGAAACCACACAAGAAAAAAACTTTTTCATATATATAACAGAAAAGATTTCTATCGTGGGCTGGATGAGCCCAAAACGATAGTTACAAGTAGAGAAAAGAGCCGTTGTAGTAGATGGTTCGTTGGCCATGATTCTCGATGGTGTGTTGGGTGATGGTCATCCAGATGCTGCACAGCATTCAAAGGCTGTTTACAGAAAGTAGTGATCGATCTGGTTTCTTTTTCACAAGATAATCTTGAAGATTATGCAATCTTTTAGAACCCACGATCGGTTTCATACTACCAATTGCTGTATCTCCGAAACAAGTGTTCCATAATTGATGGAATCGAGTCGGGAAGTTATGCATTTCTTTGTCGAAGGAAAAATGGCATGAAATTGCGACTTCGAAGTTTATTCCAGCTTTCTTCGGTCTTTCATATGTTGCATCGAGAAAGATTTCTCTTATTCTCGAGAAATTCCCTTTTGTTGGGATTTGGCATTGAAATGTTCGGTAAACTCTTTCAAATTGTTTGAGAATAAAGACTATTGGATATTTGTTCAATAATAGTGCCATACAAATATGAATTTCTTCATGTTTGAAAGCTTCAAAAGTTNAAATTGCGACTTCGAAGTTTATTCCAGCTTTCTTCGGTCTTTCATATGTTGCATCGAGAAAGATTTCTCTTATTCTCGAGAAATTCCCTTTTGTTGGGATTTGGCATTGAAATGTTCGGTAAACTCTTTCAAATTGTTTGAGAATAAAGACTATTGGATATTTGTTCAATAATAGTGCCATACAAATATGAATTTCTTCATGTTTGAAAGCTTCAAAAGTTGAACAATATCTCATAGCTCTTGTTATAGCTACAAATGGTATATTCGTTTTTATATGTTCAGCATGTATACTCGAGAAAGGGAGAAAATATGGTTCATGCGATGGTTTGTGAAACACATCTGACATTAATTTACCTCCTCGATTCTCAAGTTTGACGTCTAAATACTCTGCAGATGTACCGATTGATTCGGAAAGTTCGATATTTTTATCGAGTCTATTCCAGAACCTTACGAGACCTTTCAATGTATCTGCATGTATGTTCGACATAATAAATAAATCATCAATATATCTGAAATATAAAGATGAAGTTCTACTAGCCCATTTTGCAATCGGACGTTCGACGAAGTACATGTAAGCATTCGCAATTGTCAACGTGAGTGGCGAACCCATTGCTCCTCCTCTTATTTGCTTGTAATAAACGCCATCGAAATAGAAATAGTTGTTCGTCATCACAAATCTGGTGAGTGCTAGAATGATCTCTTTTTTCACACCATCGATTCGCTTATGACCACTTGCTTCTATTAGGCGTTTTATGGCTGTTACACCTCCTTCTTGTGGTATCATGGTATACAGATCTGTAACATCCATGGTAACAAAAGATGTGGTTATTATTAGATTCCTTGCCGACCATCTTTCCACTTTTTTTATTAAGTCCGCCCCATTTGATACTGTCGTCTCAACTGCTAGTTGATCGAATATGGGCCTTAGAAGATTATCTAACCATTTCGATATATTAACCGTTGGAGATTTCATTCCAGCCATCATTGGCCTCAATGGTGTGTTTGGTTTATGCGCTTTTGGAAGAAAATAAAGATGTGCTAGTTCAGCTCGTTCTTTATCTACTTTCAATTTTTCATATTGTTTCTGATCTATATGTTTATTTCGCCATAAACCATAAAGAAAAATATTTGTTCTTTCAACTAAAGATTCAAGTGGATTTATATTACCCCGACTTTCATATGCTCTAGTTTTATTCATATGTTTTTCGGCTTTTTGTTTATAGTCATCGAGGTTACCTTTTTAGGGTGAGGAGATATATGATCAGAATGAAAAAAAGAATAAAAGATAAAAGTACTGAATGTGAGATTTGAACTCGCTGCCTTGTGCATGATACACAGTTGTCCAATTCAACCATCTAGTACTCGGGAATGGTAGCTGGATTTTGAAGTGAAGAGTGATTTATGTATGGTAGAGAAGAAAACAGATTTCTTCTATGTTCTGTATATATGTCAAAATGAACAGATGTGATTGATCCGTTAAGAAGCGTTTCGTATTGATCTATTAGGAGATTTCTTAATACACCAATGAAATTGCAGGACGATGAGTATATAAACCGATGAGTTTTCCAGTTGTTGACAGAAGATCGTCCTGGTCTCGGATAAGATAGAAATATCTAGCCTTCTTTTCAATAGAAGCCGATCTAGTCGTGTGATAATCGATAATTTTACACTGATATGCATAGGATTGAATTCTTTCTTTTATTTGAGATGACTAATTCTGAATGGACTATTAACATGGGTGTTGGACGAGAAGGTGTGCATATGGACTTTCGAGCCCTAGTGCCCTTCTCGGGAGCCTATTCACCGGAGCAGGTTCGAGGCGGTATGTCTGGTCCTCGTCTTGGTGGACATCCGTCCACCATATGGCGAAAGACCACGATATACCACTCCAACCAGGATGGGTCCTACTGTCTGTACGCTTGCGAGCGGAGTGGAGAGGCAATGTGGGTGCCTGCTGGGGATTTCTTCGTGTCAAATCGACCACGGGGAAGTCAAGCAAGTCATAGTCTGATGGACTACATTTTGT